CCCCCCCCCCACGTCGTTGGAAGAGATGGAAACAAATCTGAAAGGGGAAAAAAAAAAGAAGCGTTTATGCAGTTCATAAGAAAGATGCTGCAATGGGAACCTAAACGTCGGAGCTCCTCGAAAGAGCTTCTTAACGATCCATGGCTCCAGCAGGATGGGTCGATAATTTAGTACCTTGGTGTAACACTGATTGTGATAGTGTCTTCTTTTCCACCACCGCCGTGTAAGTTACAAAAGATGCATTCTGTCTGCGGCACACTATCTCCTCTAGCTCTGATGTTATATGTCATTAGTAGAGCGGAGCAAGACAATTAGTAATGGACTGACTCGTCGTCGTTTATTTGTTCATCTGTAAGGGTAAGAATCCATGGTGAGCTAGGATTTTGCCCTGGTGATCATGTTGCTAGTCAACAGCTTGTTCGAGGTCGAAATACCTAGATCAGCTAGGAGGAAGCGAAGTGAAGTGAAATACGGTGCTATAACTCATCATCGGCTCGCCTAAGGGCGGTTGAGCAAGTAGGAAGAAACCCTACTTGTAATGCGGTGGGGCAGCTGCAATCACCCTATAGTCCTCTACTTTTAGCTCTAAATCGTATTAGTTTGACGCGTGGGTAAGTGAGACCAGCTGGGCTCAAAAGCCACTAGCTCTCACTCCCCCTTCCCCACACACAAACAGACACGTGAGAATAGATAACTGGACTAGAGAGAAGCCGGCTAGCCAGATTACGAATACACTGAATTTGCCATACTTATATTGATCACTGGATCTTGTGACTATTAGTCGTCCCGAGTGCCACTCCCTGGGTACGACCTAAATATTCACTCCTAGGAACACTAAACCATGGTTTACTCTTCTTTCTGCCACATGACTGCATGAAGATACGGCGACAACGCGACCGCCCCTGAATTACCCCCCTTCACCTAACTTTCTATCTTTTGGTTGTTTTATCCTTGATTACTCCTTGTATTACTAAGGGACCTCTCTGCTCCTCGACAGTAAGTGCTCCCATCGACTCTACGCATAGCTATAAGTCGCCAACATCATGCTTAGAATGAAATAAGATTAATGGTTGATTACCGTACGCATAGTTAGATCCACCCTGAGATATCGTACTGTAATACTAGGTTATGGGTTGCAACCTTTGATCCGTGGCCTGAGGAGCGATACCACCGATACAGAGGTTCAACGTGACATATATGCTATATTTCTCTCTGACTTGTATACTTTTCTACTTAAGGAAACGATGTGGAGTGGGTATAAACTAGGTTAAACCTGTAGCTCAAGAAAACTCACTTGGACGTGATCCAAATTAACAACATTGGTCCAACTTGTGGAATAAGCAAGGATTCGAACGCTTGGTTGCAGACAAAACTAAAGAACTTGATCAAAATTCTTGTTTTTATCTAGGAGCCTGGTAAGAAGAACGGACTAAGTATGGCTCTCTAGAGAGAATATTGTCGGTATAGCATCTAGTCGAGGTACTAGAGGTCTTGCCTAGTAACCAGACGCTATGTATAGCGCTGCTTGGCATTTTTCAACCCAAGCCGTCGTCGAGATTCTGATGGCATAACACTAGATCTTGACAAGTCTTACAACAATGAAGTTAACTGGATTGGTCGGTTCTATAAACAACCTTGAGAGTATTATGCACAAGATACATAGACGTTCCGGGGGGTTTCTTGATATTGATTATCAAGATTTTAAATCTACCACCCATCTGAAGAACTCCGTGCCCAGGAACGACACGTTTTGAGTGGCCATCCCCTTTTCTTGACCCTAAACTACATAATTTAACGCTGTCTCTCCTGACCAGCTGTCTTTGCGCCGTTGGGCTTTCTATATAATCTCATTGTACCCATATCCTACTTTCCTCACACTTCAGATTCATGGCTCTTTATCTCTTTGGGGCGGACCAATCTCCTTAGACCCATCCAAGGGGTGTTAATTGGGCTTTCACCTATAGATCATGTCAGTACCATTTTCAACGCATTCAAGACCCATGGGGCAGAGAAGACTTACCAGTGAAAATAAATACATCATAAAGCCAACCGCCGAAAACACATCCGAAGAACGGCGACACCATTGGAACCCAGAAATAGTAGTTCCCAGCCGCCCAAACTTCGTGTCCATATCCAAGGAAATAGGACATGAGACGTGGTCCAAAATCTCTTGCCAAGTTAATAGCATAGCCCGTCTCCCAGCCAAAACAAGCGCCAATGCCGAAGATGACGAAGAAGAGCCCCAGAGGAGTAAGATTTCCGGCGCCGAGGTTACCGTTGTCTTGAAGGGAGTATATACAGAACATGAGGATGGTAGAGGCGACAAATTCGGAGAAGAACTGGCCGGTCCTCGACATAAAGGGTGCGGGATATGTACAGAAGATGCCCGCGGTTGCCGTTTTGGAGTAGCCTGGGACGGTACGGATGTTGGGTCCACCTTCGAACTCGTTGATGGCGGATAGGTAATTTGCTATAGCTTGATGTTAGGTGATACTCTATATTAGGATGATTGATCGGTTGGCAACTCTTACCGTAAACGATTCCTGATGCAACAAAGGCTCCGAGGGTTTGGGCTATCAGGTACACCGGGAATTTCTTCCATGGGAATTTCCTGAATATACTTGGAACACTGTCAGTTTAGTTCTCCGACAAGATATTACCGATAAACTTACCAGTTTGCCAAAGTGACCGCTGGGTTTATATGTGCACCGCTTATCTGGGGAGAAAGTCAGTCAAGGTAGGTCAACTATAGTAGATCATATTTCATACTCCGGAGGCATAGACGCCCAACATAACTCCAATACCCCAGCCCCATGAGATGGATTGATATTCACCCTTTTCTCCACCAGCTAGAACAACTTGAGCCACGGACCTAAACTACCGTCAATCATGCCGTCTCACTATAGCGAAGTGTGACGACTTACCCATCTCCAAATAGAATGAGAATGAAGACGCCGAAGAACTCAGAGAACGGCTCGCGCATATAGTGTCTCACACGACTCCACCACAACTCCGGGTGGGCTTGGATAGCATTTTCTTGGGTGATTTGATGATCTATTGTCGCGCCATGCTCAGCGTACGGTTGTAAAGCTTCATTAGAAGCTATGAAGTCCTTTTCATCTTGTCCCTTACCAATATCTTCGTCGTGGGATACGGCGGGACTCGGAGGGTTTACTGATTTGATCTCTGGCATAATGGAAGGTAGAGGTTGAATGTATGTGAATAGCTCCAAGGGAAAGGGGAGATGCTTGTAAACACAGTTGGAGGTCGAGTTGGGTATTATATGTGACTGAAGCTAATGCGAGAATGCATAGATGAGGGGCTACCCCCTCCCCTGATGTATATATTGGGATGGCTTACGAGAAAGGGTACGTTACAAGCGCCCATTCAGTGGATATCCCATCAGGTATCGGTTTGTGGATTCGAATAGCGGCCCCAGAGGCGCCAGATATCGGTTTCTCGGCAAGTGATTCCTTTGACGAGGAGAGTTTGCTCGGCAATATCTAAAAGCACAGGCTACCTACCGGCTCGCACTGTACGAGCCGTGTGTTACTTGTAAATCTAATTGTAAGGTAAATAAAGATAGGAGCTATCTTGGCTACTAAAACGCCGAGGATGGCAAAATGTGGATACTGATATAAGCAGACGCGGGGGAAGTAAATGGCTGAACAGTTGAAAACTACTGGAGGGCTGAGCTCCATCGAATGTTATAGCTTCAGGAAACATATCCGTAGCAACTAGATAGCATCAGGAAGGTGGCTATGTGTAAAATGGCCAGCCCGAGAACGTCGTGTCTCAATGTCAGACGCCCGCTGGCCCCTCTTGAACTGTTGGTTTCCAGAAAAGCAGCAGATGCAAGACTAATCCGACGCTGCCATTAGTGTCGTGACTTCAACGAATACGACGATCAGCACCAAGGATCATTTCCCAACTCAAGCATTTTGCACTGGTGGTAAGGGTGTATTGGTAAAGGGGGGTAACGCGGCAGACAAACAATGTGCACCTGGATTGACTTCGCTTGAAGGCGATACCGACTTGCTCGGTCCGAGGCTTGATATTCTTCACTGTGCTGTTGAGAAGAACGTATATGTCGGAAACAGATATTCGTATTGCCACTGCATATTCTCTTCTGACGTCTTTGATGCTTCACGCAACACCCCCGAGCGAGCCAATGCAGTATCCCGCTGGAGTAGTACACGTCGACGCCTCCACGCACGAGCTAGGACTACAGAACATCATGACTCGGGACCCCCAAGTCGGGAGTGGCTTTTGCCATGCAACCTAGTGCAGATCAACACTCCCCTAGGATATGCCAAAATCTTATTGACCCCGCAGTACAATTGAATGTGAGCACTTGTCTCTGTAGATGGGACTCGAGACATGGATTGGGCCAGGGCCGTCAGCAAGTCAACTGGACTCGGTCAATTGGCCGTTAGTGCCACCTAGGCACCGGTCAATGTACTCGTACGATCAGTATATGCTGCCGTAAGGGGCACAGGTGTAACCATTTTACGCAATGCCGCAGCGTTCCGCAGTGTAGAGGTCTGCAGATACTGTATTCAAACCAGGGTCCCGCCATGCTGAGCGGAGGAGCGATAGCCAATCTCTGAGCTGAGCGCGGGCGGTTTTTTTTTATCCCAGGCCCACGTGAAAAACAACAGCAAATGTCTCTGATGGGAGATTGGTAGCCTCTCCTCGACCTGAATCCAATCGCTCAGCTAAATATACATGCATCAAACTATCGCGCGACAATTCAGCTCCAACAGCTCCAACAGCTTCAACGACTTCGTGAGGCTCAGGGGCCTGTTGAGCGGACTGTATGACCAGGTATAATCGTAAAACGGAGCATCCATGGTAACCCCAGTACATCGTACGTGAATACAGGAGCTTCATATTGCCGAACTATGATTACCTAAACACAATTCCTATCAATCTCTGTCAACAACGCTAAGGGGAGAAAGAAACTCGAGAGTTCGAGACGGTTGTCGCTGTGATATTTCGCTGTCTCTTTCTGTACCAGCCTCCTCCTTAGCTTACATTAATAATTACACCCCTTCGACTGGGAGACGGTTCAACATAATTCTAGAGGCATGGGGCGACATTGGCGTGCGGCCGGGATTCCCGGCAGGTCCTCCTGAGCTGCCAGAGTAAGTTAGGAGCTGACATCCAAGTTGTTACCTACAGGTAGTACGAAGCACGCACTGTACGCGCTTGCTGAGCTTCTCCCAGTTTGACGTTACGACCGACATGAGCTTGTGGAGCCAAGCGTAGAAAACGATCTTCCCTGGCTCCACCTCCGGATTTTCAGTGGGATGAACAACCAAAACCCCGGGGAGATCGGCAGACCCTATATCCCCCATATCCACCTCTTGCCATGGCGTCTGGCAGCGAGAACACTGGGACCGGCCCGCTGTTAGAGCCACTTCCCAGAGTCCCCGTTGGCCTCAGGTCGCGGTTCGTTGTTCAGCATCATTTAAGGTTGTGGCCGATCAAGTGAAGACTGTGGGGTATGCACAGGACCAAACATCTATCGACGAGGAAGTGGCGTCTTCTAAATGCTATCGGACCGCGATCATTTTCCCCCAATGCAGTGGCGAAAGCCGACATATTTTGCATGTGTGTACGGAGTGCTCGGTATAATCTCTGGGGCGCCTTCACGAGGCGGGTCGAGGTTTGCGCGACGTTCTAACGCTCCCCTACGGCGTTGACAAGGTCGCTCTATGCCCCTGCAAGCCAGAGCAACGCCTGGCCGTTGTCTTGCCCACAGACTCCCTTCGGGCTTCAGCCATGTGCGCTGGCTTCCGTTTTGCTGGCCCCTTGGGCAATACGGAATATACCAGGCCTCGGTAGGTAAGGTCAAGACGGATGCAAATGGGTTGGCGTTGAGATGAGGGGTTCACCACCACCACCACCACAGCCACAACCGGAGCTTGGAGCTTGGAACCTTAGCAGCAGTGACTAGCACACATGTTTTTCTTGAAGCTCGCTCACAAGCTCTCTGACCCTCCAGGCAGTCGTCCATCACTCACATCGTCGGCTGGCGTTGTGGAACCATTCGTATGCAAGTAGTCTCAGGATTCATCTCCCCGCACACCAGTTGCCATTCAAGGCATATTTTCTGCGGGGAAAATGCCCAGTTAGGCCCAGCCTCTCAATATATTTTGTCCGGCGCTCGTGTGATGCCCATTTTTAAAAGATGAAGGGGAACGCTTACCCCTCTGCAAGTCTCCACCAACCATGAGGAGGTTGGGTTTCGTCCTTCTAAACGAGTCCATTTAACTTCATAATTATATTCCCCAAATCCCGAGGAATCTGAAATTAGTTATCGTTGTCTATTCAGAAACACAGTAGCAGTTACACAAGATGGGAGACTCGACACCAAAAAAGCTGACCGTGCAAGAATCCTTCGTTGGATCCATCGATCAAGGTACCACGAGCACGAGATTCTTGATTTTCAACAAGGAGGGGGAGCCTGTAGCTTCACACCAAATTGAGTTCGGCCAGTTTTATCCTAATCCAGGGTCAGTATCTGTTGCCGTTCAGGAGGAAATATATTGCTAATATGATGATCGCAGATGGCATGAGCATGACCCGGTCGAGATCATAAAGTCCATCGAGAGTTGCATCGAAGGAGCAGTTGAAGCGTTTGAGATCCAAGGCCACTCTGCCAAAGCCATCAAAGCTGTTGGCATCACTAGTCAGCGAGAAACCACTGTTGTTTGGGATGCTGACACCGGAGAGCCATTACACAATGCAATTGTCTGGACAGACACAAGAACTCAAGCGCTAGTTCGGCGGTTGAAAACCCGGCTTGGGGCTGACAAGTTACAAGACCTTTGTGGTCTTCCCTTGTCCACATACCCCTCAGTTGCGAAGCTGTTATGGTTGATTGAGAATGTACCAAAGGTTTCTGAAGCGTATGAGAGGGGAAAGCTTTCCTTCGGAACCATCGACGCGTGGGTGGTGTACAACCTGAATGGAGGTCCCAAGAAGAATGTTTTCGTGACTGATTCTACCAATGCTTCACGAACCATGTTTATGAACATACATACGCTCCAATATGACGAGCAACTCCTTGACTTCTTTCGCATCGACAGAAAAAAGCTACAACTCCCCGAAATTACCCGCTCATCTCACCCTACAGCATATGGCACTCTCACTACTGGAGTCCTAAGCGGTGTTCCTATTACAGGTTGTCTTGGTGACCAATCGGCAGCGCTTGTAGGCCAAAAGGGGTTCTCTCCTGGCAGAGCAAAGAACACCTACGGAACAGGATGCTTCCTCCTTTATCATGTAGGGGATAAACCAGTTATCTCGAAACATGGCCTCCTAACCACCGTCGCTTATGACTTCGATGGAACTCCTCAATACGCTCTTGAAGGAAGTATAGCTGTTGCAGGATCTAGCGTCAAGTTCCTCCAGAACAACTTGAACTTCATCGAGTCATCCAAAGAAATCAGCCAATTGGCCGAAACTGTGCCGGATAGCGGAGGCTGTGTCTTTGTAACGGCATTCAGCGGCCTCTTTGCGCCGTACTGGATAGATGACGCACTTGGAACTATTTGTAAGACCACATCCTCTTGCAAATGATTATGTACTGATGACTAGCAGTTGGAATCACCCATTACACCCAGAAAGGTCACATTGCACGAGCAACCTTGGAAGCCACTTGCTTCCAGACAAAGGCTATTTTGGACTCTATGCAGAAGGACAGTGGAAAGGCGCTTGCTGAGCTCGCGGTTGATGGGGGAATGACCAATTCCGATCTCTGCATGCAGGTACGGTTCAAGAATCTCAAAAATTCAATCGATACATTCTAACATTGAAAATAGACACAAGCTGATCTCATCGGCATTCCGGTCGAGCGCCCCCGCATGCTCGAGACCACTGCTCTTGGCGCCGCCATCGCCGCCGGGTTTGCAGTTGGTGTTTGGGAAAGTTTCGACGAGCTTAAGAACATCAACACCGCCGATATGACAACTTTCGTACCCAAGATCGACGCCGCCGAGAGGGATCAGAGATTTGGGAAGTGGGAGAAGGCGGTCCAGATGTGCAAAGGTTGGGTGTAGTGGTCGCGGATAATATTTTCTTTGGTCAAATCGGATTTGCTGGTTAGCTCCTTTGGCCTGTTCTATATACTCTTTGTTGCGCATATTAACTTCTCATTCCTAAGATTCCTAAGGAAGGCTTCTGGAAATAAATATAAAATATTTTCTCACGAAATGATAGTTTTCTAAGACGTCGCTAGCAATTATAGTACTCGTACTATATAGCCTGAGATCCCCAGTGTTCATGTCTTGCCGCTTAGGGGAGTAAACATCCAATCGGTTATTCTTCAATAAAACCTACTATTGGAGGATCATTTCATGCTGGTAGCTATGAAACATGCACCCTATAAGGGGAGATTTCTTACGATCTGCTACACGGATAAGTTCCGGCCTGCCCTGACCTCACGTTTCTGCCGCTCTCGGCTGTCAAATATATTGTGAACCCTTGAAGGAGACTTGCTACTTCCTCCATAATAGCTGCATTTTCACATCCCCCACATCTGGTCCGGAAATTTTAAGATGTGAGAAACGAGCATTTTACCACGTCTCACCCCGCTTGCTCACAAATGAGAATGTACATAAGTGTGGCTGTTTGTTGAGGACATATGGCGCGATAACCTAGGCGTTTCTCTTGACAGACCAAATCCTAGCCATCTTTTCACTCCTTATTTTCAAACTGGTTTCCATATTTTGTCAACGATGCGTTTCCTGCTTGTTTCCCCCGTTCTCATGGGCATTGGGTTCATCACCCCGATCACAGCACAGCCTACTGCATCCAAAGTCATCATTCCTAAAACATGCTTCAACTCCCAATCCGACTTCGACGCCAACTTCAACTACCTCTACCCCTGGGGTAGCGACCACAATGGCGCTGCTCGCATGGACAAGGCGCATGTTGCTCTCTCCGATAATACCTTAACGCTTACAGCGCAACCAGTCAAAGGCCAAAAGGACGCCAGTCATGGCGGTAAAGCCATCCCCATCCACTACCTCTCTGGAGCCGTCAATGCCAAGCAGCACTTCACCGTGTCACCCAAAGGTGGTTTCGATTTTAGCGGTGACTTCCAAGCCACGACCACGAAAGGGACCTGGCCTGCATTTTGGCTCACAGCCGTGACTGGGTGGCCACCTGAGGTCGACATGGCCGAGTGGAAAGGCTCGGGAAAGATCTCGTTCAACACGTTTAATACATCAAGCAGTGTGTTGGCGAAAGATGTAAACTATCCTAGTCCAGGGAATTTCCATTCTATTAGGAGTGAGTTGAGGGATTTGAACGGGAAGGATGTACAAATCAAATTTTATATGGATGGGAGTTTGGTTACCACGCAGGTCGGAAAGGGGTATGTTGGCCAGGCGATGTATTTGTGAGTTTGATCTTTCCCCACTCATTTCTTTCCTTAAGAGTGGGTTTTTTTAACTTTTGGGAAGGGTTATCAACCTGCAAATGGAGGGATCATCTGGGTCACCGGGGCCTACGACTAGTAAGTTTATCCTTGGAATTTCGGTGGTTTTAAGCAGCAACTAACGGCGTCGCGTAGATACTACATATTCAGTAAAGAATTTGGAAATCTTGAGCTACAATCCATAGATTTATACTACATTCTTGAAAATATACAAATTATCGAACGGTGTTTTATCCTAGTTCACATGAACGAATCGATAGAATGCTTCCCAGTGCAGAAATCACATGCATCAACACCAATTGTGGTCATCGCAATGCTAGTTTTAATCAGACAGTTAGATATTATTTATGACGTTCATATATATTGAAGTTATTCGGGTCGAGGTCTGAGGAGGAAACCAAGCTTTTGGGCGTTGCGGGACGCCCGAAGACCCCTGAAACCCCACCCGTTGTGATGATCGAGCGATGATTAGTAGAATTAGCAGATCGCGCATGTCGGCAGATTCATTTCCGACACAGCAGCATCCAGCTCGAACCCGTTCTGCTCAGATACTGGCTGTGCTTAATTGAGTGACATAATAGGCAATTCAAGGCAAGGATATCTATTTCATAGATCTACGGTAGCTGTCAAATGCTGGATTTGTCTGGCTTCAAGTTGTTGCTAAGTGTATCAATTCAAGGTCAGTGGCTTCATCCTCCTTCAAACTCCGCTCTCCATGGAATACGCAAGGTTTGCAATCTGGCTCCGTTCTAGGGTAGTACATCCCATAGTTGATAGAATTCCTAACAACACCGATCAAAAGAAACTCTAAATCTATCACTCTCCCTATGTCAAGAAAGAAGGCCAAATTGTTGGCGCTACGAAGAAAAGGCAAGGAAGAGGACCTGCACAGGTTCTTCTACTCTGTTTGTCGTGTCTCTGGTCAATTTTGTTCTAAACTTCCGAGCCAAATTAACAAAATTCGGATTCGCGACAAGTCACGTGAACTCAGGAGCCCAGCCCAATATTCATGAATGTCCAAGCTATTGTCACTGGCCGAGAGACTATCATTTCTGGGATTTAGTAGAGTTCCTAGGAGTTCGGGGCCTGGTTTCAGGCAACATCAATGTTGTTGTTTTGGTCGGCGTGCAATCTTCTCCTGGAGAGTTTCGGTCCCGAGACGGGCTGTCGGAACGATCACGCTCTCCGGTTAGGCCAATCAGATCCTCGCATTGCTATATAATTGCTACCTTAAACGGCATAGGATGAAAATCTATAGTTAGAAGTACTCAATCAATGGTAACAATGTTCTCTTTCATCATCTATATAAGGTGGAGAAAACTCCTTTGTCTAAGGTCAACCTAACTTTATTCTCATCATAAAAGTATTGTATAAATACATCCGAGATAGATAACTACCAAATGTCTTTAATAATTCAAGCCAACTCGAGTCTCATTTTTACCTCTATCTCTGGGATTGCCCTCGTATTTCTGTATTGGGTTTGCAAAGTAAGCCGCCATCCCCTAATGCAATGAGCGAACAGGATTTCAGTAACAAGTGTTCCTTTTTTTTAGTCCACCTATAATGCTTTATATGGACCATTAAGTAAATTCCCAGGACCAGCTCTCAATAAATGGACGGATTTTCCCTTGACACTATCATTCTTTCGCAGCCGCAAAGTCCATTACATCCAATCCCTACATGCTAAATATGGTATGCACATCCATTTCTTGTGAATTCCAAACTCCACTGTCCCAAGCCAGGCTGTAACTTTTAAGTTGCCAACTGACGCAACCAACTAGGCCCCGTTGTTCGAACAGGCCCATACGACGTTGCCTTCTCAGACCCGCAATGCGTCCGCTCAATCCACAAAATGGGTAGCGGATTCCATAAAGGAAAATTCTATTCTGATCTACTATTGAAGGGAACGCTGGTGTGTATCAGTTCGAATAAGGAACATGCTATGCGTCGAAAAGCTTTTCCCCAGGCTTTTACGCAAAAGAATCTGCTGGAGTGGGAGTCCATGATCAAGCGTGCTGTTACGGTATCAATTGAGAAGATGAGAGAGGCGGGCGCGGAAGGAAAGGAGGTGGATATTCTGGCAGGGTTTACGAGTATGGCTTCGGGTATTATTGGGGAGTTCTGTTTTGGAGAGTCATTCAAGAGCGGAGAAGAAGAAGTAGGTTTGAAACCTCACATCTAACTATTGACACTGAAGTGATTTATTACTGACGGCTAGACACAGATACACCAAATTGGAGAAAATCCTAACCACGATGCAGTAATCAAAGGTATACAGTCTGAACTTTTAATTCCCGGGGGCGAAACACTGCGCAATGTCCCCTCCTACCTCCAAGTCCTCCCTCTACCCATTCTACGTTTGGTACTCAGCTCCTGGTCGGCGTTAAAAACTCCCGGAAAACAGCAAGCACTCAAGCGGGATAATTTAATTCAATCGACGAAGCACAAAACGCTCCTTACCAAAGCACTAGCCGAGAATGAGGAAAGTCTCGGTCTCTCTGACGAAGTCATTGTTAGAGAGGCAAAAGCGTTTATCATCGCCGGCACAGATACCACGGCTGTGACCGCAACATATTTAGTGTGGGCGGTACTAAATCACCCAGAGGTGAAGGCGAAGTTGCAGAGAGAGGTGGATTCGTTACCCCTTGATTTTTCCGTCGCAGAGGTCCAGAGTTTACCTTATTTGCAGCTTGTTATCACCGAGATGCTGAGGATGTACGGTTCTGCTTCTGGGTCTCTGCCTAGGGCCACTCCGGCGGGTGGGAAGCAGATAGGAGAATGGTTTGTACCTGAGGGGACGGAGGTTTCCACCCAGGCATATACTTTACATCATAACCCGGATATTTTTGAGGATCCGTATCTGTAAGACTGTATTCTACATCCTCCCATTTGCACATGAGCTAACTCATCGCTATAGATTTAGGCCTGAGAGGTGGGAGAAGCGCACCCCACAGATGAAAGAAGCATATATGCCATTTGCCATCGGAGCTCGAGGTAAACTATTGCTTTCTTTCGTGACATGCTTTTGACAGCGAGGTACTTCACTGACAATAATGAAGGATGTATTGGCCAGAATCTTGCCCAAATTGAGCTGGCTCTGTCAATCACAGCTTTTCTCCGCAAGTGCCCTAATGCGCGGGTTGCATCGTCAATGACAGATTTCGACATGGAGATTGAGGATAATTTTGTCATGAGCCCCAAGGGACATAAATGCATGGTTATTTTATAGACGGGTATTCGTGTATGGGGGTATAGAGGAGTTGCGGTTATCATTATATTTACATAAAGGGAGATACTCATTTAATATATGCAGTCATTTTGGTTCTGCTCCCCATACTTTAACCCTCTTGTCTGTGGTACTTACTGTTGGTTAATAACCATATCTAGAATATCACAAACTAGCACTAATGTCAATATTTCAAGCTTGGAGATCCAGATCCAGCTTTGAACTCCCACTCCTTTGATGAAAACTAATGGCCTTCACTCACATCAAGCCTACTGGCTAGCAACTTCCTTGACTACGTCTATGAGACAAAGGCCATCTACCATAGGCTCTAAACATTTAAGCTATTATCTTGCAACTCAACAACGAAAAAGTCTAAAACAGACAGGAACTACAAGGTAGAGTAAGTAAATACAGCCAGCGTCCAAGGCCAACTAAAATATGCCTCTTACTTGTTCTTCGTCAACACGGCCCTTGTCACTAGACAATTTAATGGCTAATATCCTAGTACCATCAGCATGCTTATCTTTATATTCTCTCTTATAAAATATGAAGGACCAAGCAGCACAGAACAGTAACGTCCTGGACTGGCCAATACGCACCTTAGGTGTTCATATTCACCTTGGTATTCTTCCGCCGCAGCGGCGACATAACGGCATAACGGCATAACGACCCACGATATTTATTTAACATTCATCTTCGACGATAATGTTTAACCGTCTCTCTCGCAACCACCTTTCCTTCGGCACTCTTTGCTCAAAAACATCCGCCAACTTGCAAACAACCTAGCAGGAATTGCTTCAACTGTCAACGGCTGCTCAGCCCTTTCCAACTCTCAACACCCTTCGACCTCCTTCAACCCTTGGCCGCACTCAACTCTCTTCAAGCCATGGACTCCACCAAGACTGATCAACCTGAGGAACCCGAGGAACCCATCAAAGCAGAAGGTTCCTCAACTAGCAAGGCTCGTGATACCAAACCTTTCCGCGCCAAGAAAAAGGCATTGGGCGGCGGAGCTTGCTCTACCTCGTGGGTCTCCCCGCAAGCCGAGAAGAAAGCCTACCTCGACCGTCTCCGAACCAACGCCTCGCATATGGGACTCCTGAGTTCGCCATTTTTCCCCTCCAACCTGTCCGAACTTTTGGAGCATGAGGTAGCATGGTCAACCACGAGAGCGGTAGATATGACAGAGAAATTGATGAAGAAGATTGCAATGAGCCAGAAGGAAACTGCCACGGAGGTGAACATCGAGCATTCAGATAATAAAGACGATGTTGCTAGATTTGGTTATTCGACAAAGGCAAAGGCAAAGGGAAAGGAGAAAGTTAGAGCAATCAATACTGAGGATATGGGAGAGAGAGAGATGTTTCCTACAATACACGAGGAGACCAAGATCTGGAAGCCGAATTATGTGCTCTTGCCTGAGAAGAGGGATGATTCATCGGTTTTGGAAGCCAACATCAGGTCATCATGGCCAGATCCGAGCGAGCTGAGGACTGAGGGCGAACATCGACTCATCAACTTCGGAAATAGACGCCTTCCACTTCCACGACTTGATCGGTATTCGAAGGAGGCGGTTATTGCCAAGGTTGCGAATGGTGCTACGGTTAAGGAGTTGGTTCAGGTCAAAGGGGATGATATTGCGTGGTATGAAAGGGATCTGGTCACCTTTGAGGGATTGGATAAGCATCCGTGCATGGAGCGTGAGAGGGACTCACTGGATAAAATGTCGTCTAACAAGGGCGCCATTGCTCCTTTCCGTCCTCCTCGTGGCCCTAGAAACCCTGGTCCTAGAAATCCTATTACAGGTCGTCGAGTATGGTCCAGAGCTGGTGGAAAAGCTAACTATCGGCCTCAAAATCGACCTCCGCCTGTTGCAGATAATTTGTGATTAAAGCAAGCGTCGAATCGTCGTTTGGTTTAAGATCTCTTAGTTCGAAAGCGACCTTCTGGTTGATGGTTTAGAAATTTACAAATGGATGGTTATGGTTATAGTTGTTATCGTGGTTATCGTTATCGCACAAATAGTATCGTGACAAATCCATATCGGGGATGCAAACGGTGTGTTCCCATCGCATCCCCACGGAGCTGCGACTCCGCCACCGGCGATAGCTTGAGCACCGACCAGTATTTCTTCCTGTCCTGTGTCGCATCTTTCACTTCCTCTTTGTTGACATCTGCTTGGATCTGCTCTTGTCTTCTCTTACAATCCACCTGTTGTCAACCTAGCGGTGTGACAGACAATCGCCCTTTGCTTCCTCCAGGGGCAGAGCTTTGTGCGACCGTGCATATCGTCCCCGATCTCCAGACTGCCCATCGTCCAGAGCTACATCGTGCCCTACCAAATACCTATTACTGGCCGCGACGGGCGACAGAATCGTTTGATATTGATAATATGAGAGGTGTTCGCGCCGGGTCTGGCGGGTCAATGGGGGTGCGGAAGCGTGAGGACATGTTTCGCATGAGCAATGTATGTGACCATTTGCTTGCAGCTTCCAGGTCGTTCTCCTTTGTCGTTGGAATGAATCATCAGAGTGCTTTTCCCTCCGTACTGGTGCTTCTGATTTGATCCTACTGGCATGAGTAGCTCTCACATATCGCGCCTCTCTTGAGTCTCTGGAGAAGGTTATGATGCTATGCAGTGCACTGATATGTGACACGACAAATGCTATGACACACTCGCGCAATGCTTGCTTGCTCCCAGAACCAAGAACCAAGTGGTGAAGTATGCGTTTGATAATTTATTTATACCATACATGTGATCTGTATAAATGTTTTGATTCCTTCTTCTTGGTTTGAACAGTCCTGTCCTATATATATATGGCGGTGAAACCAAGGCCTAGACTTAGTAGTCTAGAACTGTAGCTGCAAGTGGCGCCGTACTCGTATCGGGAGTCGGGTGAAGGGGCAACAATACATATCAGCCCAGTCGACTCCACCATCGCCTTATTCGCCTTTGCAATTCAGGGACCGAGGTTGGAGTTGAGACCCGAAATATGGTACTTTACAGCCCAGTCTCCTGTGGCGATGATATCATATGGCGGGAGAGCGAGAAGAATAGAACAGTTCTAGCTGGTTGACCAGAGTTATTGGCTTTCTATGTCAAAGAGTTAAAAAGTTCATTCTGTTCTGACCTGTGCTGAAACCAAATTCTCGGGACTCATCGCGGGGCTGATCGTCATTGGTACTTTACTGATAAGACTTTGCTATGCGGGGTGAAATGTTTACTCCGGCCACACGTCCAGACGCCCGGGAGGTGATTGCGATTGCGCACCCCGGTTTTATTTAACTTCTGTCTTCACAACCATCACAATCAAAAGTCACAATTATAATCCTGCCTCTTTCTACTGCATGGCCACCTCGATCCAAGTCACGCAAACCCCAGTACTATTGTTCCCTTGCGATATCTGCCAGCGCAGTCCTCAGTGAGTAGCTGATGCGCTGGCCCGAGGTGTATCCAGAGCATCGAGAGCAATCCATTTAAACTTTCTCAGCGTCAATCCGTTAAGCCTCACGCCATCATATTCCAACCCCTTCTCCCCGCAGACTCGGGCTTTGATCTCTCACATAACTATCTCCATCGTCTAGTTCAACCGTTGTCATCATGGAGTTAGCACGGCCTTCCAAGAAGACTAACAGTGTGGGCGTGCAGGTGGAAGATACTCAGATCTGTGTCGTGATGGTCGGTCTGCCAGCTCGTGGAAAATCACTCATTGCGCAGAAGGGTAAGCCACACCAGTGATGACCAGCTACTTCAGATCTAATGCTAACCCGTTGCCCTCTCTTGCAGCTCAGCGCTACCTCCGCTGGCTCTCCATCGATGCCAAAGTCTTCAATGTAGGCAACTACCGTCGCCATGACACCCCGCAACCGACCGCCGAGTTTTTCGACACCACTAATGTCGAGGGAGAGCGCATGCGCCGTCTCGCTGCTGAAGCTGCCGTGAAGGACATGGTCGCTTGGTTCAAGAAGGGTGGGCTCATTGGAATTCTGGATGCTACCAATTCGTCCAAGGAACGTAGACGCTGGATCAAGGATGCAATGGATGCCCATGGCATTGAGACCTTATATGTGGAGAGCAAATGCGACGACGAGGATCTCATCATGAGCAACATCCGCGAGGTCAAGACAACATCCCCCGACTACGTTGGCCAGGACCCGGAGGAGGCTGCCAAGGACTTCCGAAACCGAATTCGCAACTACGAGAAGGTTTACGAAACGATTGATGATGAGGAGAGTGATTTGACTTATCTAAAGATCATGGACGTTGGCAAGCAGGTCATAATCAATCGTATACAAGACTACCTCCAGAGCCGGGTTGTCTATTACCTGATGAATCTTCACATTAGGCCAAGATCCATCTGGCTATCGCGTGTAAGTAATGCACCGCCTCATTCATCGTCATATTGTCTAATTCCCTCATTAGCATGGCGAGTCTATGTACAACCTGGGCGGCCAGATCGGCGGTGATGCTGACCTCTCGGAGCGCGGTCACGAATATGCGCGTCGATTGCCGGAATTAGTCCGCAAGTCTGTTGGGGTATGTTCATTCCATCTCCATAGCTTCTCGGTGCCGCGGCAATGCGCTCCTTGCATCCACTTTGCTCGCCCTTGTCCATTGTAACCAATCCATGCTGACCTGATTAGGATGACCGCCCTCTGACCGTCTGGACATCGACCCTCAAGCGTACCATTCAAACCGCCCGCTTCCTCCCCGAACACTACAACCAACTTCAATGGAAGGCTCTTGATGAACTCGACTCCGGTGTCTGCGATGGCATGACCTATGCTGAGATCAAGGAGGCGTACCCCGAGGACTTCGCGGCGAGAGATGACGATAAGTACAACTACAGATACCGAGGTGGTGAATCGTAAGTTCATTCTGTCCATACAACTTACAATATTACTAATACCATAACCTCAGATATCGGGATGTCGTTATCCGCCTTGAGCCAATCATCATGGAACTCGAGCGCTCGGAAGATATCCTGATCGTCACTCATCAGGCCGTTCTTCGCTGCATCTACGCATATTTCATGAAGAAGGATCAGAGAGAGTCTCCATGGTTGAATGTACCCCTTCACACCCTCATCAAGCTCACTCCCCGCGCCTATGGTACTCTTGAGGAGTTCACTAGCTCGGGTATCAGTGCCGTTAGCACCTGGCGTGGGAAGGGCAGCGTTGCTAAGCACGAAGAACCCCTTTCGCAAGGAAACAGCTTGGGAAGCGCCGGTGACGGCGGCTCATAAACCAAGCGTTCCATTCGAGAAAATGCCGGGAATTCCTTGTTGAGCCAGAGATACGATTCAATCGCCATCTTCTCGCCCACAGAGAATTTCCTCCGCGGGTTTCTCGTATTGCAAGACCCATGTGCTCACGATACACACGAACAATGCGACGATTTCACTCTAGCATAGCGCTTCGGAGTTTTGAGGATAGATATGGCTTCCATGTGGGATACATGGAATTTCCTCTCCATTAGAAACATTTGCGTTTCCGTTATTGCCATTCATTCTTTGCATTGGGCGATTCATGGTTGGGCTTGGCTTTGTCCAGACCCTCAGGATCGGGGAATTAGAGTGGTTGCGATGTCAAGGCAGTGAAAGCACTCGTCGCAGTCAATTGCGTCATACACTCTACTCTGTACAATACACATTATGAACCAAGCCTTCGCTCTACATTAAGCTTATGCAGCTAAGGATAAGGAAAATATATCCAGCTGACAGCCAGCGATTTTAGACTGCTCCACTTTATAATTTTTCCTTACCCAACGGTTTGATCACATAAAGTATATTTAATCAACCATTGGTAAATAAATTGTAAGCCCTCTAGGAGTGCTATGTATGGCATTTCTAGGGAATTCTAAAGTAGATCTACAGTATAGATATAAAAAACGTGTGAAGTACACGGTGAGAATTATAGAAATCCCAACTTGATTTATTAATTGATTCGATTCATTAACTAGCTATTTGATATGTACAGGTATGTATGTAGTATGAGTGACCATACCTTCATGCTCCCGTTTGCTAGCTACCTGGGTATTAAAAGCAATGTGATGATTAAGAATATGTATTCTTTGCAAGGGCCTCAAGGGGTTTGGGGCGCTGAGGGGTGAATGGATGATAAAAGCATATTGAATAAATAAATTGAGGGGCGCATGGATGCTTGATATGTGATGAAAGCGGTGAAACAAGATGGACTAAGGGGCTGAATCGGAAAGGGAATAGTAAATGAGGGTAAAAATGAAATAGATAAATAGTAGGGAGATATGAACAAATAAGCAAGGTGGTAAATAAATCGGGGCATATATCCTTCCCTTCAAGTCATTTCGCCGCCATTTCCTTCCTTTCCAACTCCAACGGGAGGGAGTTGGTTTTTCGATTTGGTGTTGGTCTTTTTCTTTTTCAACGAGGGTTCGCCGCCGGGTGGAGAGGGATGTTGCTTGACTTTGCCCTTGCCTTTTCGCCCTGCCGGAAGTTGAGGGTGAGATTTGGAATTGCCTAGTTTTGCTTTGCGCTTGCCGCTATTGCTCTTGCGAGGCTGTATCTCAGACATATCTTTCTCCTCTCCCTTTCTATCGGGGGCAGAACCTCTCATGTCACCGGGTCTGCCCATCCCCGCCGAGGAGCCCTTATCCTCTGCCTGCCTCATGCGAACCATCAACTCGCCTTTCGAAGTCAAGAACTCGGCATCGGCCCTGACCCAATCTCCACCTTCGGCACTCATGGACCGATTATGTTTCCACAGCTCCTCTTTGCGTAGCCTCACCAGTGTATCCATGAGGATTATTCTCGCGTTGCCCCGACTGCGCTCGATACGCTCGACGGTATCGTAGCAAGTAAAGCATAAGAACAGTCCGCATCCTTTTGCGGTGTCTCCTTCCGGGACAGGGTTACCTTCCTCATCAAAAGGCGGCGGAGTGTAGCATCTGTATTCTGCAACTGCCACGCAGACATTGCACCATTTCGTCTTGCTAGCCAGCTCGCCCCCTTTGTTATCCCCATCAGTGAGTGCTTTGAAACTTTTCTTCAGTTCATTAGTATCAAAGCTCCGAACATCCAGGCCCTTTATTTTCTGGATGATATGCCCGTCACAGGTCGTGATTCTGAGCCGGGAGAATGTGCAAGTGATGCACATCTTGGTACTCTCTTTGCCGGCTGCGTAATGCCCGCCTTCTACTTCCTCGTTGCCAATCGAGCCGCCGTATGGTATGACCTCGACCTCTACTTCACCATGGCCCCAGAGACCAAAGAAGGGCATGTCGCACCAGGAACAGGGGTGTCTGCCTTCAGGGTCAGGAACGTAGTTGAATTGGATGGGGTGGGCGAAACATGTCTTGATTCTTTTGTGGGGGATTGCAGAGCTGCTGGGGATTTGCTCGAGTGAGGAACATTTGCTACTAGCTTTTGGGTGCTTTGTCTGGCATCTTAGGGAACTTGAAGTATCTGGTGGGACTTGAAGATTCTTTTTAACTGGGACTTCTGCTCTGCGAGATGGCTGCTTCTTCATCTGCTTGGAAGTTTTAGGTGTGGCAGAGTCATTATTAGGAGGGATTATGAGCTCGCAGTCAATGCCAGTGTCCTCACATGCAGTACACGGATACACATCGTCGAATTCGATGAGGGAGCAGTGGTCGTCGCCGATATTAAAGCAACCTTTACAGCCACGACGTTGTGGATGACCTTCTGTTAGGTGATCTATAGTAAGACCGTCCGACCTATTTGAAGTTAGCAAGGCTTGTGGAGGCCATATGGTTACATACCTTGCTACCGAAGTATTTGGGCTTTGCGATGCCTTTATTTTTCTGCGGCTTCTGGATGAACCGTAGCTAGAATCATTATCTTCGCGATCGACAGATTCTGAGAAACTGCTACAAGGATAGCTGGGTAGCGAAGGACCTGGACTGATAGACCTTAGATATTCCAACGATTTCTCGTGTGTGAACTTGAATGTCATAGGAAAGCTATAACCCACTCGCCGGTACAATCTTGGCGTTTTCGGCACGTTGTCTTCTTCGACATCTCGTGAAATTCTAGCTTTCTTAGCCGGCCTCGGACGGGTGGCACGTTCGTTTTTTGGATCATAGGTACCACTATCATCAATGTCAATCCAAGCTGTGCTGGCTCCACGAGTTGGCTCCTGTGCAGTCGTTCTCCTTTTCGAATTCAGTTGGATGCCAAGTTCATGAATGTCGACAGGGATTGGACGTCTTTCTATAGCCTCAAAATAGGCATCTTCTGGGGCGGTAATATCCTTGCTATAATTGAGCTCGTAGTCGAAATCTTCAGAACCTTCGGAGCCTTCGGAACCGTCAGACCCTTCGGGGTCTTTTGCCTTAGCCGGGCTGGGTAAAGTGGCAGTCCCATTTATGTCTTCAAATTCCATGATGTATGGGAGAAGTAGTCAGACGAGAAAGAGTCTGCAGAGTCATGAGTCAGTGCACTTAACTTGCACATAGTGAATGAAGGTAGTGAGAGGGAAGAGTGATGCAACTATGCATGATCAGCCGATGGATGTAAGAGTGGTTGGGCTTAGAAGCAAGGTGCAGATAATTAATTGGCGGTGGGGTAGAACATAGACGAGCAATATTTGAAGTTGAATGGATGCTGCATGAGAGCAATGAATAGGGCTGCGCGAGGGCTGAACATGTGAGGTCGATTGCTCGCCATGACCCCGTGGCATACACTCCCTCACAAGACAAAGTGAGGCTAACCTCCACATAACACAAAATACTCACTCTTAAATCGAAGTTAAGTTGCGAAGTGAGGTTTTTGATATTTTTCTGAGGAACCTCCAATAAATTTGTAATCTGATGTGCGGTGCGGTGGTGAAGCTGGGTGCAATGGTTGTGAAGTGTAATTGATGAGACTAGATTTTTAAAGGCAGCGTTCTTGCTCGCCGCTCAGCAAAGACGCATCATATACATGACGGCTATTCCTCGTAGCCTCAGGGCATGTAGCCAAGTCGCCAAATACCATCCATAGAAATAATATTCGGGAGGGGAAGTATGGGCCAGTCGACTACCGCTGAAAATGTCCCAGTACAGGTGACGCACTGGCACATAGAAGCAATACAATTCGTATTAGATGTTTAGTATAAACTACTGGGCTAGCTATTAAGCTCGGGTCCTAGGCAAACTTTGCAAGGGCTCAGAGTCTCAGAGACATGCTTCACCTGGAAGACAAGTGGAATAGGGCTAAACACAGGGAAGCTCAAATGTAGTACCTCCCCAAACAACCACAAAAGCGCTAGATAGATGATAGACAGAAGTGGGAGTAGCAGAGAATAAATGGAGTCGTTCAAGGCTCCTTGCACAGGGTGCGGAAAGAATACATGTAAGCCGTCGCAACGTTTATACAACGATGATTCCAGACTGCTGGCCAATATGCACAAGTACGGCTTCAATAGATGATATAATCGAAATCAATAGAGCCGGAGGAGTAGAAGACTCTGCAGATAAGATACGCCGTAGATCAAAATACACCACGAACAAAATACCCCATAAGATCAATATAACCAAGGGCGGACCTAGCTCAAATATGTCAAACCCGAGGTTTCCAGGCCACATTAACGAGTTATACACAACTACACTTGCAGACAGTGAAATAAGCTCGTAATATATTTGTATAAAACAATAGGCAAGGCAGCGGCGGTTGGTGTGTGCATCACGATCTCCTCGTCTCTGGTCTTGATTGTTGTTGATGGAGGGCTGTCTAGGCTGTGACCAGGGCTGGAGCTCGCTAAATTCTTCGCGCTAAATTTCCTTTTTAGCTTAAATTATTTTCTCGCTCGGAAAACATAGACCTTTTCTTCCTTTCCTCCCCATCACAACTTGGTCAATATCAAGCATGACCAGTAGTTGAAATACCATTATCACCTCTCCCAGGCGGCGGGATGAGGCTGTTACTCATAAGACATGGCGAGACAGTGGATAATGTCGCACGGAAATAGTAAGCTACCACTTCTTTGGAACGGAAAATGAATTCTGCTAACGATATCTGCTTCAGTGCTGGCATAACAGATTCCGCTCTTACGAATCACGGCGTGCTTCAGGCCAATTACCTCGGCGCCCACCTTGCTGCTACCGATGTGAAGATTTCCCACATCTTCTCATCAGATCTACAACGTGCCGTCAAGACAGCCGAAGCAATTCGAGCTGCTCAGTCCCCACTCCTAGGAGAGATCAAGAAGCTGCAACTCCTAAGGGAGCAGGATTTTGGTTCCTACGAGGGCAAGGCGTTCTCCCAACGTCCACCTAGGACCAACAAGAGCGGGAACCATCGCGATCTTGAAAGCCATCACTATGATCCTGGTTTTAAGGATGTAGAGTCGAAGCAGTCGATGATCATCCGCATGAACAGTTTCATAGATGCGTATCTACTTCCGATTTCTGAAGAAGGGCCCGCCGAGCAGCTGACGGTCGTTATCGTCGCACATGGCAATATCCTGAGCTACTTGTGGAGAGGGATACTGAAGCGGTTCAATGCGAGGGATGTAACTGTCGCATCTGGCGTTATTGTTACTGGTAGCACGCTGAGCCTGGAGTACCTTGGGAGCTGGTCAAATACTGGATATCTGGAGTTGGAGTGGAAGTCTGGAAATTCTACTGCTCAACACTCGGGTATATTCCCAAAGGAAGGCACAGTTGCGACTGATACCAATCCTTCCACGCCGACTAAGACATCAGCACAGTCTAAGTCGAGCTCACCATCGCTAGCCCAACAGGTGCCACCTCCGCTGCAGGATCGTCCGATTATACCTGCCAGTGTCTTGGCACTTCCGCCCCGGCTCTTGCACATGTCACTTGTGGTAAAAGCAGTGAACAGTCAAGAGCATCTGAAGGGGTTAAAGAAGGCTGGGGGCGGCATTGGGAGCCTGAAGCATGATTTGAGCCAGAAGACAGTGGACAGTTTCTTCAAGAAACAGAGAAGCGAGTGAGTTAGATAACCTTCGACACATCTCGCCCTCGGTCTGAGCAGTCGAAGCAATGCACGATCAAGTAAGTCTATTATTTTCTCTCGCTCCCATCCCAGTGATATGATGATACACCTTATTCACAGACCTGTTCTGAACCTAAATGTGGACGAACAAAGTACCAACTGCTGTCTGATCACTTCTTTCATTCTTTTTAATATGACCCATTCGCGGTTCTATAACAAGTACTGACTGAAATCTCTCCAGATACACATCGTTTTTGTTAGGACATGCGTGTTGGAGCATACAGGAACTATAGCTGCTGGATACTGCTACAGGAATCAGCTCTTATTCCCTCAAATTGCAATATATACACTATAACTCTAATTATTGTTTCGCTTCGAACCTTTGACACGTAACCGTTCCTATTTGAACCCCAATTTGATCTCCCTGTTCCCCTAAGACTGCCCCTTCCATGCCATCTCCACAAATTGTGGAAGCAGTAGGGTGGTATCTCGGATTATAGACGCTGTCCCTCCCCCCAAGGCCCTCTTGGAAGCTGTTCATTCTATCTATCAGCAAACTCCCCATCTTTTCATTCCCTCCCTATCCAGACTCGAGGTTTCCATGGGCATGCTTTCTATTATGTCTCACGCCCTCTATCCCTCCTATTTCTACTCTCTAGGGCACACTCTACGGAGCATAGTATAGTCAGCGGGCCTCGTCGCCGTGCAGGTAGGTACTAGGCGGCCCTACCCTGAAAGCTCCTCCGTCAGGATATAAACACTCCATACGCAGCGACGGAGAGCTCCTAGCCGGACACCGCAACCCATCCCAGATAACCCTAGTATTGACATGATAGGTGTCAACGGCCTTCCCGGGATTGCAGAGATAATCCCAGGTGGACTCAATCCCATGCTCATTCTTCACATGTTCCCCCGTGAAACCGACCGGAGCAAACCAAATTATAAATAATACTGCAGTAATTTCAATATCAATTGCCCCATATAATTTTCTGTACTACGTATATGTGTTCTGTTCGCAAGCCCGCAGAATATGTTTTCCTTTTCCCAAGGAGACCAATAGCTGAGGCTCCTATCGTTGATGGCTCTTGCTGGTTGGATTTTGCAGTCAGTACCAACAAATCAACACATCATGCACCAGTGAAGACCGGTGCTACGTATCCTCGGTTAGATCAATCACAAACACCATTGTTGCTTTTCCTTGTGTAACTCCCGTGCCTGTCTCTAGGACTTCGTATCTCGATCGATCTCGTCCGCATGGCATTGTTTGTTGGACATTCCGCATGGCGGCGGGTCGGCTCGCATTGGATCCAACATCTCGTACCAGTATCTCCACCGATGCAGAGCAGGGAGCGCTTGTGAAACTCCCAGGAAGAACCAGGAAGAAGAGGTGCGAGGATGGTAGCAATTCGTCGGAAGGAATTGGCGAAGATGACCTGTTGACTGTCTTCTAGAGAGCAAACTACGTACCGTACTCTATACGAAGCACAACAATGCTAATTCTCTCGGCCTCATCACGATCGTCACTACTGCGTTACCCGTTAGATGTCAAACGCAGTCTTTGCCCCGACCCCCACAAGTCTGAGCCAGCGAGGATCCTTCAGCGACGGTCGGAAAGCGCCCGTTATGGCCTTGCGCTGCGCTGCGTCTTTGTCCGAGCCTCCAAGGGACTGCCCCGAAGTCGTTAACCCAGCCAGTATCATGGGCTAATTCAGCAAAACGACCCTGGTGTCATGGTCCCCCCCCAAGAAGCGTGGCCGGCCCTGTTACCCTGTGGCTTACTTGAACCTCGTGGCCGAACACGCGGGCGTTCCGCTCCCTTCCCCGTTGGCGATTGCTCTTTTATTCGGTGGGAGACTTCTAGGGCTGCGAATTCAATTCTAGGGCCCTCAACCGCACAGGGCATGGCATCTTCATTATTTGCAGCTTGAACCCCATCGTCCGAAATCTGTTCCATACCATCTCGCTGTCTCCACCAGCTCATCTACTGCTTCCCTCCCGGCCCTAGCACAGCGCCAGAGCCAAGTTCACGCCATGGTAGAAGGACCTCACGCCCCGGTGGCGCCAGCTGCAGACTCGGCGACACAACAGCCGCAGACCGAGTCGCCAACAGAGCGACAGGTAGAGCGGCAAATAGAGCATCAGACACAGGCGCAGATTGTCGCCCTCCAGGCCGCGACAACAATAGAGCCAGGCACTGACGAGTCCGACGATGGGTACGGGACCGACTATGATTCGCGGGCATCGACATCGATATCCTCGAGCGTGCGAGACTATGCATTCGAGCATGGTCGACGATACCACCAGTACCGTGCTGGGCAATATCAATTCCCCAATGACGAGCCAGAGCAGGAGCGCGAGGACATGAAGCATTCGATGGTGGTTCACCTCTGCGGAGGGAAACTTCACTATGCGCCGCTTAAAAATCCTCAACAGATAATTGACCTTGGGACGGGCACTGGCATATGGGCAATTGACAGTAGGTTATGTCATATTTCCGAGCTCCTTTCGGAGATTTCTATTTGCTGAACAATGCATCTACAGTGGGCGATGAATACCCCAGCGCCCAAGTGCTTGGGACCGACTTGTCCCCTATACAACCCTCGTTCTTACCACCCAATGTCAGATTCATGGTAGATGATGCAGAGAGCCCGTGGTTTAGCGCGCCAGATTCTCTTGACTTTGTCCACGCGCGCAACATGTGCGCAGCAATCAAAGACTGGCCTCAGCTTCTCTCGCAGGCGTATACGTGAGTTTGGACATCTCCCCGTTTTCCTAACATCCGCTGATTAGATGTTGGTAAGATGTTTGAAACCTGGTGGCTGGGTTGAAATTCAAGACCCACACTATCAGGCCAGATGCGATGATGGCACTATGAATGAGGACTACCCGGTAGCAAAATTCTTCAATACCGTGAAAGAAGGGCTTGCGGTTTTTGGGGTAGATCTACTAGGGGCCAAGAAAAACGCCGACCTCCTGCGAGATGCTGGATTCACCAATGTCGAAGAGAAGGTGTTTAAGATACCTATAGGTGTGTGGCCCAGAAACAAGACGATGAAGCTTATCGGGCTTTACATGCGGTCAGTGATCTATGACGGTCTCCAGGCTATTAGTCTCGGTCCTTTCACAAGAGGGCTTCATTGGACACCTGAAGAAATCGAGGTGTTCTTGATCAGCGTGAGGAAGGCACTTATGAACCAGGCTACCCATTCTTATGTTACTTTTCACGTCGTATACGGCCAGAAACCTGGGGAGAGCTAGCCAAGAAGTGGGCTGGGCTACGCCATGGTGTAGATTTTTTGTTACTATTCTTGGGGCATATCGTTGTGGGACATCACATCTATGCTTGGGTTGATTTTATCTTGTCTTTCCTGGGCACGGGCGGCGCGTAAGGGTGGGAAGTATTATCCCAAAATCACGCCTAGAATCATGGCAAACAGGATATACAGTCACATCATATTACCAGCGATGATTGCTATTGTCTGGAGCCACGAGCAGCTTGGGCGGTCTCGAAACTCGAGTCTGAGCGGAGTCCTAGGGCGAGCCAAACCGCGTGGGGTTATCGGGATTTTGTTCGCGGAAGCAGCGGTGCGTGCCGGCCGGCTGCAAGAGTGGGGTAGGCGCATTACAATAGCGGTGTCCTTACGCTGTCCGAGGGTCCTAGTGGCAGACTACTCCAGATAGCATCACAAGCTTTGGCAGCGTTGTGATTTGGCCTTGACGGGGTTATGTGTTATTTAGCGGACGAGCTACTGCAGCGATGCATCCTCTCCATCAATCACCTAAATTGTCGCCATCCCATGTCCAATCAGCTAGGCAGTTCAGATATAATTCCGCAGTAATGCCAATACAACACGGAGTACGTACTGTAGGTGCGGTAGGTGCAGTAGCAATACTTGTCTACGTTGGACAAATAGCCTGATGCGCTACAATTGGTTCTAACCTCTTGCGACCCGTGGTTACCAGGGTATGCGGTGCCCTCGATTCCGACGCCCTGGATCCTGGATATCTTCAGCGGAAGGCGGTAAACTCTCGTACAGCTTCACATCTTCCAATCCCAGGGCACCCAATCCCATTTACGTACATTCGCCTTGAAAGGAAGCAACTCCTGTCTTTTAACAATGTCTTCCCTCGAGAAATTGACTACCTTGTCAAATGAAATATCGAAGAACACCAAAATCCTTACAGACTATCTCTCATCGAAGGGTCTTGAGGCCCCATCATTCGATGTCGATGGTCTAGATGAGTTTCCCATTTCTCCAGAGGACGAGGAACCATTCAAAGCTCGCCTCGCCCTCATTGCCGCGACCAAGGAGCTATATGATATTTCTCTCGGCCCCAAAGAGAGTCTTCGCTATCTGGCCTGGGATGTGAGCATCACTTCTACCCTCCTATCGCAGGAGTGAATTGCATTAGCAGGACTGTCGCTCACATGACCTTGGTTATAGGCAGCGAATAATCTCTCCCTCCAAGCTGTATATGAATTCAAAATCGCGGAGAATGTCCCTCTCTCCGGGTCAATTTCGTATCAAGAGCTCGCTGAGAAAGTCAATGTGCCTCTCCTAAAACTACGGCCTCTCATCCGTCATGCGATGACGAATCACATCTTCCAAGAGCCGGTAAAAGGGTATGTCGGACACACGCGGACTTCTCGGCTTCTTGTTGAGGATAAACCCCTTCATGCTTGGGTGGCGTTCTATTGTGAGGATTTGTGGGTTTCCATGACGAATGTTGTCAAGTCGATGAAGAAGTGGCCTGGAAGCCAAGAACCTAACCAGACGGGAGTCAACCTCGCGTTTGGGACTGATCTCCCTTGGTTTGATTTCCTGCAATCGGACGAGGCCCTTGCGAAGAGGTATAATTTGGCCATGCAGTCTGTTGGCGGAGGTGAGGGTTTTGCGATGCACCATGTTGTTGAGGGGTACCCATGGGCGGGACTGCCAGATGGTGCCACGATAGTTGATGTGAGTGTCTCCCATATTCATATATTTCATCTCAGTCACCCTTACTTGCCATCGCCCCTCTATATAAATTGTAGATATATCTAACTCATTTATAGATGGGAGGAAACCAAGGCTACATCTCTTTCGCCATCGCAGAAAAGTTCACCAAGCTCAACTTCATCGTCCAAGACACTGCAGGAATGCGCACGACCGAAACTATCGGCGCTGTCCCCGAAAATCTAAAAGACCGCGTGACGCTCACTACTCATGATTTCTTCACGCCACAGACCGTGGTCGCTGATGTGTATTTCTTTCGCTGGATCTTCCACGGCTTCTCGGAGAAATACTGTATCGAGATTCTTCAAGCCCTAGCGCCTGCGCTGAAGAAGGGCGCGAGAATTGTGATTAATGACGGTACACTACCAGAACCCAACACAGTGACGTATCTGGAGGAGAAGACTATGAGGTATATTTTGTTATTCTGCGATAAACGAGTCGAGGAGTGTAATGCTAATATTTTTTATTTAGGACCATGGATATTATGATGCAGGTCACGGTAAATGCAAGGGAGAGGGAGGTAGATGATTGGAAGGAACTATTTCAAGCAGCGGATCAGAGATATAAGTTCTTGAAGGCTTGGAAGCCAGAGAAGAGTCGAATGTGGCTGATTGAGGCCGAGTGGGACCCAGAAGCCGGTGCTCAAGTAGAGTAGGACCTACGTCGATACCAATATAGGAACAAGTTCTAAATAAATCGAGTATATATATTTGTGAATCAACTTACATCATGGTTTTTAGATAACAGGCATTTATTTGTAGCCTCGAGGTAGGAAAGGGGGGGATGGTCGTTGTGTTTTAGTTTCCAACTGTTGGTTTCCGAACCAGCGGCGAGTCAGATCGCATGCACGTGATCGGCCTCGCTTATGGCGGAGCTAAACTCGCTTCCCTTCCAAATCCCACAACTGGATTTTGCAGAACTTTCAACTTCACGACGCCGACAACAACAACGACAACGATTGTACTGGTGACCCTCGAAATCATCAGGTCAGTATATCGAATTACTATCCCTCCAAGCCATGGATGCTTCGCTATCAGTCAACCACGACCAGAGTCTACTGTCAGAGAAGGAAATGCGCGCACGGCTAAAAGCGATTGGGATCGCAGCACCGATCGAGCTCAGCGATTTCGTGATGCTACGAATCTGCGAAAACTCGATCTTGCGCGCCGACTTTCACTGCCTGTCATCGATATCCTCTCTGTGAAAAGGGCTCTGGTTGCTGCAAGATTTTTGGTGTTTCCACGGCTTAGAATCCCCCCTCTTCTGTGATTTTCCTAGTTCTCTGCTAACATCTACGCACTCCAGAATCCGCAATCATGGGTATCAGCCGTGACAGTCGACACAAGCGCTCCGCCTCTGGCGCAAAGCGATCATATTACCGTGCGTAGTAGAAAGCCCATGTGCCTTTTGGCATATGTTCCAACCTGCAAAAAACTGAGAATTTTACAGGGAAGAAGCGCGCTTTCGAAGCCGGCCGTCAAGATTCCAGCACCCGTATCGGAGCCAAGAGAATCCATCTCGTCCGCACCCGTGGTGGCAACCGAAAATTCCGTGCCCTCCGCCTCGAGTCCGGTAACTTCTCATGGGGATCTGAGGGTGTAGCCCGCAAGGTCCGTGTGATCGTCGTCGCCTTCCATCCCTCGAACAACGAGTTGGTCCGAACCAACACCCTCACCAAATCCTCCGTCGTCCAGGTCGACGCCGCCCCTTTCCGACAATGGTATGAGGCACACTACGGAGTGAACTTGGGTCGAAGACGTCAACAGAAGGCCGGCCAAGAGGTAGCTGAGCCAGCGAAGAAGAGCAAGTCGGTTGAGAAGAAGCACGCCGACAGATTCGCTGCTGGTGGAAAGGTCGAGCCCGCATTGGACAAGCAATTCGAGGCTGGTCGTCTTTTCGCAGTCGTTTCATCCAGACCCGGACAGAGCGGACGTGTCGATGGTTATATCCTAGAGGGAGATGAGTTGGCTTTCTACCAAAAGCAACTCCGCAAGTAGAGGAATTGCTACTGGGTTGGCTTGGTATGGGCGTCTACTTTATGTGGGAATTCATGGCTTGGAGTTGCATTTGCGAAACCCTTTTTCGTAGGATGATCATCTGAGAAGGGCTATGAATAAAATCAATGAATACTAAAAGTAGTTTGTCTATAATTGTTGTGCAACTTGAGACTTTCATGCTGTTGTCGTGCCTGGTTGGCTGATCTTGTACGAGGTACTAAGTACTTTGTACTGTACCTTGTAACACTGGCGGCCATCGTCTTAACCCCGCATCACACCCATGCATAGTTCTCCAATAGCTTAGTTAGCTCTTACATCTATCTTCCCCAAATTGCGCCTTGTCATTGCCAATCCGTCCTTCGATATATATAATATATATAACGTTGGTCTCATCCTTTCAATTAGCTTCCTCTTCGCCATCGCATACCGATATAGGCCGCCAGCCAAAATGTCTACTACAGCCTCCACATCCGCTGCCTCGGGGCCTTCCCACTCCCACTCGCTCTCTCAGTCGAACTCGCAGTCCCTCTCTCACACCTCGACCATGCCATCCTCGCCCTCGCCCGAGTCAGCGCGTCAAATCGCTGAAGCACGCGCCGTCCTCGAAGCCTCAATGTCCAACATCGGCGCCTCTCTTGACACCTCCCTCCGTAGCCGCGCCACCACCCTCCACGCTAACTCCGCACAGCTAGAAAAGCAACAGAAGGATGTCGTTAAGGAGACGGCGAAGCTGCGGAAGGAAACGGATAAGCTGAAGAAGGCTGCAGATGAGGGGGCGAGGAAGGTGAAAGAGTTGGGGAATGTGCAGAACTGGGCGGAGATGCTTGAAAGGGACTTTCTAGTGCTGGAGGAGACGCTGAGGTTGGCTGAGCAGGGAAGTGACAGCGATAGTTGGGAAAGTGACAGTGGGAGCGAGGGGAGTGGGAGGAGTAGTCGGCGAGGGAGTGTTGATGGAGACGGCAAGCGGGAATCGGAGGGAGAAGTAGTTGCGCAAAAGGGCGCAATAGTCCCGAGGGCTGTGGATGCCGAGGGTGATGTTGCTATGGATGGCGTCGCAGAGCAGAATGTGCAGGATAAAAGGAAAGCCAGGATGGAAGTTGATGCGAGTCCGATTACTGTGCATGAACAGACTGCGGAGCCTCAACCTGAAGTTGTTGGAGGCTCATCGACTGCCACACTTGATTCTTCTGAGACGGAACCTTCGTTGAGCTCCGTTCATACAACACTCTCTGTGGCCAGTTGAACCATGGTTCAGAGACCTACCTGTGGGTCATGAGATGGCATGGGCTGGCGTCTTGGTCATATTTCCATGGCTTGACGAAGTCTATGGCTCCTCTAGCAGACCCAAATTCTCTTGAATATACGTCAAGCACCTCTCGCCATCATGTAGGAGAGGGCCACGGAAACAATAGCTCGACTAAGGACGAACCCGAAACTTAGCAGACGATTATGTCCCTGGGGGGTTTATGGGGTACGTCAGGCCCATGATGAGGACCTCCACACTGGCCCTCATCTTTGAGAGTCCCGTTTTGGTAGAAGACTTTTGAATCTCGTGGCCCCTCCGTGGTGGACCTTCAGATGGAGTATCGATATCGGAACCCGTATCAAGTCGAGTTTCAAGTGATCCCAGAAGGAATCTGAAAGCATATGAGCGCTATTCAGCATCTACCTCAATATTGGCTATGAGTCCGCAATTTGGCATTAATCTTCGCGACTAAAATGAGGCTCACTGCGACAAATTATCGCGATTGGAGACTTTGCTAGAATTGAAGCGAACTTTGTTTTTCAAGCATACCAAGTCAGGTTTTATGGATACCCTTTGAGCGATCAGTTTATAAAACAACGGAGAAAGCAGGTTGTATATTATCGCAATTTGTGGTTGTGTGGAGGAGAATTGCTAAATCTGATTTTCCTTTCGCATATTCTGCACATTTTCTTTCTCCTCTCCTTTTCAGACTTTTTACTCCGTACCAGCATCTATACCAGACAGAGTTTGCACGAAATGGAATCGCCGTGAGTGCGGTAGAGGCCAAGCCAGCGCAACATGAGGCGGAGATACCTCCGTACATGCCATCAAACACCAACTAACAACCAGGACAGGCATTCCGTGCCTACCTTACCTTATGTTGCGTGGGGGCTGTGTTCTGTTAAACTTTTCGGACTACGTATCTCGATCGGGGTTGAAGTTTGCCTCGGCATATGGACTGGTACCTTCACGATACATGATCAGTGGTTCGTTTGCCCTTTGTGACTTCCAATTATCATGGGAATTGCTTGGTATTACGTACGGTACCCACGTACGTACCTAGTAGGTGCTGTGCGTAATACGCGATGGGTTCCGCATTGGGATGTCTTTGAGTTTGATGATCAACTCTCGTTCTATCCTGGATACGGCGCGCCGTTTGCCGGCGACATACGTATGCTCTGCTCTCAACTACGTACATATGTTGATGTCTGCCCAATGTTTAAGCAACTGCCTATAGCGCACAATACAATAGAGTGATACCTATCGAAAATGAAGACTTGCCATTTGCTACTTCGTATCGCTTTCTACACGTGTGATAACTATGAGTTTTTGTTAAAATTCAAGCATCTTCGGTACTTGTTTTAGCACTGCCTGAAGGGACTGACTATATACCTTGGCATATATATCGCCAACGGTGGTATAGGGTTACTTGTAGACGCTCATATCGCATGCGCCGCACACATATATCGACCCCACTTCGAATGTTCAATGTTACTCCTTTGATTCTCCTAGCCAGTTGGAAACCAACACGGTATTTTGCTTGTCTCATAACCCTAACAAGTTTGTCTGTGCCTTAAATCAAGTGATGTGCGGCCGATCTTTGAGTCTTTCATCTGGCAAATCACCTCCTTTCCACTATATTTTGTACGTGATAAACTCCTTCATATCTCGTCTGCCTACAGGGCAATGTACAATGATTGCGCGGCATGGCATGGGTCAATTGAAGGGTAGTTGGCGTAAGCTGTGACACGTTACCTAGGGCTTAGTCTCTGTCAGTCTGACTCCTGATGGAAGGAAGTTCTCGTGGGATCTGAATTCTCCTATTTGTATCGTTTCCCTTGATTTTGTATACGATTTTTTCTCCCTCTTCAAAACTATATTATGATAGCCTGAGCAGTTACACCTTTAGCTTCATGATACAATAGTCCAGCTTGATATACATATCGTCAAATTCAGAGTCAGTAATAGGGGCATCTATCGAACGGAGCAATGGGCATTTTAAAGGGTCCCCTCCGTCGCCATTCACTCGTAATCGTCGCATTAGCATTATGTATCCTTATCGTGTATACATGTCAAGTCTTACTGCCGTTAAATGATCGACCATTTCCTCGGGTGCTGAAGGACGTTGGCACACGGTTGAAATCAGAACTCGGGGCTGCATCAGGTCCATTCTCTCATACACCAGTCCCAAACACGACCGAAACTGGTTCTTCTATAAAACCAGGCCTACAGCCTCAACCTCCGAAGAACAATGGATTAAAGGATGATAATACTGCACCAGAGAGCGTCCTTGGGCCTGATCATAAACCAACTTTCGATACGGCTTCATCAGTGACTGCAGCGACTGCCACTTCTAATTCTCAATGGGCCTTCGATACCACACGAGACGCACGAGCGTACGGGCTCACCACAAAACAGTGCAATGCCGGGTTTCCTGGACTTTTCTCGGAGATTAAACGGGCTATCGCATACAGGAAAAAGATTGGGAAAATCACACTGAAGGATACTGATATATCCTGGCGAGAGGATGGCGCCGTAAGAGCGATGATTTTTGATCAACAGGTATGAAATTTCTTCTCCGCTTTTGCGTAACTCAAGGCCCTCCGAATCTTAGAAGATTTTTACAAGTCATTCATCTCACAACTCCACCCAGCTCTACATTCTGAATCCAAATTCGGTGACAGCATATATGGTAGCACCCGTGCTCTCGCCCTTCTTCACTCCATCCATCGCTCTATCTTAACTTCGCCCACACCAATCCCCAACATCGAGTTCTCATTCTCTCCCTCAGACCTCACCGATCCCGATGGAGTTGGCCATAGCATCTGGGCGCTTTCCCGCACAGCAGACCAAGAGGAAAAGTGGCTGATGTCTGATTTTGGATACTGGAGTTGGCCAGTTGATCTCGTGGGCGGGTATGAGGAGATTCGCCGCGAGATGCAAGATACTAAAATTAATTTCCAAGATAAAATTAAGAAGGTGATATGGAGGGGGTCTGTTAAGACAAATGAGCATAGGAGCCAGTTATTAGATGTAACAAATGGCAAGGAGTGGGCTGATGTGAAAGGTGTCGACTGGGCGAATGAGACGATGGTTAAGAAAGGAGATGCTGGCAATGCGCTGAGTATAAGTGCGCATTGTCAGTATATATTTGTCGTTCAGACCGAAGGTATGTCTTTTCCTTCCGTTCGATTCCTATTTTATTTATGTTTGAATTTTCCCCTTTGCTAACTCTGCGAACGCAGGACACAGCTATTCAGGCCGAGGAAAGTATCTCCAAAACTGTGACTCCGTTGTTATTATACCCACACCACGTACCTGGCTGGAACCTCATCACCCACTCCTTGTTCCATCTGGCGAGAATCAAAACTTCGTTGAAGTCAAACCCGACTTTTCCGACCTTGAGGAAAAGATCCTACCCCTCCTTGCTGATGTCGACAAAGCGAAACGCATTGCGACATCTGGGGTGCAGGTATTTAGGGATAGATATCTGACTGCAGCAGCGCAAACTTGTTATTGGAGGCGCATGTTTGAGGGGTGGGCGGAGGTGAGTTTTGAACCAGAAGGATGGGAGGCATTGAATGATGGAACAGACGGGAGAAGGGTTAGGGGAGTACCGTTTGAGACCTTTGCGTAAGTGAGACCCTTGCCCAGTTTGGTTTAATGAAACTGGCATGCTGACAGACTGGCGCGAAGAATACAGAGGACTGTTCCAATTAAGGCGTGCTCATGGTGGAAGAAGATACTATCTCAATGCTGAAGACGGCCGACCCAGTCGGATCAACACTTAACGCAACATACATGAACAGCACTCGACACATAAGACATGGGATGTGGCAGATGGCACAGGGAGAAACCCTCCGAACAGAATCAGAATTGGCTTGGGCGCAACCGCAAATACTTCGACATTTGCTCGTTGAAGCCTAGGAACCCAACTACTTGCTCTCCTTTTCCCCAGCATCGGCGGAAATCCATGAGCAGGTCCTAGAGTCCGACACCCTACTTTCGCTTCATCTCTCACATCAAAATATGAGTTTCAGTTCAGAAGTTCATGAGAACACTTCGGTGACTAGATCAAAGAGAATATATTGAGTTCCGCTTGTTTAGACTCGTCTTGGGACATATATCTATGATTGCTCAACGCCCTAGCAAGTGAGGCCTCCGTCGATTACCTAAAGCTACGTCAGTTGCCAAATTCAGCCCCGCGAGGCGTTATCTTACCTGAACTGTGCCGGTGATGTATGAGCTGGCATCACAGAGCAACCACGCCACCAACTGGGCAACTTCTTTAGGCAACCCTTTCCGATTGATTGGCGACGAAAGCTCCTCTAGTTCGCTTCCGGCAAGACTTACGCACTCTTTGTCCATAGAAGTGTCGATACCACCACTGTTTTAATTAAAATTAGAATTAGAATTAGAATTTAAGAAGTACTTTTAGGTCGGTTCGACTTACGGAGCTATGCAATTGACTCTTATCTCTCGTTCGCCAACCTCCTTGGCTACTACTCGCGTTAGGCCAACAACGCCGTGCTTTGCAGCTATATATGCTGCATTCTTAGGCCCTCCGACATTTCCAGCTACACTTGCTGCGTTGATAATACTTCCCTTATTATTCATGTTTTTGAGCTGAGCTCTCATACAATGCATAACTAATCGACTCATAAGCATTCAACGCCGTTACAATCAAGTCAGGAAACGTAGACTTACCTCCCGTCAGATTAACATCAATGCTTATATTCCAATCAGGCTCATTCAAGTCCTCAGCGGCCCCGATAGAGAAAGAATTCGGAACCGCACCCGCCATATTGGCCGCTCCATCTAACCTCCCGAATTTCTCCACAGTCTTGGCGATCCAGTCGTCCACTTCCTTCGATTTTCTAACGTCTATGACTTGCGCGAATATATTCCCTAGATATCCTGCGAAGGCTAGTTTCTCTACTGTATCTTGGAGACCGCTTTCGGATATGTCTGCTAGGGAGACTTTTGCTCCTTGGGAGAGGAAGAGCTCTGCGCATGCGTAGCCTATTCCTCCCGCTGCGCCAGTAACTGCAATTACTTTGCCTGCTATGTCGAAATTTGGAGCCATGGTGGGGTTGGATGATGATGATGCTGTGAGGTAGACCGCGGGAATTATGATTTACAACCGCGGGGAATGGAGTAGCTATTGATCTATTTAAGGTCTAAGACATCCCACTTGTGCACAGATGGATCTCGATAGTCTAATACTCCATATATGAAGCCGAACTCGTCTACTCCATATCTAAGCATAGGTCCACTCTCATACATACTAGTAACATTGACGCCTGCGGCTCCACGGGGCATTCCTGGCCCTATTGTTTTACCATTCCGGTAGTAAGATCAGTACTATGTTCTCTAGCTAGAGACTAGACTTATATTTTGTTGACCGGTACATTTGAGGCTTTTCGTGGCATATGGAATAGTTGCCGGATCGCTTGGCTATTGCTCCACCTTTGGCACTTCCCCGCAACGGTATAACCTTTTCCGATAGCATCGGGCGGAGTATATATGCATCTCTATCCACATTGTACTTGTAACCTTTTTAGTTCATATCTGGTTATACGTACTGTGCCTCTATTGCAGAGTTCGCAAATCATGACTAGAGATATATGTTATAAGTTGTACGATGCATTCGTATTATTTGTTTTTAAAAAATATAAAACAGTGGCTTAAGCCCTTGGTTATTTTTTGAAATTATATTTCTGCCCACCGGCTATATGCCTAAGCTGTGCCGACTCTGCTACTTGGAATCCTCAACATATCAACGTCCATACTTAAGGTATATCACAAACCAAGGCGCACGCGGTAAAAGGAACTTACATATGAGTTCTCTCGAAAATCAAACTGGTCCTACTGACATGTTTTGTTAAAATAGTTTAGTATACGGATGATAATGGAAAATATATTGCAATGGGCATATTAAATAGAGATAAATGCAAAACCAACAGTAAGTAGAATAAATTGACCAATAGGGCAGAATTTACTCCAGCAGATAGGGGTTAAAATTATTAAAATCAAGCAGCATCCTCATATCCTCATAATCTACTCCACCCTTCCTGCCTGAGATGTGATGAGAAGCTCAAGCGCTGACCCAAAACAAGGCTACAACTCATTTCATAGAAGCCGTTTCGTCTTTCCGGTGCTACCCACTTAGGGGCCCGTAGCAGTATCTAAAATTTTCTGGATGTATACCAATGTTATCGTCCTAAGTGAAGGAGGCGTGCGAATAACTGCTATCTCGAAAGACGTTGAATTGGCCGCGGTCGCAGGTTCACATGCAATATGTTGTGTAGTAATTGGTTGGGCGGCTGCCAAGCTTTTGTCTTCCCGGCCCTGCAACCCCCCGTCGAGCTGAGGCTAAAAAGCATCACAGTACAAACGGAAGATATGGTCGCGAAAACATACTAAGGCTCGACAACATCCTGCGATTGCGCACGCTGCACTAGGTATCCTTCAAGTCCAGCCCCAGCACTTGAAAGCTGTCTTCGAGCTTCAACCTCGCTCAACGTTCCACAATGGCGCCTCCAATTATCCTCAAAGTGACGCAACGATGTAAGCCTTCCCAACTCAATATATAAGCTCTCAATGGCTAATATTATAATTACCAGCTCCCCGAAATCCTATCAAGAAGCTACCAGCCAACATCGAAATTACAGAGAGATCGACAGTTCAAGATGTCAAGGATAGGCTGGGTCTACAAGCCGGTGGGATGGACCCGGAACGATTGGGCATCTGCGATCCGGAGAAGAAGAAGATCTTGAAGGACAGGAAGGCTCTTGTCAGCCAGCACAAGGAGGTTATGGCAGGGCGGGAGATCCTCATCAAGGACTTAGGTATACTATTTTCAGCTGTGCCTCGCCTTAGCGATACTATACTTACTGTTTGCCTACCAGGTCCGCAACTCTCCTGGACGACAGTCTTCGTGATCGAATACCTCGGACCTATCCTAATACACCTCTTATTCCTTGTCATCCGACCTTACATCTACAAGAATGCGGGCCCTATGTCAACCTCCCAGCATCTCAGCATGGCCATGATAGTTCTGCACTTCCTCAAGCGCGAATATGAGACCCTTTTCGTCCACAAGTTCTCCCTCGCCACGATGCCGTTACGCAACATCTTCAAAAACTCCGCCCATTACTGGGTACTCTCGGGTTTAAATATCGCTTACTGGATCTATGCACCTACATCCTACGCCGCGCGTTCATCGCCCACAATTGACAAACTCAACATCGTCGGATTAGTACTATATATCTTCGGCGAAGTGGCCAACTTCTACACACACGTTGCGCTCAGCAACTTGCGTTCTCCTGGAGGAACAGAAAGGGGTATCCCCAAGGGCTTCGGTTTCGGCCTCGTTACATGCCCCAATTACATGTTCGAGCTTATTGCGTGGTTCGGCATTGCGCTTGTAACCAAGAGCTGGAGCACGGTGCTTTTCTGGGGTTTTGCATATGGACAGATGAGGCTGTGGGCGATCAAGAAGGAGAAAGCGCTACGAACGGAATTCCCTGATAAGTACCGCAAGAAGCAGTGTGGTATCTTCCCCACTCCGGCTGTGCTTGTTAAAGCTTTGGTGGGTTGAGTAGGCGAGACTGTGATCTAGTGGCCATTTGCAAGAGCTATAGAGATGTGCGTAGCTGTAGTTGGTTTCATAGATCATTCGGATTATGTATGGAATTAGTTTGGTTTCATGGGCGCTAGGAAAAGGAAATGCATGGAAGGAAAAATGGGATATGTTTACTTTGCTATATCCCTGGGCCATAATAGACCGGATGATGCCTTGTTACACTATTACGACTTGTGCTACTAATTACGCCTTTTAGGTTACTTGCTGGAGAAAGTTAGAGTTTCAAGAGGTAAGTAGATTTCCATTATACGCATCTGACAAATCCGCTTGCTCTCATTCGTCAGCGCTCATTCATCACCTCATGGGCTATAGCATGACTTCTTCCATTTACCGGTCAATATTGGTTATGTTGCACCCTGCTTTGTTTAAGGCATCTCTCCTACTCTATGCGTCCTCTTTATTGTGTTTGATCACTTCCAAATGTTCTCTTGGCTTCTTACTGTGTCATAATGTGTCACTACATCTCGCACATCTACTTTGATTTCCATCGATATCAACTGTAGACATCTCGCAATATCTCTATAGGTAGTCATTGCGTGATTCTAGACGCTACCTTCATCTTAAACTTGAAGGTTGACAACTGTCTAAGGCCAACTGATATACGTCTCTCGCTGACAAGCGTCGCATTAGCAAAAGGGTACTATTTATCATGGAACCTTTGAGGCGCTCGCCCCGAAGCGTGGATAGCAATAACTCCACCACCCCGATGCTGCAACCTGAGCCGCCATCGGAGATCATCAAGCGACAGGTTGCAGGCCAAGGCAGGCATCGAGCCATGGGCCACGTGGAAACGCATGCCCAATATGGCGATGTGATTCGAGATATAATTATTGGCTTCGCGGATGGGCTGACCGTTCCATTTGCACTGACTGCTGGATTATCCTCGTCTGTCGCACATCTCTCACCTCTACTCTGCCACTGACGGATATTAGGCTTGGTTCCGCGAGATTGGTGGTCATCGGTGGACTGGCTGAGCTGTTTAGTGGTGCCATCTCTATGGGCCTAGGAGCTTACCTCGCTGCTGTCACTGAGAGGGATCATTATCTTGCTGAGGAAGAAAGAGAGCGTGCGGAGGTTCGAGATACTCCGGAACATGAGAGACAGGAGATCTTCGATATCTTGGGGCGGTATGGTATTGATGCGGATACAACCAGGCCATTAGTGGATGCACTCTTGGCCGATGAAGATAATTGGGTCCAAGTGAGTGGAATTCTAAATTTATGGTAGCTGGAAAATAATTTGGAGAATAGTTCATGATGGACTTCGAGTTGAAGCTTGAGAAGCCCAATATCTCTCGAGCCTGGATTTCAGCAGCGACCATGGGGCTTGCTTACTTTATTGGTAAAACTCTTTATTCATATGTACTGTCTTTGGCAACTAATGAAGTCTAGGCGGCCTGATTCCAATGACGCCGTACTTCCTCATGGAGAATGTCACCCACGCACTCTTTATCTCTATCGCGGTTACGGTCGTCATTCTATTGATCTTCGGTTTTGTCAAGAACTATGTCACTATTCAGACCAGGCGATCGGGATTCTATGGCGCTATTCAGACCCTACTTATTGGCATCCTCGCAGCTGGTACGAGTTATGGGATTGTACGGGCACTCGATACGAAAGATCCGTATCCTGGCTACTTCCTGGATGATTTGTATTGGGGTGGTGGGCGAATGCCACATTAAATATGTTTGCCAATTGGACGATATTTCATCTCGGCAGAGATATTTGGAGCGGGTCGACAAGTATCATATTAAAGCTGTTGTCTGTTGAGGCTTTGCACTTGATAAATAGATGGGTATGACAAAAGCGACCGAAAATTGCGACCTGAGATGACGTGAGCAACTTTGAAAGTTGGGTGTACCGGCCCGTGAAGATGGCCCATCTGTGTAATGGGAGATGGTGTGCCTCCTGCCCGTATTTTTAGTTCTGGATTTGAGACATTGGACTTGTTTCCACTTCCACAGAACCTCGGGAAATTCTACATCCGGGGGTGTTGAGGGGAGCTGAATAAACAAATGCGGGACGACTATTGTGATTATCGTAACACTCCCTTGTCGAGGTACAGGTACAGCATGGTATTAGGGCTGTGGACTTCTACGCTGGGGGGGGGGGGGACGCGGATTGCGTTTAACCTTAAATGAATGGCTAGTAGACCATATTGACGAACGAGAAATGCAAGAAGATACACTATGCTATGGCGCAACTCATGAACTGTAATCCTCAGGTCGCTTGGCTTGGCTTCGTGAACAGCAGAGTCCATGTCGTTGTGCGAAGGACCTGTTTGTTTCCCCATACACAAGGATACAAGGCCCCCTGGACCCGCAGATTCTTACTCGTGCATATCGTATCGTACCTACATTCGGTATCGTACATACCGATGTGCTCTGTACTCTGTACTCTGTGCCGTACAGTGTACATAGAGGCTCGTGCTGTGCTGATTGCCGATAGTCCAGTCCAGTCAGCAGGGGGGCAAAAGGGGGAGGGATTGATATTGATACTTTTGACGGGGTAGGTACATGTACATATACATGTACAGCTGCTGCGGTGAAGACAACGCAGTACCACGGCTGGGCATACAACAAAGTCGATCCCAGATATATATTCCCTTTATTATATTCCCAAGGTAGCTGAGGGCTTGGACGCGGCTGCTACTAGTAAGTTCTTTTCCACTGATTAATTGGGCCCCCGGCGGCTAAGGGCATAGCGGGACGCACTCCGTCGATAATGGACTTGTACTTGCACTTGGACTTGGACTTGGTCTTGCACTCGTATCTTCAGGGGCTCGACTGGATCGCATCACAAAAAGTTCTGTGCGCGCGCTGCCACATCCAGTCCACGTCCACGCCCAAGCCCACGCTCAACATCACCACTTTTCCGTTTCTACGTGCAGCCAGAGCCGTCCTCTCCTGTTGATAATATAATTGCCCACCGCGACTCGTCCCTCTCCTACGCAGCACGCGCGCAGATTCCACCCGCTTCCCTCATGAAGTGCCATTTATGCTTGTGACTTGATCTCTCGCCGCGGTAGCGCTGCACGACCCCAACCCCAACATAATAATATATCTCCTGGACGCCTGCATCAATTCGTTCGTCCGCAGGCCATTTCTACGCACGAGAGCTCTACCTGTAGGCAGGCACTGGTTGCAGACGGGAACACTACATAGCAGAAGCACAAGCAGAAGCAGAGGGAGAGAATGCCCTGGTCCCCGCTCCCACGTATCGCATTCGCTGTCGCCATCTACCCCTTCAGCGCCTCGTCACCGGCCGATCTTCCCCTCGAACTTGGCGACGAACTCTACATCATCGAGCAAGGCGGCCGAAATGGCGATTGGTTCCGCGGCTACTTGGTTGCGCCTCCGAGCTTGCTGGCCGGCCTGACGAGCACCAAGGGACAGACGCTCGAGGCCCGCGTTTTCTCCGGCATCTTTCCTCGGAGCTGCGTCGAAGTGAGGGAGGTCCTCGGCGAAGAGGAGGACACGGAGGACGAGGGGGAGAGCCTCAATGCGGTGCTATTGACAAATGGGCAGAAGCAGAGGACCAGCGGGAGTGGCCGAGGCAGCGTGTGTGAGGGTTCGTTAGGGAGTCCGCGGTCGAGGAAGAGCAAGTCAGGGAGTGATATTAGAAGCAGCGCCAGGATGAGCAAAACGGAAAAGTCTAGCAAGAAGAGACGAACCACGAATGGAGAACCCCCCGCCCTGGCTCTGGTCAAGAAACGAGACCCCAATGCCCCCAAACCGCCGGCACCCGTACCGATGCTTAAGATAGGAGATGAGACCCCGACGTCTGCATCGGAGCCGCTGGTCGACGAAATTGCCTCCTGTCTGCGGGAATGGCATTCTACGAATCTGCATGAGCTCCTGTTGTCGAGACAATACCCCCTCTTGGAGAAAATGACGAGTTTGGTACAAACGTTGGATTTGTCGCGCAGGCAGTTTCTGCATAATGTCTTGACGACGAACGAATTGATGGGACTGCGAGAAAGGACCGTTTGGGATCTGGTGAACGGAAATAAGGTGTTCAATGGCGAGGTCATCGTACGGGATCCTGCAGAAAGGGGGAGAGTGTTGACTGGTGAGGATTCCGCAGTGGAGATCACAAAGCTACAATCGATTATGAGTTTGCTGGAGGAACGGCCTTCACCCCCTGCGCATGAGAAACTTACTCTCCATCACCTTCTCATCGATGTGAAAGCATTTGTTGGGGCTTCCACGGAATCTACCACGCTTGTCTTCGCCCTTGCTTCGAAATCTCCAGGACAAACAGCCGTCATTCTCTCAGAGAGCTATATCGTCGAGGTGCCACCAAGTGGAACATTGGCAAGCCTAGCGGAGGCTGGACAAATGCGAACGTTATTCACGGATCTGGCCTCAGCAGATATTGGAGATATGCCTTCTGCGGATAGTGAGCTATACTTGGTGGTGAAGGTGCGGTCTACGGATCAAGTATCGGCGGGGAATCCGGGCTCGCGAGGGGGCTCAAGGGAGGGAACAGCAACGTCGTGGAATGCAGAAAAGCCACAGTCAAGCAGTGGAACCAAAGTTGGGAGAAGAAGTCTGATGTGGGGCCAGAAAGCGCAAAGATCAGCATTCTCACGGAATGCGCCCATTTCCTCGAAACTCAATTCTCTAGCGGAGCAGGGAGAGCACCGAGGGTACAGTCAGGATGGGCATCCCCCGAGAACGTCGGAGTCTAGAGGACCTGCAACGCATGACCCTAAATCTGCCGCTGTTAGTAGGATTGTCACGAGGACTGTCGGGATCGGAGCATTAAAAGTAAATTCGGTGATGAAACAGGATGAGGAGGTTGAGCAGGTTATGTCTATCTGGGCGCCATCAATGGCGTTCAGGGAGGAGAAGCCCGATATGGGTGAGGGCTGGGAAGAAGTCATTCGCGAGCTCATGGACAGCAAAACAGGTGTTTATGAGAAATCGCGCAGAGCCGAACGACTGCAGGTACATTTGAAAGCGTTTGATAGCCCTGATGCCGACGCGTTGATCAAAGCTACCCCAACATTGCTCTCGGGTATCATGAAAACAAGCAAAATGGGGTTTTCTGGCGCCCCCACGAAACCCAGGTCTGATATCTATGTCACGGTCGATGGAGCTTTCCTCCCTCGCCATGCGTTGCTGTCTCGTTCAGTTGGTAGCGCCCACCCTTTACCATCCAATATCGGTGGTTCAAATCTGCAGATAAAGTTCGAGGTTCACCTTGCCTCTGGTGAGCGAATCCAGGCGTGCATTTTTCCATCTTCGAACTCAGACGGTGAGAGCTCTTGGGAATCCACCGCTGCGGAACGTGGAGATTCGTGGAGTCAAACCCTTCGTCTAGCTATCCCTGCCAACGACGTCCCTAGAGCACATCTTGTAATGTTACTGTCCGATGTTCCCAACCAACCGTTCGCAATTTGTTATTTACCGCTGTGGGACCAACAGGCGTTCATCCGGGATGGCCATCACTCGCTATTGCTATACAGATATGATGAGTCTACAATAACACAGCGAAGTCCTGGGAGAGCAGGATACTTAAATCTAGCTTGGAATGCAAGGGGTAAAGACGATGTCAGCAAAGACGAGGCCGTCACTGGACCCATCTCTACGCTTAGGCTACAGACATATCTTTGCAGTACCTCCTTCTCCCAAGATAAAGTCCTTTTAGGACTGTTGAAATGGAAGGACCAACCACCGGGAGAGATCCGGGAACTGCTAAAGCGGTTGGTTTTCGTCCCTGAGATCGAGATCGTCAAGCTTTTGAACGACGTGTTTGATGCCCTCTTCGGGATACTGGTCGAGCAGAGCGGCAATGACGAGTACGAGGACCTCATTTTTAGTGCCCTGGTAACTGTTCTGGGTATCATCCACGATCGCAGATTCAACCTAGGTCCTTTGGTGGATCAATATGCAGAGAACAAATTCAACTATCCTTTTGCGACTCCATGTTTGGTCAGGTCGTTCACGCGACTCCTAGCCAATCCTTCTGATCCCGAGACATCGCGGAAGCTGCGAGCTACTTTCAAAGTGGTTCGTCATATCCTCAAATTCATCACCCATGCCCGGGACCAACAAAAGGTGAAAGAAGCCGGAATTGGGATAACCAGCTCATCTACTGGGTTTACGCGACACTTGCAGTCCATCTTCAAGGCGTTGGATGGCCTTATGAGAAACCCGGCTCCTATTCTTGTCGGAAGTCAGACTTTGGCTGTCCAGCACTTCCATACCTGGTTGCCGGAACTTGCTGGTTTACTGGATAAGGAGGAAATACTCCATATCGCGATCGACTTTATGGATGCCTGTGCCCTGGTTAAAGGCAAGCTCATTCTGTATAAACTTATCCTCATTATCAACTATTCCAAGTTGGACCTCTTTTCGCAGCCGGAACAGAGAGCTGCACTGAGTGCCAACACGGCTAGATGGATAGCACCACATTGGGGGAAGGGTGCGGAAGTCACCGAACAGTGGAGAGACCAAGTTCGGCTGTGTTGTTCTATCCTGTCAACCCAAGTCGAAGGACTAGGGCCAGAAATTCCGGACTACCTACCCAAACTCATCCATTCTTACCTTGTGTTACAAGCAGCCCCGAAGACTGAGAAAACACGTCTCTCGCTTCTATTTCCCACCACCTATCCATTTCCCAGCAAACCCATTGCTGAACCTGCTCATTTTGACGAAGCTCTTATCGAGTTATCCGCTGTCCTCTCCGCAATTTCTACGCTACCTGCTGGCATGCAGCTTGAACTCGCGGATGAGGATTTGGCTACCCTTCTAGAGGATACATTACATGTCCATCTCAGCATTCTGCATTGTGAGGCATTTCCTGCAGATTGGTTAAGTGTGCACATCTACCACCACAAGTCGACGATGAAGACGCTGGAATATATTGCGAGTATTTTGCTAGAGTCTTTCCTCCCAGATCCAGATGATGCCGAAGGCTACAATACCGAGCTATGGAAAAGCTTCTTCACTACTCTGCTCAAGCTAGTTGGTAGTGATGCGTTGGCGCTGGAGACATTTCCCGAGCAGAAACGTCGAGCTGTATGGAAGATCGCGGGCGACATCCGAGAACAGGGCGCAGACTTGCTAAGACAAACCTGGGAGACCATCGGTTGGGACACGGGTCCAGACGAGCAACTAAAATATAACCTGTCGAAAATGGGTGGTTATCAAGTCCAATACGTACCTGGGCTGGTCGGACCTATTGTCGAGCTCTGTCTCAGCGTCCACGAAGGTCTCAGACGAGTTGCCGTTGAGGTCCTGCAAACGATGATAGTGAGCGAGTGGACGTTGAGCGAAGATCTCTCAGTTATTCAGACCGAGATGATTGATTGCCTTGATCGTCTGTTCAAATGGAAACCAATGACGGAGAGCATCCTTCAGAAACTATTCATCAATGAGCTCCTTGTGCTATTTGATCCTCTCGCTGCATCAGGCGATGATCCTCTGTACCCTGCATTGCAAGAGCTCATTGCCACTATTGGCGAGTTCTTAGATCTACTGGTCGCGGTCCACAGTGCGGATGTCACTGGCGAGGCTTCGCATATGATCCATCGATTACGATTGATGGAGTTCCTGAGGGACATGCAAAAGGAGGAAATATTTATCACATACGTCCATCAGCTCGCGCAACTCCAAGCAGATGCCAGAAATCCTACCGAGGCTGGACTTGCGTTACGCCTTCATGCCGACCTTTATGAATGGGACCCCACGAAGATCGTACCTCCATTAGCAGACCCAGAATTCCCAGCCCAATCTCAATTTGATCGCAAGGAACGGATCTACTTCGACATGATCAAGTATTTCGAGGAAGGCGAATCCTGGAGTTGTGCCCTGGATACGTACCATGAGCTCCAGGTTCAATACATGGAAAATGTTTACGACTTTTCCAAGCTAGCCCGGACTCAAAGAGCCATTGCCAATATTTACGAGACAGTCGCAAAGAGCGATAAACTTGTGCCCAAGTATTTCCGTGTTACGTACCGAGGCATGGGATTCCTACCAAGTCTTCGCGACAAGGAGTTTGTTTTCGAAGGTTCGCCGACTGAAAAGACGTCAGCCTTCACAGATCGCATGCAAGAACAGCATCCTACTGCACAGATCGTCACTAGCGGAGATATTGAGGATGTTGAAGGACAATTCCTCCAGATTTCTTCACTCACCCCCTATCGTGACATGGACCACCACGTCTTCCAACGGGCCCGAGTTCCTCAAGTCATTCGGGACTACTTGCTCTCTGCTCATCCACAAGTCTTTTCTGTGACCTCGAAACGAAACACTTCGGGTCCTGTTACTGAGCACTCCGCTGAGAAGATTATTTACACCACCGCCGAAGCTTTCCCTGCCATCCTCCGCTGCAGCGAAATTGTCGCCATTGACCGACTGAAGCTCAGTCCCTTAGAAACAGCACTAGAACGCGTGATCCGAAAAACTCAAGAGATGTGTGTAGTTGAGAAACGTCTTGCCGATGGGGAGGAAGACATGGCTCCTCTCCTCATCGACGCTTTGGACATCTCCGTCAATCCCAATTCCGACACCACTGTTGCACGATATCGAGAACTTATCCCCGAAACCACTGACGAGGATGAGGAGGAAGTCGAGTTGCAGCCCCTCGAAAGCGCGCTAAAAGTCGCTCTCATCGACCACGCAATCATGATCAAACGCTGCCTAGCAATGTTCGCCAAACCCAACTCCAAACTCTATTTCCCCCGCGAGAGCAAGGATGCACTAGCACAAAGTAGATCTCCCCCATCTCTCTTACACTCTCTACACCCCAGTCTCCAAATCAGAATTCTAAAATCTAACACAGATTTCGAATCCACGTTCGCCCCCGAGCTCTCGTCTTTCTCCTTCCCACAAACCCACCCACGCAATTCCACGCCTACACCCTCGTGGGCGATCTCAAGTCCAAATCTAAGCGATCATCGCAGAGAGAGCATGCGCTTGCTGCCACATAGTGGCACAAATGGAACGCTTGCTACGCAGGATACCAGTATCCTCGATTCTCCTCATCGGAATCGTCGACTTAGCTTTCTGAAACGCGGAACGGACCATCAGCTCCAGGAGTCGATAGGCGGATTGAGTTTGTCAAACGGGAATGGAAATTCAGCCAAACCGCCCTTGGTCCCCAACGGAAGGGACGAAGCGAAGGAGAACAAACGCTCCTCGTCTTTCTTTCATAGTAACGGCGTGAATGGTATCAGCAGGGCAAATACACAGCCTTCGCTAACGGACGACTCGGGATGGGTCACGCAATCTGATTTCTCAAGTGCTGTGACCGGTGGCGGAAATGGAGACGGGTTGCAAAGGAGCAACTCAACCTCGACTAAAGCTGATACAGTGAGTCGAGTGGGGAGTGTGAGGAAGAGACTTAGCATGTTGAAGCTGGGGAAGAAGAGTAGTAAGGTTAGCGTGATGCCGATTGGGAGTGTAACTGAAGAGGATTGATGGGATTTGGCTTAGCTCGCCGGACGACTTTTTATTTTGAGCTACGGGGATAGGCTACTTCGGATAAAGGGGCACATATGTTCTAATATGTAATGATAAGGAAGCGGCCGAGAACAACAGTGTGCATAGGGTACGGCATGGTCGCCAAAAACTCGGTGGCTGGTTCTGTTTTGTCTAAAAAGGTTACACAGGATATGTGCCTGTGTGTGGACATATTTGTGGGTGTTCTTGTCGCTCTTTTGCCCTATTTGAGTGTATATACATATATATTTAGATACGTACCTTAGGTAGGTATGTTGCTAGATGGAGTGGGATATGCGAATACCACCTGCTTAAAGATTAGCATTTGTTTTGTAGCTGTGCTCTTGCTTAAAATTCACCTCTAGGAGGTTTTCTCTCTGCATATAGTGAGATGTGGAAATAGGATGTCGGCTCAGACGTCGCTATTAAATCCAACCCTTCTTAATAACCCTAAAACTACAATATCTTCTTGATAATAAATACTGTAGGTAATTTCATCAAAGTATTATAGGTCGTCACCTGACAGGAAAATAGGGGTATACATTGGCGCCTGAGAAATCAGGCATTACACACTTCTGGCCGAACCTACCTATCTATATTGACTTTCCATCCCTTTCGTACACTCTCATAGAATAATATTACTATTTTACTCCTATCTTACAAACTCTATAATCTCTTTCTATTTCTATACGACCTAGCATTAACAGATAATTTAATTATTTTTATAAATAAGGCATCTGATCCGGGAATGATACCGCACGTGGTGGGGTGAGCTCGGCAGAAAATTTGGCTCGGGGTTTAAAATCTCCCCCACCAAACACGAAAACATTCCACATTACATCCCTGAACACCCACAACACAACTCAAACAACAATTGATCAAGATGTCGGGCAACGATACTTACCAGACGCCGCTAGCTTCGCGCTATGCTAGTAAGTTATTCCCCACCGGATAGACATGTCTTCCAAAGGTTCCAATCTGATATGGGGCGATGATGGCGGGGCAATACAATCTCCACGTGATACAAGTAAGCTGATATTTTGAACTTCTAGGCACGGAAATGAAGACTATCTTCTCTGCAAGAACTCGGGCTTCAACATGGAGACAGTAAGGATATCCCTTGTGTTATTGCTGCTCCTAGATATCTTTTGGCTTTGAACATATATTGCTCCATTATGATCTTGCGTCATCCGTTTCCTGTCGAGTTGCCGAGCAATTACCCTTAAGATATTCCAGGTTTAAACTAACTTTCTAAAACAGATTATGGGTCTGGCTCGCAGAAGCAGAGAAGGAGCTGGGGCTAAACATCTCCGATGAAGCCATCTCCCAAATGAAAGCCCATATTACCATGACTGATAATGACTTCGAGGTTGCTGCTGTCGAGGAGAAGTGAGTACTTACACAACCACAAAACATGAGAACATACGTCTAATAAATTGATCTAGGAAGCGTCGACATGATGTTATGGGTTTGTCTTCCAAATATTCAATCATATGAATGTAATATATTAACTGAAAGAAGCACACGTCCATGCCTTTGGCCAAGTTGCTCCTGCTGCTGCTGGAATTATTCATTGGGGAGCAACTTCTTGTTACTGTACCGTGAGTGTTGAACCGGTATAGGTGAGTACAAGCATGTGCTGACATGAAGTAGGATAATGCAGATCTCATCTTCCTCCGTGACGGGCTGGATCTCCTACTTCCCAAATTGGCTGTCATAATCCACAAGTTAGCAAACTTCGCTATCGAGTATAAGGATATGCCAACACTTGGCTATACCCACTACCAATCAGCTCAATTGGTCACGGTTGGACGTAGAGCAGCTCAGTGGACTCAAGACCTGCTCATGGACCTCCAGGATATCACCAAAGTTCGCGAAGACTTGCGTTACCGCGGTGCACAGGGTACAACAGGCACTCAGGCATCATTGTTAGTCAAATCCTTACGCGTTCCATTTAGCAATTGCTAATACCTACATGCAGCATGGAGATCTTCCAAGGTGACAGTAAGAAAGTCGACAAACTCAATGATCTCCTCGTGGAGAAGGCCGGTTTCCCTTCCTGTTACCCGATTTCAACTCAAAGTAAGCTCACTCCCAAGGTTTTGAATCCTCCGCCGCTGGACTATAAAGTAGAATGTTGAACTGGTACTTGAACATTCCGAGAGCGGTAATACTTCAAAGAGTGCCGAAGTTGTACCTGGACATTGAAAGCAGTGTGGTTGTGTAAACTATTGCATTGGCTGACTGGATTTGCTGCAGCGTATTCCCGAAAGGTCGATCTCCGAGTCGCCAATGCCCTTTCTGCCTTTGGTGCAACAGTTCAGAGAATCACCGGTGATATCAGACATCTGGCAGCCCAGAAGGAGCTAGAGGAGCCGTTTGAAAAAGATCAAATTGGAAGCAGCGCTATGGCCTACAAAAGGAATCCAATGCGCAGTGAGCGAATCGCTGGTGAGTAGGCTTTCTTCAGACCGACAGACGCATCTCCGTTTGACCTTGAGGGCTGAAATGGTGCTTTATAGGACTCGGACGTCACTTGGCAAACCTGAACAAGGACGCATCAGACACTTATGCCCAACAGTGGTTTGAGAGAACTTTGGACGACTCGTATGTATACCCTGGCTCCTTGAACCCTTTCGTCCCCCGTTACTCTAGTCACGTGATCCCAAGACAGCTTATTGTACTCTGATCTCTCGAAATATTCTTCAGAAGGAGAACGCTAAGGTTATAATTATCCAGTGCCATTCGAAGAATCTACATCCCCGAGTTATTCTTAAGCGCTGATGCCATCTGCATGACTCTCGATAATGTCGTGTCCGGTCTTGTCGTCTACCCGAAGAGAATCCATAGTCATATCATGGAGGAGCTTCCATTCCAAGCAACCGAGATTATTATCATGAGGCTTGTCGCTCTCGGTAAATCAAGACAAGATGCCCATGAGGAGATCCGGGTTTTGAGCCACCAAGCGAGTGCTGTTGTGAAGCTGGAAGGCGGAAAGAACGATTTGATCCAAAGAATCAAGCAGACCGAATTCTTCAAGCCTATCTGGGGAGACCTCGATGATCTCCTGGATCCAATGAAGTTTATTGGAAGATGCCCAGAGCAGGTTATGAACTTTTGCGGAGAGGGTGGAGAGGTGCAAGAAGCGTTAAAGCCGTACAAGAAGTTCATTGAGGGGAGCCAAGATGTTGAGTTGACTGTTTAACGGTTTCCTGGGATTTCCATAAATCGATCGGAACATGTTCGTGTCGGATAGAGAAGTATATGGGAAGAACTAAGATTAGAAGTCATTACTTGCTATCTATGCGATTCTAGACAGCTTGTATCCAAGCACCGCACATTCATAGAAAGCAAACAGGCAACTCAATCCTAAACTACTCTCGTGACTTTTCTAGACGAACTACCCCCTAGTGACAAGAGGGTGAGGCCTAGCAAACGGTATAATAAGATAGGATCAAACCTCGCCATAGTAAAGGTACACAAAGGAAGGCAATAAATATTTCGACTAGTTTTAACAGCTTCGACTATAAATATAAAACTAAAAACAACTTAGGTGTGAGAACAGGGCTTCCCCATTTATAAATATATTAGGGCGAAACAAAAATATTGGGTATATAAGGGTAAAAACTATGCAGTTTTTGAGCCAAAATTCCTCTATATCTTTGCGGGTTTGATGCTACCCTATAAAGTTGGACATGAACCACTTTAGTAGTCTAAATTGGGCTTTATATTATGAAAGATTTCAAAGTAATCATAATAATACCACAGTTGCCAAATCATATTAATAAATCCTCACTATAGTACAAAATATTTCATGAATTAATAGTGTTCAATCGTCTGTTATTAGTAATCGGGGAGATGCGATTCAAGTGTATTGCCATGTGAAATTCGTATTCGTACCCTTGCATGCCGAGGATGCTGGGGAAGTGGGAACCTCAACGTCGACAACATCACCACGAGACAACAAACCAGCAGCGCGAAAGTATATATATCAATATCTGTCATTATTGCGCCCGTTCCAATGGCAATACCCATATTCACAGCTTGACACTCATGAAGTCTACCAACCAGCGCTCTGCTTCATCCCCCGCATGACAGTTTGCCCTCGTCGCCACACTCCGTCATCCCTAGACTACCTATAATCCGACCACACAGCAATGGCAGGACAATCGAAGTTGAGGTTTTTGCCTCCAGACCGGACCCTCAAGAGCATCGTCTCCGAGCTCACGTCGCTCTATCTCAAGCACCGAACCAAGATTTCGCGAACCGTGTACCTGACCCTCTTCTTCGCCCTCCTCAATCGCATTCGCTCTGCAATATCCGAACAGAAAGCTGCTGCTGCACGTCAGGCAGCTGTACGGAAGCGTGGTGTTACTACATTGGGCAATGGGAATGACGAGCCTGGCAAGAGGCAGAAGGTTGAGCTGAATAGGGAATTCTTCAAGAATCTGTTCCGGCTGTTGAAAATATGTATACCGGGATGGCGGAGCAAAGAGTTTAGGCTTCTTGTCAGCCACACTATCTTCTTAGTCGTCAGGACTCTCATTAGCTTGAAAGTTGCTGCGATGGATGGTGCTTTGGTCTCCAGTCTTGTTAGAGGGAAAGGTAGAGAGTTCCTGGTCGGGATTGTATGGTGGATGTTGATTGCCATACCGGCCACTTTTACCAATTCCATGGTATGTCTGGCAGCTATTGTCCATTTTTGTGATTTATACTGATACGCCACAGCTCTCTTACCACCAGTGCAAACTGTCTCTGCAATACCGAACACGGTTAACGAACTATATCCACGACAGATACCTATCGAATATGACGTTCTATTCTCTTTCAGCCCTAGACGATCGAATAAAGAATGCAGACCAGTTGATTACTGTGGACGTCGCAAAATTTGCAAATAGCTTGGCCGAGTTATATGGAAATTTAGCCAAGCCAACATTAGACATGTTAATTTACAACTACTCTTTATCGAAGAGCGTAGGTGGAGAAGGTAAGTGCTGGATACATCCCACCCCTGAATACCGCTAGTCTTAGGGTTACAAGTACTGACTTTGCCTAGGACTCTTCTTCATGTCATTATTGGTGCAGCTTTCTGCAAGTCTTATGAGGGCTTTAACGCCTCCCTTTGGAAAATACGTGGCAGACGAGGCACGGCTGGAAGGCGAATTTCGTTTCGAGCATTCACGATTAATAGACTACAGCGAAGAGATTGCTCTCTACAATGGCCATGAGGCAGAAAAGGACACGCTAGACAAGGGTTATTTCACACTTATCAAACATGTTAATTGTATGTACCTGCTGGTTGGTTTTCCTACTCTGCTAATCAAGATATAGATATTTTGAGGCGCCGTTTTACGCATGGTATCATGGAGGTAAGTCTTTTAACTACAGCTGAATTCTAGTGGCAATTGCTTATAGGTACTAGGATTTTGTGATCAAATATGCCTGGGGCGCATTAGGTCTCCTTCTTTGTAGTGTCCCAGTCTTTTTCAAGATTCCAGGCACTACGGCCGCAACAATGGGGGACCGGACTGAAAGCTTCGTCACCAATCGACGAATGTTGCTATCTAGTTCCGACGCGTTTGGTCGGGTCATGTTCTCCTACAAAGAAATCACCGAGTTGGCAGGATATACATCTCGGGCTGCAAGCCTGTTGGACGTAATGGATGATATCCAATCTGGACGATTTCAAAAGACTCTGATTGCGGACGAGGAATCCGGTCAGCAGTTAGAATTGATGAAGGGTCGAGGTACTATCATCGAGAGTGAAGATATCGAGTTTATCGATGTGTAAGTGATCAGACCGTCCAACTTGGAAAGTCTGTTGCTAACTTCTCAGGCCTATAATTACCCCTGGCGGCAGCATTCTTGTGAAAGCATTGTCCTTTTCGATGAAATCTCAAGATCACGTCTTAGTTGTAGGGCCGAACGGATGCGGGAAATCTTCGCTTTTCCGAATTCTGGGCGGCCTCTGGCCAGTATATGGAGGGACGGTACGGAAGCCTTCTCTCGCGCAAGTATTCTATGTCCCTCAACGGCCCTATCTCAGCGCTGGATCTCTCCGACAACAGATCATCTACCCCGATTCTTTACGCACCATGCGCAGTAAGGGAATCACCGACTCGGACCTCTTCGATATCCTTCGAATCCTGGACCTCGACCATCTGGTCAGTACATTTCCTGATGGCTGGGATGCCGAAGCCGAATGGCGAGATGTCCTCTCAGGTGGCCTACAACAGAGAGTCGCAATGGCACGACTGTTTTACAATCGCCCCAAATACGCAATCCTTGATGAATGCACCTCCAGTGTAACTCTTGAAATGGAGAAGATCATGTACGATCATGCCAAAGCACTGGGAATTACTCTCATGACAGTCAGTCACAGACGCAGTCTATGGAAGTATCATAGTAAGATCTTGCAATTCGATGGGCAAGGAAAATATATTTTCACGGACCTTGACGCAGATAAGCGGCTGAAGCTAGAGGATGAGCGGGAAGAGTTAGAGCTACAACTGAGACAAGTTCCGGAGATCGAACGGCGGATCGCCGAATTAACAGCGACATGATGGACACACGCTCATTCCTTGCCGACGCCTGGACAACTTAACACTGGGTACGAATATACGAAATACATTTCTAACTCCTTTTCATCACACGAACGGTGAAGCCTCAGAATCTGATAATTCTAATTTTATTTAATGGGCTCTCCTTCAACATGCTCATAGAACACCTAATCCGCATCTGCAACCACACCCTCGATCTGACCAGCCGCATCCACATATCAAGAACGTCTGCCCATCACCGTCTCCTCTGAAATCCACTATCTCAGTAACCACCTTACCCACCAAGCGTATCAACGCTTGAAGTAATCATCTACGCGCCTCCCCATTTACTGCATACCCACCGCCTCGGCCGTGTACGCCCAAATCTCCTTACGACAACACCGTTATAGGGGAACATCCCCCGAATACTCTTCCAAGCCATCCCTACGATGGTTTCAACGAGGCTTCGAGCTTCGCGCGCTAGCCATTCGCATATCGCGGAGGGCATAGATGACTTAGCGGGGACGTGATGACACTAGGAAGAGCCCTGGGTGATTGCACCCTCGGGGTGGGGACCAATGATCCTTGGGTTGAGAGCCGATCTGTAGATGTTGATCTGCTGATGGCTCATGATCATTGTATAGGCTGCGGAAAAGGTGATGCCATGCGGCGGGCAAGGGAGTAGAGTTGAGTTTATTGTGTGCAGTGATAGTTTTTGACAACTAGTGTCAAGAGCGGTCATGTTTTTAGGTGAAATTAGCCTTTCTAGAATTTAGAAGGTGTAGATGCGTAGCAAACTCTCACAGCTCTATGTCTTGAATGTATAATATACGTTACAAACATAATTGAATAATAATCTACTCAACCCACAGTGAAAGGGCCGCGATATGGGTTACCAGGAGCAAACTTGTAGAGTAATGAGCGACGCGCCTAGTCAATACGGATGAGTGCGTGCAAAAGCATGACAAAATGAAAGACTATGTCTGTACGATCAAGACTTTGTGCCTATCTAGGTAGCAGTGAAGCAGCCATGCAAAATCTCGAAATCTAGGCTAGGAGGTGCAAGATATGACCGTAGTCCGCCAGGAGTTGAGTGGTAGGCTGTCATCAAGTAGATATCTACTGATAATATCCATAGCATTCGCTCCAGTAGTTAAGATATATACAGCCGTGTGTATGTAGTGCGCGAAACATATTCAAGACTGAAGGCATAAAACTCGGGCGCTACGCATAAATCTCGAGCATATTGGTCATAGCAGATGCCCTGCAAATAATATTTCTTGAATTTGATAGTATTCGAAGCATACGAAGTCATAAATATATCTGTACACGATCTTCTGATCCAGTATAACCGTTGTAAACCACGCCATACCTGTTTCCCAACACCGAAGCACCACTATTCTTTCATTCAAACCTCGCTGAATGCGACAAACTCCCAAAATGCACCCATGAATAAAATGAAAATAATAATACAGTAATAATAACAAATAAGAAGCAGAGGAAAGGAAAATCAAAGAACAGACCATCCCCAATGCCAGCCCAGCTATGCAAGCACAATTCAACATCGCATATCAAATCCTCGATAGTTCCACCTCCTCCGGCACTCCTTTTCCCTTCACATTCTTCTTCCCCATTTCGCTCCTCTCTCCCCTCACTCTTTCCCTTTCCAAAACGCACCGCCTAACCAAACCCCCACCCCAAACACCAATCAAAAACAGCACCGGAGCTATTGCCTCTAAACTCAAACCCGTAGCTACGTTCTCCTGCACGCCACTTAACCAATCAGAGAAGAAATCTACCAAGTAGGAAACTGCTATCACTATGCCAAATAAGAGCCATATTAGGATTTTGGAAGCTCCGGCCCGCTGTCGAATGGACGCGGAGATGTTGAAGAGAAATATGAGTGTGGTGACCGTGAGGGAAACGAAGAATGAGAGCAGAGATACCGGGTTATTACCTGCTCCCAGAGTCCGGCTTAGGGAGGGTATGTGTAGATTTGGGTGTTTAGTGGTGGTGAGTGGCACGAGCCAGAAAACGGCTAGGTAGTATGCTATAAACACCAACGGTTTGAAGAATAACGATTTTCGTAATCGGTGGGTGTTTTGAAGCAATATGCGGATGAGTGATGGGCCTGTGAGGGGAACGAAAAGAGATAGCGCGGGTAGTATCGGGAGGGAGATGAGGAGGATGATGAAGGGAAAGGTATATGGTTTTGTGGAGGAGAGAGTTGAGGAGAGGGAGTTGGTCGCGCTGGTTAGGCCCTCGGTGTAGGTTTCGAGTTGTAATATCTCTGGTGCTAAAGTGGCGGTCGGTTGTGACAGGGTGGATGTTTGGGTGACAGTTACTTGGCGAGCGATGTTGGCAAACATGTTGTTCGGTGTTGCAACTAGAGATGCGGCTTGAGGTGTTTGGATGAAGTTGGATGCCCGGGTGGACTGGAAGATCGAGGATGGGGAGGTGACGTTCATGCAGAGGATCCCCTAGGCAGTGATTAGATTTTGAAGCAGAGGTATATCCTCGAATATGAGAACTTACTATTATAATTGATAGGGGAAACCAGACAAACGTAATATAAGTCAGTATAGAGATCTGTCGACACTGAAGTAACATTCGGTGTTCCTTCATCTACACCCACTGTATTAGCTTAATTCTCCCCATCTCCCACCATATTCCCCTTCTTAATCGCCAAGTATTTCACCACAATCAAAACATACCTGTATACTCTCAGCTCTAATTCTGTCCGTCAAGTGATCCTCTAGCTGCTCCATCAAAAACTCCATATCGGCCCTCTTCTCCTTAAGAAACTCGGCTATGATCGAGGGTGATGCGTTTTGTTCTGGACGTCGACGCTTCTTGATGATGGAGGAGAGATCGCGTAAAATGGAATACGCATGCGATACGCCTAGGAGCGCACTTTTGCGGCAGTCGTCTGCGTGACAGAGGTATTGGACTTTGGAGGTTGATGCGCGGTTGCGGCCTGCGAAGGACTATAGATGAGGTTAGCCAAATGGATATCCTGTAACGCTTCTCTTTAAGATGTTCAAGCACGATCATAAAATTTGGTTTTCAAGATAAAAATAAAAGAATTATCCATACCAATTTCGTAATCTCATCCGTAACCTGCTGCAAAAATATTGCTGTATCACTAATTATCTCCTCGAATAATATGAAGAGTGGGAGAAGATTATAGCCATCGGTCTGTGGATTCGACTGCAATAAAAGCATGAACGGCCACACCTGGGGATCATCCGGCCTCCTCGTTTTCAAAAAGAATTTCAAGTCCTCAAGAAGAGGTGTGGTACGAAATGAAGTTTCTGAGTTGGTATTGTTGCTCGCCGTCATAAGTACTCTCCGAGGTCCAGGAAATGCTCGGTCGTCTTGGTAGAATATCTCGGCATAGGAACATGATGGAGGCATACTGTGTTGTTCCCATAGAAATGAATTAAATCCTTCGGTATATCGAGGGGCGGAACGCTGCCAGCTGAAGCTGAATGAGGCCGTGGCGCGGTCGAAGATTCGACAGCATTGGGCGAGTTGGGCTTTTGCTAGCGAAGATGTTTCTTGACGTCCTAAGAACTGTCAGTTAGTTTAAATGGATTATAAACTGGGCTTAAACATCCGCACAAACCTTTTGATGGAAGTTCGATGGAAAACCTTGGTATCCCCAAAGCTCGCGCCTCCGAATGCTTTGGCTGAGCCTGGTTTATACCTGAGTTTGTCTCCCGCACCTGTCCCTTTGAGGTGTAGTTCGAGATCTGAGCAACTCTAAATGACTTGCACCCACAATTCGAGAACGTATGAGAAAGAAATTGACGCCGAAACTCGGGAAGCGAAAGTTGTTCAACCTTCACTAACTCTCCTGCCTGTTCGATGCCTTTGTAAGTGCAATCAGTCAATCCTCCCCAAGCCTGCTCGACTTCGATTCCTACCGCAAGTCGTGGAAAAGCTAATATGCTATTGAGACGCCCAAGACTTGAGGCAAGCTGCCGGGCTAGCCAAGGGAGGGTTTCTTCTGGAACTGGGGAAGTATTAATGATGCTAAATGGAACTTATCAGTTTTAAAAATCGGGGAAACTATTGAAACGAACATACCATATCTGCAAATAGGACCCTGAAGAACTTGTGGAGTGTTTTAAAGTTGACCGCAGTTTTACCAAACAGGTCGCAAAAATATCTCCCCTAGAGAACCTATACCAGTACGGATTTGAGGATCTAAATCCAAATTCCTGATACCAGAACAGATTTTCCGTCAGTTGAGGGTCCCGCCTTTTCGCCAAGTGCCTGAAATCATATTCCGGATTTTTAATCCCTTTCTTTAGCCGTCCTCCAGCGCGAAGGGGAAACGTGCGAGATTGATCCTGCCGGCCCGTCTCCAAATCATTTCCTGATGATGATGGATCCCGTGATGTATAATTCTGCTGCGGCAGATTTTGACGAGTGAAACTTGAAAACATGCTCTGGATGCGAGCGAAAGAGTGCTGGAAGACAATACTACTACAGTAGTGAAATAGCGGGAATTAAAAGTTGAAAAAGAAGTATTGTACAGTGAAAAGCTGAAAGTGAATGATGAAAATGAAAGAATAGGGAAGATTAATTCAAACTAACTTAGCACACCGGATTTTCAAGAACTTTCAAGAGGGGCAATGAGAAGAGTAACATAAGAGATATGAGCCGCGTCGCGCTGCTGCCCAGACTATAGTCAAATACCTTACCTGCTGTACCTAAAAATTAACCATCACCGTGTCGCACAAGAAGCTACACGACGACCAACAGTTTTATTTATCTCTGATCTAAATGCGAAGCTCGCTTCAGCGCAGAATTCTTTGTAATTTCTTACTGCACACCAAAACTACTGCAAACCAAAAACAGACATTGTTCTAAATATGACAAAGACGGCGATCGATCGATCGAACCCCGCAACAACAGTCGCGGTAAGCGCATCATCGCCGGCTAAGTTTGAAAATACGAATAGTTCCAACAGAGAACCGCAGCTGCAGCCCCGAAATAGAAGCTGCAGTGAGACGCGAGGCGAGTGCTTACACGTAAAGTTTCTTATTTTTGCAACCACCATATTTTGGTAATGAGAAAATCATTTCCCTGCGCGAGGAGCGGGAGGGGAGTCCTCGAAGAATTGTTTTCCCTGCGGTATACCGTTTATTTTGTTTATTCCTCCGTATTATATCCTCTCATACGGAGCATCTGATGAGGGATTCGATAGAACTTGTTCCGACAGGCTGGTAGAATGGTGTTGTCCTTGCTGACGGCATGAAACAAGCTGCCGTCAGCGTAAGGGTTGTTTCAATGGCAATTCTCCGCAATATAGGCTTTTGGCCTCCGACTGGCTATTCATACGGTGGTGGAAGCACGAGTCACAGGTTGCCCAGCTCACCAACCAGTTCGTCGACTCAGCCACCGTCGATAAGACGACTGACAGGCTCGTAAAGAGCTGCCAATCATATTCTCTGGTAGATAACATGGGGAAGCCATGCGTGAACGCTGCAAGACGGTCTGACTTCTCAAGCTATGGCTTGCTGGATAGACCGTTCGTCGGGATGGCGCCAAAGCATTAGATGCCGAATGCCTAATTGGACGAACTATCATGAGGTCGCATGAGGCCAACTGTGCCGCTGTTGGAGTCAACCTGTGAGTCTGCCATGAATCATACCTCGCGGCGCCTAAAGGTTCGAAGAAGGGTTCCAAGATTCTCAATCGCCCGACCTTGCCTCTCCCAGACATTGATGGCGTCTTCCCCAGGCCCAAGCAGCATATGATTGCATAAAGTCGGTCGGCGGTACCGCGTGTAAGGTATACACCAGCCTGATGTGGGATCAGATGTGTCGATCAGCCAATGCATGGATCCATACTACGTACGTTAGACCAGAGAGCTTAATCCTAGATGGCTCCCCCCCTGTATAGTATGATTACAGTCAGCAATCCAATACTTCTGGAGCGTCGCAGGGAGTGTTTGTATGCGCTGTGGAGTAATAGCGACTAACATGGTAATCTATACGGAGTGATTTCGGGATCTTGGTCACCTTTCTCCTATCCGACGAGCCGAAATTGCTATGGCTCAAGGGATGGGCTAGGCCGGGCGTACTTCGTGAAAATGCTTGACTTTCTCGGTGATTGTGAGTTATTGATGCTCGAAGGATCCGAACCGAGAGAAGTGATATCTCGATATCTCGGTTATCTCGGTTCTTTTTAAAGGGGTTAGTTAGCAACGAGAAGACCCTGACAACATCAACGTATATGAAGTATAATTCTAGTAGAAATAACGAAGATGGTTAGGTATATAGTATATAGAAATATGGCAATATCGTCAGAGGGAAAGTCCGTATCGTGAAAAATACCCAATAGTAGGACCTGGCTCCTGAACGTTGTGAGCATCGCGGAGAAATTGTCAACGAACTAAATGGAAAATCTCCACCCCAAATGCTAACATAATAAATGCCCGATACATATAGGAATCCATCCTAGCTCTATACTTATGCCAATCCAATTTACCGACGCCGGCGCTAGGGATGTTCTGTTGAGGAACAGCCGTGATACCACCGGAACCCTATGCAATCATCCTAACTAATACCACTCCAACCAAAACCATCACAAGCAAGTTCCGTTGTCCTCTCACTATACTCACCGACGTTCTTTATGCCAACTCGACATTTGCCAAGTGCTAGCTTCCTGTGCAAATCCAACTCTATAGCTATGCCCCATACGCGATTTGTATCTGGAATATACCCAATGGCATCAATACCCTCTTCTTCAATTCCCATCACCCAGTCGGCTATATTCCCCGCGATCAGAGAGTCCCACATTAGCTCTCGACGGTGCGAACAGAGTAAGAGAGAAATTGCCTGGCGCCGGATGGCGCCATCGCGGCATTTTGTCGCAACGAGGAAGAGGGGTTCAGCAATGCGGACCTCCATGGTGAAGATCTCATGACCCACTATATAAGGAGCACTGTTAGATTCTGAGGCAGCAAAGAATTATAACGCACGGGCTGAGAAGGGGAATTTGGGGGTCTTGCCTATTGTGTTGTCGGCCTGAGCTTCGAACTCCATGATGTCTCGGCAGAAGGACAGTATATACTTGAAATATGGTTGAAGCGTATCTGTACCCATCTCCGGCGAATTCAAGCTGAGAGACAATTTGACTAAGACGACCATAGAATGCAGCCGCAATGACGAAGCTGTATGCAAGGGGTGACACTGCAGATCTGACCATTCCTCTGCAAGGAGAGGCTCTAGTGCGGCATGGAAAAAGTGTATTTGCGCGATAAGATGATCTCGAAGGTCCCTTGAAGATTGTGACACAGTTTCCAAAGGACTGAATTTGCTGGACGCCTGGTAGAGAAAGATATTGGCGTCCCATAATATTAACTTCAGATATTGTTGTGCTTCGTCAAGATCTGTGAAACTTGGCGGGAGGATTGTGTTTATCGTCTGCGGCTCCATAACCACTGATGTACGATCCTCATCGGCGCCCATGGTGTTTAGTACTTGCATGTCCAAGCAGAGAAATATCCAGCCCAATACTTCATTGATATTGTTCCAGTCCGGGGTTGCTGGAGGGATTTCGAGTGCTGTGCCAGATTTAAAGAGAGTTGTGCGTGCATATCGTACATGTTGCACTGCGAAGCCGCCATTCCCGATCCACTTGTCAAAGCATGCTAATACTAAGCAGGATATGATGATAACTCGGGAAGTTTCTCCTTGTTGGTGGTCTAGGGATGAAATTGCGTTACGGAGTGCAATGATTGCCTTTTCGTACTGCTGCAGTGCGAATTGGCGATGGCCACATTCTGTCACATCCATTATATGACAGCCGCTCGGAGATTTCTTTGTGCTCATGCCCAAGGCCCCGATTGCCACGATGGCATGTCGGATACATGGGGAGGCGTGGCTTTGTTCGACAGCGACCCGTCTCCAACAGGTTGCATCTCCATTGTGCAAATTAGTAGCCCCGTCGTCTAAAAATCTCTGAAAGTACGGCTGTTCGTGTTGCTCAAGGTCGCCCGGTAGTAAAGGGTTGGAACTAGAGAGCTGAGCCTGTATAGGAGATATAGCACGTGACCCGGTGGATACTGCAGATATAGAAGAAGAGCGCGGAGAGCGAGGAATGAGTCCAGAATTAGGGGGGCGTGAAGAAAGCGACTGAGACTCCACAGGTTGGTCATAGTCACATTGCCAGCCAGATTTGAGGCATCGGACACAGCCGGGTTTCTCCTCGCCGCACTTGAGTCTCCGGATCCTTATTCAGGAAAACGTGGTTAGTAGAGAACAAGAAAGAAATATGCTAATAATGGGACCGAGGAGCAAAACGCATACTTGCAAGTGATGCATCCGGTTCTACTCCGTGGTGTCGAAGCTCGCTTCCTGGGCTTTTTATCTCTGATATCAATCATTGTCTTGTGATGAAGAATAGTGGGCAAATTGTAGACAAATGTAAGGAAGTGCGCAGATACGTGTATTAAACAAGGCCACTAGTACTGTTGCAAGAAAATGAGTAGTAACTAGAGCGGCATTCGATAAGTTCTACAAAAACTGGTTTTGGCCCCATAGTTATATAAAAAAAGAGAGCGAGTGAGTGAGTGAGTGCCGTGCCGTGGCGTGCCAGAAACCAGGCGACAGACCCGGAGAAGGGAGGAAACAACGCCCCGTTTGGCCGGTCCTTACCAATGGAAGCAGCCAGCGCGGAGTAGCACAGAAACTCCCTAGGTAGCAAGAGGAAAACAAGCTATACTCCGTATTTCGGTCAGGCGTTTGTGCAGGAGGCATCGTTGGAACCAAGGGAGGGGACCGGGGGGCAGGCACGTCGTGGCCGCGGCAGCTGTCAGCCTGAATCCTTACATCAGTAAGTGTAATCCAGCATTGCCTGGTACGACATGCTCCAGTAGGCGGCTTTGCAATCCTTGGCACGCAGACCCCCAGACACAAATGCGATAAGTGGCGGCGCGTCCACAATCTACTCTACACCGTGGGGTGAGATTCCTGAGGTCGTTTGGGGATATTTGTACGTGAATGTCTGGAATATGGGATGGGCGAGGATTGAATAATTTGATCGGCGTACGAGATGCAAGAATCCCCCGTTCAGCCACCTCGCCAGCGCAAAGGATCGCTCATGCGGGCGTAGTGCTTGATCGAGAGTTCGATATGCGTAGGTAGGTAGGTAGTGCCTCGTCCTGCCTAGAGAGAGAAGGCTGTTGCGAGGCTGACCTGTCGAGAGCGACATAGCACGTACGAAGTACCGCCGTACCGGAGAGAGTACTTCGTAGTAGTATCATAACCACCTCCCCAGGAGCCTGGAGACTGGGGACTCGTGCCCTCGAGGTACTTCGCTTCCCTGGCCTGAGACTTGAGATGACTCTTGTGTTCCTGCTTCATAGTATACGGAGCAGTTCATAGTAGAGTCATAGCGCAGCAGCAAGCGTGTGCTGCCTGCGAAGAATCTCACCTCCACGGAGAATAGCCCTGGCTTGGGTAGGTCGTAGGTGGATGATGCACACAGAGCCAAGGCGCACAGCGGTAAGCGCGCAGTTGGGATTGAGGAATGTGAGGTGAGGATGTGAGGATGTCAGGATGTAACTGCAACCCAAACCAATATACGACGGCTGTGGACGAAGGAGGACGGACGACTCGAACTCAGCAAGGCTGCATGAACAGCCACGAACGTATTCCCCTTCCGGCATAGTGTGCGGGCCGGGATACGGGCGCGGAGTTAAGCCAATTTGGGACTAGCCTCCGTCCACGTGGCGGTGGGTGAGCGCGCCTCAAAACTTTGCGATTAGGATTTTGACGCCCTTCATCCGTACTAGCAGTACACACGAATTACATCCAATACTCGCCACGCAGACGCAGTTGAAGCGCCAACATCCCACTCCTCTGCAGGAATATATTGGCGGAACATCACTGTGCCAACTCAGCCCTGCCCTTCTCACCCGGCCAATCTCCATACGCAGGTAGCCCACCATGGCCGAGAACATCTACGACGAGATAGAAATCGAAGACATGACCTACGATGCCGCCATCGGCATTTACCACTACCCATGTCCCTGCGGCGACCGTTTCCAGATTGCATTGGCCGACCTGCGGGACGAGGAAGACATAGCGGTTTGCCCGAGCTGTAGTTTAATGATCCGAGTGATATTCGAGGTGGTAGGTCGAGGAAATGCGTATGTTGGAACATGATCGGAGGCTGATACGACTGATCAAATAGGATGATCTTCCCAAACCCGCGGATGAAGAGGCCAAGGAGCCGGCTGCTGCCGTGGCCGTTGCGGCATGAACCACGCAAGTCATATTTGAGTACCGGATGAAAATCCTAGACGACGTTCATCCATCTCACGCGGATTCCCCACTTGGACGTTGCCGGGGGGGGTAGGCTCGTATATTCGGTGTTGGGGCACATGGAAGCTTAGACTGGGGAGTCCGCACCACCGGGCCTACACGCCCCTATGCTGGGTTGCCATCTACAGCAGGTCAAAACTACCCTCTGTGGGTTTACTGCTAGCGCCTACATATCCAGTAAAGGTACTGGGATCGAAAGGAAAAAGCAACTTGAGTGAGGATGTTGGTTGGTTCTGCCCTTTTTGCAACACGATCAATCCAAGGGTGAGGGCTAGAGCTACCACGCAGCTGAAAATGCATGGCAACATGAATTAACCTCGCATGCCGCCAATGACGTGGATTTGCTTTGCAGAACAGTGGTTCATTCGATGGTAGACAAGTGGCTGATAGACATCAAAACATTATACAGACGCACAGGGCCGCGCGCCTGCGCATCATTTACCTTCTTGTGGTCGCGGTGTGTAACAACAACCAACTGCAGGGATACTGCAGGGCTCCTTTAAACGCCACGGGGGAGGAACTGGTCGACTTGCTTTGAAACCAGGGAAGTCTGAATGCCCAGATTGACCAGTAACTAGACATCCATATCTAGAAATTCATTCCAGCCATACTGCATTGCCATTGCCAGTTCACCGACCGACCTCCGAATCAATTAGTCCCGTAGCAACTTACAATATGACTCCTATGCTGTACGAAATTTACCAACGCCCGTTAACAGCCCGTCAATACAAGTCCATTTCGCTTCAATACGCATCCTCCGCATCCTCCCTAGCCCCTTCACTCACTTATACCATGTCGTATCGTCCCAGCCGGGTAACTATCGTTCGGACATGTCCACGCCTATCTCTGACAGAAGGAGGTCATGCAACGTTGAGCCATCACGTAAATACACCCAGTCCCCTGACCCAGTTCCCTCCTTCGCATCCTGTCCCTCACTTGCCATAACGAAATCGTACCGCTTCGGGCCGGAGATCGGGGACGACAGCCAGATTTGCTTATTTGGGGGCTGCTTGTTGATAACATATGTTCCATTGGGAGGAAAGGTGATTGTGAGAACACCGGCCTAGAGAAATTACGCAATCCTTAGCAACTATGCTATAAATACGGCGGCGAATGAGGGATTGGATCATACGCTGTATTCAGAATCCACCTCCTCCGTCTCCTCCTGCAGCAGTTCAAGCTTTTCCACGAGGGCGTTCAGATACACATCGCTTAACTCGTGGAACCGCTCAATGGTAAGATCGGCCGGTCCTGAAGCTGTGGCATTGGGTTCAGTTTTGCTCGGGGCAGGTGGATCCTCGCTTTCCGGGGACAGACCTTTAAGGGATGGTCTGCTCGTAGAGAAGGACCTGGGAAGTAGGATTGGTAATATTCCTGCTTGGAGGCTGTGGGTGGACGACGGAAGGTTGAATCGGCGACCATGGGAACTGTATCTTGACACTGCCCGGAGTCCAACGGACGGTTTGGCCTGGCGTGATACACGCTCTGCAAGCTTGGCAAATGCGGCGCGCGCCATTGTTTAGTGGAGGGATTCTAGGGACAGATAGAGTAAATGAGCGACAAATGAGTTAGGTTTGCAATGAAGAATTAAGTTTGGCGGATGTCAAGTTGGTGAACCGGAGCTCCTGGGTAAAGTTTAAGGTCAAGCTGTTGTACGAACACCCCACAATTCGCTTGTCGGGCCATTTCGCCTTGTGATCTGTTTCTCAGCCTTCTGCCGCCAAGCCAGACAGCCTCGAACAACAATGTTCAATCTGGTGAACATCGCGTTTCCTTCATAACCTCCAATTTCTATGCACAAAGCCTCCCCCGAAATAAGATGATCAGCGCCGTTCTCGTATTCAATAACTCCGGACAGCCCCGGCTGACAAAATTCTACACTCAACTGGTACCTTTCCCTCTCTTCGTCCCCGTCCTCTTCCCCCACCATCAGTTAAAGCTAGGCTCCTACGACGACATCAGCGTACCACGCCGTATCACATATACCTATACTAACACATAATCTCCATAGGACACAGCCGTCCAGCAGCGCCTCATCTCAGAAATATTCTCTCTCGTCTCCAACCGTCCCTCAGGATCCTGCAACTTCCTCCCTCTCCCACCTCTACTCGCCAGCTCCGGCACCTCCCATACCCCCTCCTCCGAACACAATGACACGCCTTCCCTCGTAACATACCGCCACTACGCAACCCTCTACTTCATAATAATCTCTACGTCTACTGAATCGCCTCTAGCCCTCATCGATCTCATACAAGTCTATGTAGAGGCGCTGGATCGCCTGTTCGAGAATGTATGCGAGCTGGATTTGATATTCAATTTTGAGACGCTCCATGCTGCGCTGAGTGAGATGATTGTTGGGGGTGTGGTCATTGAGACACAGCTTGATCGGGTAGTGGAAGGGGTAAAAGCCCAGGGGAAGGTTGCGAAGCGGCCGGTCAATGAGGGAAGGGGCGCGGGTCCTTTAGGGATGGGTGGGAATTTTGCTTGGCCTGGCCGGTGATACTAATCGAGAGCATTGGATTACGCTTGATGCTTGAATGCCCAAAGCTTCTTGGGGGTGGGGCGGGGCGGTGGAATTGCAGCCTCAAGGATAGATATCTTTAGATGGAAGGACTACGAGGCTCGAAGTGCGGCTTTGGTGGGGGGGAAAGACCCCCCGCTGGTTTGACCAAGAATGGTATAGGAATACCAGAAACCTACCTATAACGCCTCGAATATTGATCGCAGGCACAAGTATAGATGACTAGACTAGAGAATCTCTAAAATGTATCCGTCAAGGATACAACCACCAGCTTCTTATTTTATCGCGATATTAATACTACCTACCTAGTATGTAAACTCCACTCGACGAGCAACGACACCGTGAGAATTGGTTTTTCCTTCTACTTAATATCATTTGGCCTTTAGAGAACAGTCTAAGGAGACAACTAGATGGATAGTCACCCAATGAACTCAGTACAAGGGCGACGAATAAAATTATAGTCACAAGAACAAGACGTCCAATTCATTTCTTAGCCATGCAGCTAGTTCCTCCATCCTGAATTCTTTCAGGTTTACATCTTGGGGGGTTCAAAATTAGCAAAGTATATTTAGCACACAACACAGCAAGGAGGATCTGAGTTATTTAGGGCTATACATTGCAAGACGTTGAAAACATAATCATGATCAAATATCGGGAAGAGCGTCCGATTTTGAGCTATGTCCACCAAGCCATAGGATTCAGGAGCAAGGGCTATTCTAGAAGGCATTACTAATATTTCTTGCTCAGTTAATAAGATCTTATTCATATGGTATAAATCTGGTAAGGGTGTTGTTAGAGGTTAGGATTAAAACAGAGGCTGAGACCCAATAATGAGCTAAATTTAGATCCCCGAGGTGGACATTGTCATAAGGATTCTGTCGTACCTTGGTTCTTACGGAGGGTAAGTTTTGGCGCGCGGCGCAGCAGATAGGAATTTGTCGGTACACGACAGAGTATATCTCGATGCATTGTGATGTTGCAACGTGCACGCCCTTTCAGTGTCCCATACGTCAACCGCCTTCTCATACTGCTCCATGGAGAACTCATGGCGCTGTTATCAAATCTCAAAATGGCGATGCGAGGGATCGAGGGATCGAGGGAGCTATAAGTGGCGTGTTTATTGTCGTACATTTTCCTCCTTCTTTCTTACAACCTATATCCACTTCGTCTATCGAAACTCTAAAACTCCACCCAATGCAAAACAGGGAATTCCTTCTTCGATTTATGCCATACCAACAACGCCAGGCCCATGAACAGTAATTGCCACAATGGCGAAGTAAAGGAGCAGGAATAAATATAGCGATCAGCTTGTAGACTTAGTAGCGGGGGATGCATCCTTCGCGCTTTCGTTTCCTGAAGCAGATCTTCGTTGCACTTGATCCCTGGACCATATCGAGCCGGTCAAGCCAAAGAACCAGTTTCGAACCTAGGATCGGTCAGCAGAGTCCCAACTAGGTAGATCATCTGTTTCGGTATCGTACCCCTTGAAATGGGGGGTTTTCCGGGTTCCCCTGGGTATTCCAATCCAAGAACAGTACTCCATAAACGGCGACAACTGACGCGCAAGCATTAGTCAAAGATCCTGCCATAAAGCATAGCCACAATGAACAGGACACGTAGGGTCACCCACAAACTACAGATCCAAATTGTACAATCTTGACGGCCTTTGTCCACCTGGGGCGCGCCCATTTTAACTTCGATCTCCTCCGGAATCGTCGTTCGAGTCTGAATTGGTGTTTCTGGGAGATTTTCGAGAAGTCTGGCGGCCATGATCGTTTCGCTTTGTAGGGATTCCTGTAGATATACGGGATTTCTTGGGGTATCCTCTGCTGCGCAGTCCTTCGAAGTATGGTTGGCAGCATGATGATGGCGCTATGTTGAAGGTTATAAGTTAAATGTAAATGTAAATGTAAATGTTGCTGGTCGTCATTCGGCGATGTTGATTCCATGTCGTCGGAACCGTCTTCGCTTCCGCAAATTGCTTGGCGAGGCATCCCTGCGTCAGAGCATGACCCCACCATCCCACCACCCAACGTCCAGGTAAATACTTGTAAATATAAATTCCTGTCGACTCAGTCGCAGAGACACCAACAACGAGCGTGGTGACCACCGTACGCAACTCAAGAACCCAAATCTACAGCGCGAGCGTCTTCGCTGCCCAATACTGCAATTATGGCAGCTGTCGAAGCAACTGCGAAGGCATTGGAGGGCGCGACGATCTCCAAGACGAAGGAGTTGAAGGGCGTAAGTACCCCGCCACCAGCATCAGCACTATCTCGCACATACTAACCTTCGGACCTTATAGACAGAGAAGAGAGACTCGCTCGTTGCAATAGAGAAGAAATACCAGGAAATATGGCAGAGGGATGGCGTCTTCCAACCCGATGCGCCCTCCACTACAGAGGTGCCCCTCAATTCGATCTCCGCGGCTGAGTTGCGCAAGCAGCACCCCAAATTCTTCGGAACCATGGCATATCCATATATGAACGGCACTCTACATGCGGGACACACCTTTACAGCCAGCAAGATAGAGTTCACAACTGGATTTGCACGCATGCAGGGAAAGAGGAGTCTGTTTCCATTAGGCTACCATTGCACGGGTATGCCAATCAAGGCGTGTGCCGACAAACTTATAAATGAGGTGAAATTATTCGGACAGGAATTCGAGAGATATTCCGACGAGGGGGCCGAGGAGCAGAAGCTAGACGCCACTCCAGCACCTACTACACACCACGAGGATGTCACGAAATTTACGGCGAAGAAAGGCAAAGCTGCGGCCAAGGTTGTAAAGATGAAATATCAATTCCAGATCATGCGTGCTATTGGCATACCCACGGAGGAGATCCATCGCTTTGCAGACCCACAGTACTGGTTAGAATTCTTCCCTCCTCTATGCAAGCGCGATCTCACGAATTTCGGAGCTCGGATCGACTGGCGGAGATCTTTCGTCACTACCGATGCGAACCCCTACTATGACGCATTCGTTCGATGGCAGATGAACAGACTTAAGGAGCTGAAGAAGATCAAGTTCGGAAAACGATATACTATTTACTCGCCGAAGGATGGTCAACCATGTATGGACCACGATCGGAGTGAAGGCGAAGCCGTTGGGCCACAGGAATACACTGCTTTGAAACTCAAGGTGAAGGAATGGGCGCCAGAAGCCGGAGAGCAAATTAAGGGTAAGGTTCCCGAGGGTGCTAATGTTTATTTCGTACCTGCAACTCTACGACCAGAGACCATGTATGGCCAAACTTGCTGTTTCGTTGGACCTAAGATAAAGTATGGTGTTTTCAAGGTTTCAGACAAGGAGTTCTACGTTATCACAGACCGTGCAGCACGGAATATGGCATATCAAGGAATCTTCCCTGAGAATGGTGTTTATGAGAAGGTCGCAGAGCTGCTTGGTTCGGCTTGTGTTGGTACTCTTGTCAACGCCCCACTTTCAATTCACAAGGAGGGTGTTAGAATTCTGCCTATGGACTCGGTTCTTCCTACAAAGGGGACTGGAGTCGTCACCTCAGTGCCGTCCGATAGCCCCGACGACTTTGCGACTATCACGGATCTTGCGAAGAAAGCAGAGTACTACGGAATTAAGAAGGAGTGGGCGGAGCTAGAGATTGTTCCAATCATCTCAACTCCATCATATGGCAATCTAGCAGCTCCGTTCCTTGTCAAGAAATTGAAGATTTCATCTCCAAAAGACACAAAGCAGCTCGAGGAAGCCAAAGAGCTTGCGTACAAGGAAGGCTATTACCAAGGTACCTTAGTAATAGGAGAATTTGCCGGGGAGAAGGTCGAGGTCGCCAAACCCAAGGTCCGCCAACAACTCATTGATGCTGGCGAAGGGTTTGCCTACTCAGAACCAGAGAAGAAAGTTGTCAGCAGATCAGGAGACGACTGCTGCGTGGCTTTGATGGACCAATGGTACCTTGACTACGGAGAGGACTCATGGAAGGAGGTTGCGATGAAGTACGTAGCTAATGAGGATGGAAAGGGAATGAACACATTCGCCACTGAGACGAGACATGGTTTCGAAGGCGTCCTCGATTGGCTCAACCAATGGGCTTGCGCTCGCACGTATGGCCTTGGCTCAAAACTTCCTTGGGATCCTCAGTTCTTGGTCGAAAGTTTGAGCGACAGCACAATCTACATGGCTTATTACACAATCGCACACTACCTTCACCAAGATATCTTTGGCAAAACTCCTGGATTGGCCGGAATCAAACCGGAGCAGATGACGGATGAAGTTTGGGATTATGTTTTTGCTCGACGGGAGTTGAGTGAAGAGATCCTGAAGGAAAGTGGGGTCTCTAAGGGAGCCCTCGAATCCATGCGAAGAGAGTTCGAGTACTGGTACCCATTAGATCTTCGGGTTTCTGGAAAGGATTTGATTCCTAATCATCTTACCTTCTTCCTCTACATCCATTTAGCGATCTTTACCCCCGAGTATTGGCCAAAGGCTATCAGGGCAAATGGTCACTTGCTGTTGAACGGCGAGAAGATGAGCAAATCGACTGGCAACTTCATGACCTTGGACGATATGGTCAAGAAGTATGGCGCCGATGCAAGTCGAATTGCGATGGCTGATGCGGGTGATGGAGTTGCTGATGCCAACTTCGAGGAAGATGTTGCGGACAATAATGTCCTTCGACTTTTCACTCTCCGAGAATGGTGCGAAAACCAAGTCAACGACGCAGCCAGCCTCCGATCAGGCCCCAAGAACGACTTCCTCGATGCCCTCTTTGAGAATGAGATGAACTCGCTTGTCCATGAAGCTCGCGGACACTACGAAGACACAAACTACAAACTCGCCCTCAAATCCGCCCTATACGATTTCACCAATGCGCGTGATTTCTATCGTGAAGCAAGCACAGCAGCGGGAATTAAGATGCACAAGGACCTTGTCTTCCAATACATCGAACTCCAAGCTCTCCTGCTTGCAGTCATCGCGCCCCACTGGTCGGAATATATCTGGCTCGAAGTGCTGAGGAAAAAATCAACGATCCAAAACGCCCTCTTCCCGGAGGTCCCAGCATCTATTCCTTCCCTCTCTGCGGCGCGCGAATATGTCCGCAATACATCAAGCAACGTCACCTCCGCCGAGGCTGCGCAGCAAAAGAAGAAAGCCAAAGGCAAAGACATCGGTTTCGACTTGAAAAAGCCGAAGAAGCTCTCGATCTTCGCCGCGGCGAAATTCCCCGCTTGGCAGGAGAAGTACATTGATCTTATGCGCGAAGCTTGGAATCCAGATACCAAGAGCGTAAATGATAAAGAGCTGAATGGAAAGATTGCTAAGATGGGCGAGATGAAGAAAGCGATGCCTTTTATCCAGTCGCTGAAGAAGAGACTTGTAGGTGGCGAGGCTCCTGAGACGGTCTTTGAGCGTAAATTGGCATTTAATGAAGTACAAACATTGAAGAATATGGTGCCGGGGTTGAAGAAGGCGGCTGGGCTTAAAGCAATTGATATCGTGGAGGTTGCGGAGGGTGGAAAGAGTGGCCAGGTTGTTGGTGGGGATGGCGAAGGGAAGGCGGCGGAGACTCTGCCTCCTGTGGCAGAGTCAGCTGTCCCAGGAGTCGCGACCTTCTACTTTGAGAATGTTGAGGCTTGATATACACGCAATAAGCATTGATGATCCAAGGAAAAATGGATTAGTGTCGCTCCTTGGTATGTGGGTGGTGTTTGATTGCTGCTTGGTTTTATTTTACAGCTTGTTATCAATTAAGACTACATCAAAGAAAAGTTCTATCAAACTCTATGAGTCAGGTGTCGAAACTTATGCTTAAGCGTACCAGCCAGTTGTATTTCTTCCGTCCCCCCCCCTCCCCCCCAATGTAGAGAAAAAGGGGCGACTCGGCTAGAACCGAACGCTAGCCATATTCGGAAGTTCGAGTGATATCATCCCCTGTCCATCCATCCCCCTTTCACTTTTGTAGCGGATAGCTCTCAAAGTTGAATATGCAATGGAGAACTGTTGTAAATGAATTCCAAGATGCATTAGTTGCTATTTATACATAGTGGTTGGGATCTGGCTACGCCAACCATCAGGGATGATGGGTTGATGTTTGCAGTGTGGCTGCGGTCTCTTTACTGTGTTTGTTGAGCTTTATTGCTTGGAATTAGATGTCTGTCTAACATATAGAACTTAGAATAAGTTATAAATCTTCCAGATCTTTACAATAGATAAAATATTTGTATTGAGTGAGACCTTATGCGAGTTTCTGCTTGAGGGATAGATATTTTAGTAAAGTTGGGGTAGAGGAAGCCCTAAATCCACAACATCGAGATTTCGCCGCCTGGCAAATATATATAGCTTCGACTGTATTCACTCACCGTCCGGTTATGATGGTCCATCAATTAATCCGGCCTTCAGGTGCTTCGTCAACATAGTTCTGACAGCTATTCGACCTTTCCCAACAGCATCACAACATCGTCGCTCTGAGGTAAGAGGTTCCTATTCCACTAGCTCAACCACATATCTCTCAGCATTCTACACGGCATAATATGATTCTAGAAGTGGATAGCTCATGAGGATCTCCCAAAATGCTACTGATCTTTCCCTTCGCACTTGTTGCCAGTTGGGTTCAGCTTCGCGAACAGTTCTACGCGTTCAGAGATCGAACAAGGCATGGCCCTACGCCACCATTTCATATCTCACACGCACAGCTAGTGCTATGTGATACTCACTCTCTTGCTTTTGCTTTGTTGAGTCTTTCAGAGGGCTTGATAGGTCAATAGATTTGGCAGAGGATCTTTCCTTTGCACGTTCTACTCCTTCTCTCTAGAAGATGGCACTGCGTTATATCCACTATCCTCCTATACTTATTTGATTACCTACTAAATATCTAGTACTAACATGGCAACAGGATATCTTACTCCACCAGATCATCTCACTCGATCAGTATACTCCACTCCAGCAAATATCTACAATGCAGCAAGGTAAGTGAAACGACATACCATCCCCATACTCTCCAAGGACTGATTTTTAACAGAGAATATCCTATCATCTCCACCTTTGGTAGAGGGTGTGGCTCACGGAAACGTCGCAAGCATGTCCCATGGTAAGCCAGACAGCCCGCCATTCACCTCCATTACGAAGCCTCACACCTCTATAGACGATATTCTGCCGCGTCATATTCAAGAATACAACCCCCCTCCATTCGAGGCCCTGGTCCCGAAGGAGTTGCGAGAAATTATTTGGAAGTATTTGCTCCCCGGCCCTCGAATTGTGAGAATCGATATGGCCGAGCATCCAATCCGGGCTCCAGCAGATCGGCTGCAATTAGAGGCAGTGACCGACTCAAACCCTGTTCCGACGCCAATTTTTCACATCTGCAGCGAATCTCGAAAGCTGGCCCTTAAGCACTATGAATGCGCCTTCAAGGAACAACTCAGTGGCAAGCCTATCTATTTCGACTTTGAAATAGACACACTTTACTTCCCAAACCCCGTAGAACTATGCGCATTCAACTGGTTCATACGAATCAGTCCACATATGGCAATATCTCAAAGAAGGGATACCGGGTGGCATGGAAAACTCAAATTCTTGTCCCTTGGTAGTCATTATTTCTGGTGCGAGGGCAAAGCTATCTTCAGGGAATTAGTTGCTTTGGAGATGATAACTCGAGAGGAGGGGGTGGCGAGGAGCATTGCGCAGCGTCGAGGCATTCGAACAACCCGACCGGTCCATGAACAGCTTCGGAGTGGCGTAATGGATTCGTTCGATCGCTATTTAAAGTCCTTTTGGGCCAAAGAGATCGCTGCCGGACACAGAGCTACGGCTCCCGAACACGCCTATCTTACGAGTATACAACTTCAGACGAAAGCTGATATGCTAAAGGTACGGCCATAATTCAGATTACTTAACACATAAGAATCTTGCTGACTTATGCTAGCATGGGATGTGAGATTTGGGCGAGTGGAATTTCTGATGAGGATACTGCGCAACGCTAAGGAAGCCTCCCATCATAGACAACGAATAAAGAGCCTATTATGCGGAAACATCTAACTCTTGTTAATCCGTGACACGCAGATATACAAGTGGTGTACCTATACCAGGGGAGTAAATTATTTAGAATATGGTTAACATATCGACATCTTGCACATTATAATATACCCACCTGTAGTTCTACAATACCTTCAAGCCCATGAAACTTTGAACATATGCAGGTCCAAGTGGCTTGCAGAAACATGCAAAATTGTATAACAAATTATAACGACAAGGGTGCCCGATCTCGTCTATGACGAATTCTCAACGGAACTCCACTATTTACAAAACATATCTGAAGGAGGCGCCTTCTCCATTTTCAACACCCTCTGATCCAGTTTCCCGATCAGCCTTATCGTTGTCTTTCTTCAGCCACCACCTGAGTCCGAGAGCTGCAACGGCGCAAGACACTTCGGCAACCGTGAGAACAATGCACCCTTTCCGATACATGGGGCCATCTGTCTTCGGGTATAGGTAAGCAGTGCTGATGTTAGTAGCGTTACTGATTGCAGTAGCCAAGGCCAAAGCAACCGCGCGCTTCGCCTTGGGGCGCGGGATAGTTGAAGAGACCCAGGAGAGAATGACTTGGAAGGCGGAGAAAGCGCCCATGGCTTGCAAAAACATTGCCTAAAAACGTTAATATATACAGCCACTATGATTATGGATTGCCGAGACTTACGAAGTATCGACCTCCTGTCTGGGGGACAGTGGTTGAAATAATTTGCCCAATAGCGCTCATACAACAAGCAAAAACGATATTGGGGGTGCGCTGATTGCTCCTGCCGCTATGCCACGAGTTTGCGATGGAGAAGAAGAATGCGGCGAAGTATGGTGGGGCAGTAAGGAGCAGAGTGATAATTGGGCGGTATCCAAGCGTCTGGACGATTGTGGGGAAGAAATCTATAGATGTTAGTAAAATAATACCAGTGTTGAGTTAGGCAAGGCAACTTACAAGTAAAGCTCATCCCAACAACGGCAGCCGTCTGAATAAAAACAAGAAGCCACACCTTCGGGTCGACAATAGCTTGCTTGAGGCCAACGAAAACCGATTCTTCCACGTCATCGTTTTCGCCAGAAACCTCATGTGAAAGCCGATATGAAGCAAGCGCGCGCTCCTCGGGGCTGAGCCATGGAGTGTTTTGAGGATAGTTTGGTAGGAGGAGATATCCTAAGAATGCGAATACAATCGTAAGGGCTCCTTCGATAATGAAGATCCAGCGCTATTTGCCATTAGTTATACTCCAAACGATGATGTTATGCGTTCGACTTACCCATCCTGGGTAACCACCAGCCCCATCCATACCACCCAGGATTCCTGCAGCGAGAAGTCCTCCAAAAGCAGATGCCAGGGTATAGCCGGAATAGAAAATAGCAATGCGTGAGGGAAGCTCGGCTCGCGTGTACCAGCATGAGAGGTAAAAGATACATCCCGGGAAGTACGGTGCTGTTGTGAAGAGTAAGATACGGGTAGTGCTCAGCACGGAGGACTATCCACATACCTTCTGTTACACCAACTAAGAAACGAAGTACTACGGCCCCAGCATAGTTATGGACGAAACCGGTCGCCCCTGATACCTGTTATTGAATTAGTAACTTGACCCAAGTTGCTAACCACTAACTTAACTATGGACTTACAATACCCCAAATGATAACCACAGTTGGGAGATAAATTCTAGGCTTGAAGATAGATAGAAGCATGTTCGAGGGACTTCGTGAAGGTTAGCTCTCATGACACTCTGGAAGGGAATGAGCAAGGTAAAGCAAGATAGGGATCATACATCATCATTGTAATATAACCAGCCCAGAGAACCATAACAGTGGTCTAAATTCCATCTCATATTAGCAGGGCATTCATATTTGCGTCAATAAGCCCTCAAAATCACACTTACCTGGTATTGTACTCCACTCAATCCCAGGTCTTCTTCAAAGGTCCCCAAACGAGCATTGGCAATTGCATTTCGATCCAAGATATTCAATAAAAAGAGGAGGACCAAAATAGGGAGAATTCGGAAGTCCACCTTGCGGACTAGCTTTTTCTCCATCGAAGCCAGTTCCTCATCTGAAAATTGCTGGAGAACTTCTGGCAATCTCGCACGCTGTGGATCAACAACCTTTTCACTTATTCCAGCGGCATATTCGATATTGACGCTCTCGCCATCTTTTTCCGGAATACTGACGCCCATATTGAATCGAATCCTCACGCTGTGAAGATAACTTGGAGATAAAAGGGCAGGAATAAAGATTTCCTCGAGAAGCCTTGTCAAATGTCAGAATGAACCAGGAGAAGAGCGAATGATTACAATGCTATATAGATCATCAATATCCACTAGTCATAGCTGGTTGAACGCGGAGAAGATCTTCCCCTGCCTGGGGTCCCCACGTTCCAGGCCCAAAAACTTCAACCCCACGAAAAAGGGGGCTAGGGGCAAACTTACAGGCATGGCGGATGAAAACCGAGACTCGGTGGTACTCCGACTTGAAGAAACCTTGTTTTTTAGAGAGAACCCCGAACTACCGGCTGTCGGCCCCGCTCCGAATGACACCCAAGTGTTTCGACGCCGTAGATAGAAGAAAGATTGAATAGATGTGGACCTTACCAGACGGACACAACACATATCAAGGTCTTGGAGCACAATAGCAATAACAAGTAAAAATAAGCAAAGCCGCAACATTTGTCACAGTTGATCAAGACTATTGATCGCAGCAATTCCCCGCACCGCCGAGAATATCCTGCACAAATCACTTCCCCGCAAATTGAGCAGCAACATTCCCAAACTCAAAAATGGTCGACAAGATAAAGAACAATCGAGCACTGGCGATTGTTGATGCCGCACGCGCGGGCAAATATGCCGTGCCAGCCATGTGTTGCTACAACCTTGAAGGCATCTTAGCATCAGTCCGGGCCGCAGAAGCAAAGAAATCACCAGCCATAATTCAGCTTTTCCCTTGGGCAATTGAATATGCTGGCGGGATTCTTCCTCACGCCGCGGCGGAAGCAGCAGACAATGCTTCCGTCCCAATAGCGGTGCATATGGACCACGCACAGTCGCCAGAGATTATCAGACGCGCGGTAGATATGGGTGGTTTTGATGGTATTATGGTCGATATGAGCCATTATGAGAAGGAGGAGAATATGCGATTAACGAAAGAGCTTGTTGCCTATTGTAACGAAAGGGGCGTCATCACTGAAGCTGAGCCAGGTCGCATTAATGGGGGCGAGGACGGCGTGGCCGATACCGTCGACCTTGACGAGGTGTTGACCACGCCAACGCAAGCTGAGGAGTTTGTCGCATTGGGGATCCAATGGCTCGCGCCAGCCTTTGGCAATGTTCACGGAAAATATGGCCCAAAAGGACCACAGCTGGACTTTGAGCGACTGAAAGGCATCGAGAAGGCCGTTGGAGATCGTGTGGGGTTGGTGTTGCATGGCGCAAGCGAGGACGACTTTGATGAGGCGCTGTTTCAGAAATGTATTGCGGCCGGCATGTCAAAATGTAATATTAATGGTGCAATGAACCAGGAGTATACAAAGCTCCAGGCGGAGAAGGCGGGCAAGATTTCTCTCACTGCATTGATTGATGAAGGAACCTTAGCCATGCAAAAGGTGATCGAGACACACATGGACTGGATGGGGTCAACAGGAAAAGCATAGACTGTTAGTATAGAATACCACTGAAATTAGATTTGATTAATTGTATATTCTGATTTAAAACTCATATTTCCAGAGGGAACAGCGGTAAGTCAGTAAGTCGGAGAAGGAGCGATGAGATGAGATTGGATTCCCAGCCACAGGCGGAAGTGGTCATAATATTGACCACTTTAGTCCAGGGTCCTAAGAACTCAAACTTCCACAAGCAGCAAGTCAGCTGCATAATACATATAGACAGATATGAATGACAAATGTGAGTTACTTGGGGGTTGTTTGATAAACAACTATGATTAATTCATAAAATTTAACGTGCTATTATTATCAGTGGCAGCAACTAGAACACCCTTGTAGCAGCATATTAAATGTAGCGAAAATCCCATATAATTACTATGAAAGGTATCTAAATGTCTAAATGCATAAAAGTAAAGATCTTATCTACATACAAATTCTAGTGCCGTGAGAAAATCAGATCTAGACTTTTATAGCCTTGGGCCCATCTACTGGTACAACACCATTCACGCCATTCACACCGTTAACTTTACTCCCATTCGTCAATGGCAGTGATGAAGTTCCATTTACACTCCTTTTTGATTCCTCAAGAGTCTCCTTGTAATCAAGCACAGACTGGACGAAAGACTTATCCTGCTTCATTCCCAACTTGAGACCCAGAGTGTTATCAAACTCATCGGGCCATGAGTATAAAATTGGCTTCACGAGCTCATCATCCTCCTCTCTCAGAAGCTGGAGCTTATCCTTTCCACCAACCTCTGCCAAAGCATCCATCATATCCTGCACCGTAACTGCGAACCCAGGGACGTTCACCTGCCTCCCGTGAAGGGGGAGTGAGCCACGTGGTAATTGGAGAACGACGCAAAGGTTATATATTAGGGTCTTTGGTGAAGACATCCAATGTCTCCAAGCGCGGTCTTTGATAGGTACGATGCACTCTTCTCCATTTAATGGCTCTCGGATGATGCCAGAAATGAAAGAAGACGCCGCCGCGGTTGGCGTTCCGGGGCGAACAGAGATGGTAGGAAAGCGTAAAGAGAAGCCATTGATAAAGCCCCGACGGGTGTAGTCGTTGATCAAATTTTCGCAGATGATCTTCTGACACCCATAAGAAGTGGATGGCAATGGTAGAATGGCTTCGGTTACTGGTGTTGGGAGTGGGAGGCCATAAACTGCTTGGCTCGACGCATAGATAACGCGGACACCGGGACAAGTCTTCCTAAGGCTATCTAGTAGATGGCGGGTGGCGTCGACATTAACTCGCATTCCTAGTTCGAAGTTTGACTCTGCGCCAGAAGACATGATTCCGTGGAAAATGTAGACAGCGTCGAGAGACTTGTCGACCACACTGGCGGAATCCTCAAAAAGATCTGCCTTTATTGATTTTGCATTTTGAGGGTGTTTTGACCCGCGAGGAATAGGCGGCTCGGTGATATCAGTGAGAATGAGGGTGTGATTTGGATCATTCAGAAGCTCTTTGGCAAGAATTTGGCCAACGAACCCCGCGGCGCCCGTAATAAGAATACGCATGATGAGTGAGCGGCTTGAAAGGTTGAATTGAGTGACTAGATGGCTTTGGGATGCAAGTATTAGAAGAATAATACCCTCGGGAAAGTTTGATTATAAGTCCTTGGAAGTTGATATCCAAGAGCCGCCGAGAAATAGCTAATCCCGATGTCTTCCAGTTTATTCCTTAGCAAAATGATCAGCAAAGTGATAGACAGAGTTGGGGGGGGTCGGAGTGGCTCCGAGATATCTCGGAGCTTGGCCGACAAAAGCCGAATCCACCTACCGCGCATTTCTTCCGACGCCGAGGGAGCGCTATGAAATCCCCAAGCTGAGCTGTTAAAGTTGGGGAAATCAAGCTCCAAGGATTGGTTGAGAGGTGAACCCTGTGACGCACCTTCGATAACTTTTTTTGTTTTGCTTTCTGGTGTTTATTGTGTAGCCAAGGAGTAAATTTTGGAATTAGCAATGGCGAACGACAAGGAGATACGGGTCGACGAGATCAAGAAGCATAACTCGGATCAGGATTGCTGGCTGGTGGTCAACGATAATGTCTGGAATTTGACAGAATTTGCGCCGCAGCATCCAGGCGGGGCAGCAAGTGAGTGAGAGATACTGCATAATATATTAACGATGACTCTTCAAGAAACGAAACTGACCAGCTTGAAATAGTCATCTACAAATACGCAGGCCGTGATGCATCTGAGGCATACAACTCCATTCACGCCCCATCACTATTATCAACCAATCTCCGTCGAGAGGACAATAAAGGGAAGTTCAATACCGCAGATGCGGCGGCCTCTGACCCAGAATGGCTCAAACCGCCGCCCACAGAGACGCGCGCCATTGAAGTCGGGGCTAAACCTCCCCTTCAGACCTTGATCAATAGCTACGATTTCGAGGGGGTGGCTTCCAGAACTGTGACAGCAAAGACATGGGCGTTCTATTCTTCGGCGGCGACAGATCTTATTACCAGGGACGCAAACAAGTCCATGTTTGATAGGATTTGGTTCCGACCGCGGCTTATGAGGGATGTAAAGCATGCTAGCACCAAGACGAAGATCCTTGGGTGCGAAGTCGATTTACCGTTCTTCGTTAGTCCTGCTGCAATGGCGAAGTTAGTGCATCCCGATGGGGAAAAGGCGTTAGCAGCCGGTTGCGCAACAAAAGGCGTGGCGCAATGTGTAAGTGATATCGCGGTCTAACACTTGAGAATACCCATAGTAATGATGAGGACCAGATCTCTAGCAACGCATCATTTCCCGTTGGCGAGATAACTAGCACGCAACCAAACCACCCCTTTTTCTTCCAGCTTTATGTCAACAAAGACCGTGCCGCCTCCGAGAAGCTCCTCGCCGAAGTTGAGGCAGCCGGAGTCAAAGCTATAATGGTTACAGTAGACGCCCCCGTCCCTGGCAAACGCGAGGCCGATGAGCGAGTAAAAGCAGATGCCGCAGCTCTGCAACGAGTACCTAATAGTGGCGCAACTGCACGAAACGATAATAAGGGGGGTGGATTGGGACGGACTATGGGCGGCTACATCGACCCGACTTTGAGCTGGAAGGATGTGAAGTGGCTACGGAGGTCGACGAAACTGCCCATCGTATTGAAAGGGGTACAGTCGGCATCAGATGTGAAACTGGCGATGGATTATGGCCTTGATGGCGTCGTTCTGAGTAACCATGGAGGTCGGAATCTAGATACGTGAGTCTCCCCCGCCCCTTATTCGCTTATATCTAGAGAAGGGAAGCTGAGCGGAATTTCAGATCACCACCATCTATTCTCACTCTCCTGGAGCTTAACCGCCTCTGTCCTGAAGTATTCTCCCGCATGGAGATCTTCGTCGACAGTGGGATTCGGCGTGGTACCGATATCCTGAAGTGCCTTTGCTTGGGTGCAAAGGCTGTTGGTATGGGAAGACCCTTCCTCTACGCTGTTAATTACGGCGCGGAAGGTGTGGAACATTTCATTGAGAGTAAGTTGCTTCCCCCATCAGATTGAATTCTAACCGGTCCCCTGCGGTCGCATCCATGCTAACGTGGTGATTCTCGGTGTAGTTATGAGAGATGAGCTTGAGACCTCAATGCGCCTGGTTGGCATTAACAGTCTGGAGGAGGCCCATCCTGGCCTCGTGAATACCTTGGATCTGGATCGATTTGTGCCTTCCACCATGGGCGATGATGATATGAAGTCGGTGCGGGAGAAGTCCAAGCTATAAGTAGTGGCGTATGTCACCTTGTGTATATAAGAAAATAGAATAAGTGAAATAACATAGATCCCTGACGCAATCTTCTGTTGGCGCTTTGTTGGGTTTCTAGATATTTGGTATATATTGGTACAACTATCGAAGCATGCCGTGCTCTATTACCACCTAATCATATTCGCTGGATCCAATGGGTTCAGTAATTGCTCATCGAACCCAAAACCATAAGTCCCTTTAATTTCGTGCATCATGCTCAATAAGAAGTCCGTCGGAGGCGTCTCCCCATTATCTCCCTGGTCAAACTCTTGAAACTCCGAGAACTCCCCATTTACTTGTTGTGGGTGTTGGTTTTGTGGTTGGTATTGCATCATATTCAACCCATGGCCGTCGGCCAGCGGTATTGGTGTGTTTGTACTATGTTGTGCGTGCATGACTCCATTCTCCGGTTCAAGAACTCTGAAATTCTTCAACATTTTCCGGAAGCCCAAGGCCATATGTCGTACAAGGTGACTCTCCCCTATACTCTGCTTCACTTCATCCATGACATTCGCAACTCTTCCCACGTGCGCGAGAACTTGTCGAACATCGATGCTGAGAGTTTCTGAATTGCCCCACCGAGCCGCGACTTGAAGTAAGAACGCAGCGCAAAACGCAATCATCGTATGAGTGAAGACAGGAACACACGCGAGGCCGGAGCAGAGATCTGGCTCATCCACAATTAGGCTTAAGGTGGAAATAGCAGCAGATATCGCAATGTTGGCAGCTTCTTTGCGCTCGATGGCTAATGGGGCAGCTGATAAGGAAGTCATGCCGCGAAATGCAAGAGAGTTCAATTGGAACCGTGCGAAATAATAGTAGAGAACCACACCTTTCGAGGGGTAAGTTCCGATGAAAGGACTATCATCTGTTGGCGATTACAATTAGCATTTGGATCTATCATCAACTCCAGCGCCAAAGCGTAGAGATAACTTATAATGGGATTTTGCAGGAAAAGAATGTAATGGAGGATGTTGTCTTACCTGACCTCCGTTTCCACACAAGTCTCCATTCCTCTACCGCAACATTGAATGTCCGCAATCGTGCAAAGTCATCCTCCGTCAATATTTGATCCATATCCGTCCCAAATCGTTGATACGCATCTGTTAAAATACTAAACAAGGCGACTTGTGCGCCAAGTCTGACATCGCCAGGGAGAACCTCAGGACCCTGTAAAATTCGCTCGTAGTTCTTGATAGCGGCATCTTCCATTGTCATTGGTGGGCGGCCATATGCGATGCTGAATTGGCGATCGCAGACGAACAGTACATACCAAATCCGGGCACTCTCATGATGGTCAGTTGTTGGTTGCGTCAATTTCTGGAAGCTGCGATGGAGGTTCATCTCTGTGGCGATACTGACAGCTTGCCTACAGAGTCTCCAGCTCAATGTTGGTAGGTAGAAGGCACCTAGAGCCAGGGCGCGGAGGTCGTCCAGTGAGTTGTAGCGTGAAAGAGCATTGGCGCTTACAAGTGACACGAGCTCGGCATAGCACTTGTCGAGACAAGCTGCCTTGTTCGGCTTGTGGATAGCAGCAACAGTGAGGATGACGGTACAGAGCATTGAAGATGAATGCCTCAGAGATTCTAAATTATCGTGAGTGAGAAGGAGCCCAGCCCAGAGATACTGGTTCATTTTCTGGTAGTAATGTGCGAATAGCTCTTCTGCCTCGCCGAGAGTGATAACTCCCCGCGAGATAAAGTCATCCGCCAATAATGATCCTTTTGATTTCCCAGCAGCACCGTTACCCAAAACTTTCAGCCTTGTAAGTTCATAAAGACTGCGCATTGGGGCGGGGACTATCTCTCCTCCATGCTCGACCTCGGGCTCTTGAGAGTTTTCCCTTGTCATGGCTATGGAAGGTGCCGGCATTTTTGCCGTTGACCGACTGCCTTCATCAGGCGGCAAAGGAGCCAAAGGTCGTGGCGAGTTACTTGAAGCATGTTTGATGTTCCGAGCCTGGTATGAAGCCAGGTCTGGGAGAAGATTGAGTTGGAGGATATGAGAAACGGCTGCTTGCAATTCCTCAATGTTGGCACTTGTCGCGGCCTTCCACCTATCGAAATATTAGTCACCGAAAGGGAATACATAGCAGCAACACAAAATCATAAAGTTAACTTACGCAGTATCTTCCTCAATAAATCGCTGAGAAAAGTCCGGGGTAATGCATTCAACCCCACTTCTGTGGCATTTGGCACAGCTGGCCTGGCCAGCTTTCCACTCGCACCTGATCTTATGCTTTTTGCATTCAGCACCTAAGGACATGGAATTATTACGTTAGCGACTAGGCAATTGGATAAATGGGGGAGAAGTTTTGCCCTTACAAGCTCGACTCCGGGAGAAGGTCACGGTCCCCGTCCGTTCAGAAGTCTCGTTGGAGTCATCTGGATGGGGTCGTTTTGGTGGCATGATTCCGAATCATAGGTTACTCTAGGTAAAGATAATTCGATTCCTGAGCTGCCGCATATCTGAATATGTCTGAGTGTATGCATGTATTTTATTGCCACCAGCTGTGGAAGCTTAGCTACGCAAAAGTTGAGGCTCCATCCTGTTGTTCATGGGGTTGCCGGGTGGCTTCGGCTATTGATTTAAAGGCGGGGCGGAAGGCGACGGCGACGGTACTTGTACCTTGTACCCCCGGATATATATCAAAGCGCTACTCCATATAATCTTACGACGTACAAATGATCGGATGGGATTGGACACGCAGACATTCTATGGGACTCTACGGGGTAAGGCCAAGTATGGTGCATTCTTGGGCGACTTTGGTGCAAAACTCCTTTCGCCAGTATACAAGGCCCAACGGCCATTACCTAGATATAAATCTGATATCGTATAAATATCTAACTAAAATTGAGATATTCAAACTCTACGAATATCTAGCTAAAATTGAAGTATTCAAGTAGTATTAAATATCGAACTAAAATTGAGATATTTAAATCGTACGAATATCTAGCTAAAATTGGAGTATTCAGGTCTTATAAATATCTAACTGAAATTGATATATTCATATTATACAAATACCTTACTGAAACTGAGGTATTCAAGTTACACGAATATCTGACCATGACTTGGTGACGTCTTATGTTACAAACAACGTCGTCACCCCTCCGGACTATCTCTCAACCCAAAAACGAAAAACACAATTTCAAAAAAACTCATTTAAAAATATTTAATTTAATTGTTCATTGTTGTTTAATTCTGCAACCCTTATTCCTCCACGCGCTATTTTTATACAGCTAATTTTCCACATGTTCACAGTCCAGCTATCAATGCAAGATCCATCATAACATACATAATGACTATGCCACCAGAGGCGGAGGGGAAGACAAAAAAGGGGGGATATCACAGGTTCTACTTTTCCATGCAATGTATGCGTCGCTAAGCCAAATCGACCGTGCTGTTTAAGAGGTCGGGGTTGAAATACAAGAGGGGAAGTTAAAGGTGGAGCTGTGGATACAATAGAGAGACACTTGTGTGGTGAATCAATCGAGTGCTTTTCGGAGATCGGTCCATTTCCGAGTAAGAGCCTCGTACTGGGAGTTGATCTGGTATTTGGTTTTAGTAGGTGGTTGGTATATGGGGATCAAGGGGGTTGGCGACATACCTCTGCGTACATCATCTTAGTCTCCACAAGAGTCTTCTCCATCTCGCTCATCTCCTCTTCCAGTTTGGTGTTCTCCTCGTGGACTTCTTGGTTTCTCTTCATCAGACGCTCCATCTCGCTCTTCAGCCGCTCTTCAACCTCCTCGGGTTGTTTCTGGACTACGATTCGAAGCTCTTGGACCTGTCCCTTCAGCGACTCATTCTCATCCCTTAATTCCTCATCGTCGACCTTCGTTCGGACTAGCTCGGTCGCAAGAGCTGCATGCTCTGTATCATGATCTTGCACTCTCTCTTCCAGTCTTCGTATCTTAAGACTAAATGCGTGATTTGACGCCTTTAGCGTCTCAAGTTCCAGCTCGCGCTCTTTCTCCAACCGGTTCTTTTCTTCCCATTCAGTGGAGTAGGTTTTGAGCAACTCTGGCGTGATTTTAACGGCACATGCATCCTGGATCAGGTGATCTGCTCGGTAGACCTCCTTATCGATGCTCGCACCTGAGCTACCAAAGAATCCCGATTCAAGAATTGACCCTGCGGATGGCGCCTGGTCGATGTACACATCGAATACCCGATCTTTCAAAAATGACGTGAGTGCGACCATATCATTCATGGCAAGTAATGCCTGGGCATTCTTTTGCATAAGGACGATTCCAAATTTCAGAATGGCTGCCAGTCCTTCACTGAGAATGAGATCGTATATTCTAAGAACTAGTTGCAGGGGAAACCGGTAAGCGAAAAGCGTTAGGAACCATTGCGTGGCGTATAAGTGTGGTGTGACTTGGCGACGGTGGAGATGGCAGTATAGAGCCGGCTCAAAATCTTCTAATAATCGCTCAAACTGATAGAGGTGCATGTGTAGGCCGGGCATGTCCTGAATAAATAAATCTCGCAAGTGATATTGGTTCATCAGCCGCACTAGCAGACAGAAAGCTTCTTCTTCCGGCATCTGAGGATATGTTAGGACCTTATAGTAGGAATAGGGACATGGTATCTTACGTTAAAGAGTAGAGGCATGGCCAGGAAATTCATGCCCTGGGCGTATCCAACGCCTTCATCGAAGAGCGCGTAAGCCTTGCACAACCCAAAGAGGCCCTCCTGCAACCCAGAGGCTGCAGCAAATTTGGAATAACTCGTTCGTGCCCCTAGATCCCGCCGGATTGCCTTCTCAAGTTTATGAATTGCAGCCGCATCCGCTTTGGCTTTTAACTTCTTTTGTGCCATCGAAGCGGCCTGCGCCTTTGATAGGGCATCTGGATCCTTCGGCGGGCTAGGGGATCTCAACCCATTTAGCTGGGTCTGTACCGGCGCAGATTGATCCGAATGGATTGACGATGCTGATGATGCCACTTCGTCCTTTTCCTTGCCATTGACAGAGGCTGTACTGTTGGCCATGCTCGCAGCCCCGCTCGATGCACTCATCCTATCCTTTTCCTTATCCGTGCCCCGTACCACGAGATCCCGGTACACGGTCTCTAAGTCTTCATTTTTGCTCTGAGCAAGTACCTGCCATACCACGCCGCGTATAGCATGTGGGATACCGGTCGCTATAGCTCTATTTAACTCCTCCGCGCTTGTTCTAGCCACTGCTGCTGGACCTTCATATACGACCGACTGCCACAGATCCCAATCAACAGGTGCGGATGGGTCGCTCATTGCAGAAGGGCCGGCAGATATACCCGACGCAGTCCCTGGGGCTAGAGCCGGGTTGGCGGTGGCTGGATTTGGACTCGTGGGATGATTTGGCGTGGAGGGAGATGGCGCAACGAGGGGTCCATCACGATCCTCTGATATTGTGCTTTGGCTACCCCGTTGGACTAGTCCGGCTAATGCGCTTCCACTCTTATCTTCCTCTCCTAAACCAGTTATGCCTGCCTCTTCGCGCATCCTTACGAGCTTGAAGCGGTCTCTTAAGCTGTGTCGTACAGGTTTCGTATTCCCATTCGCGCTGTCCGACTCGTCCCCTTCTTCCAATTTGCTTAGCATCATCTCGGGATTGCTGGCAACTGTCGCGATTGATGACCCAGTGTTTCTTCGTTCGTTCGTGTTGATGGAGGGCGGTAGTGGAGACGTCACCGGTTCCTTGGGAGCTGATGATGAATTCCGTGAGAGCCAGGAGAAGGGACTTGTTAATTTCCTTGACGGGGGCGGGGGCGGGCCACCATGCATCATCGAAGCTGAAGGAGCTTGAGGAGGAGGAGACCAAGGTCCTGATGGGAGCACACCAGATAACCCTTGAAAGGATGACTTCTTTGGGGGGACGTCGGGCGGCTTTGAATCTTCTGCCACATCTAAAACTCATTAGCCGCTAGCCTGCGTTGATGATGGATCGAATGTGATGTGATAGTTATACCTTTAGGAGGAGTGGCAGGTTTCGCTGCTGTCCCATCCTCATCAAGGCTGACATTATCGAGGGAGCTTGTCGAAAGGCGGCGAGAAGTTAGGAGAGGAGATTTGGGTTGTGCGGAGTCTCCTTCAACATTTTTTGCATCGCCGTTCGCTTCCATGTCAGGGATATCGGGGACTGGGGGAGCTTCGGTGATCGAGTCTTGTGCGGTGCTCTTGACGGAGGATGATCGCCGTTTAGTGAGAGATCGTGTCTTTACTACAGTTGCCATCTTCGCCGAGTTAATTTCTGCGGTATCGTTGGCATCCTCGAACGTGTCCTACGGGAACAAGTGTCGTTAGCCATGTCCTGGTGGTACTGGAATGCAGACACCGGAGGGATGAGCCGGAGGTTGCGAAGGACAAGAACTCTTACATTTTCATGATCAGAGGTCTCCGCAGTAGATTCCCTTGTGTCTCTGGGAGACCCAGGTTCTACCGGCTCGCCGTGCTCGTGGTCCGCCATGGTGTTGAGGAAGGTTGGTGCGGAAGCGTTGGGAGGGTGTTGAGATGATTAGGAGCTCTTCGCGGCCATTAAAGGGGATGCGGCCACGGCCACCCGCTTGCCTGGAGATGCAGTTCGATATTTCTAGTATATTCCGGTCCGAGGTGGGATTATCTGGGGACCAACGGGGCCACAAAGCCGGGGAGTTTGGCGATTTTCTTTGGTGAAATGGCGGTTGTTGTTATGGAGAGATGTTGGTTGTTGCATATGATATTATTATTGTTGCGGTGCCACATTTGGGGCGCGTGCTCCTGACCGGGCCCTAGGAAGCCATACTCATGTTATATTAATATACAACTGGGGAGAGGCGAGAACCGGAGATGCTTGTTGTCTCGTAAAAGCAGGGAGTGAATTCGACAGTTAGGCAGTAGGCAGTGAAGCTGGACTAGCAAGAATTGTTTTTATCCTTGGTAAATGAAAGAATGCCAGGTGGTCGCATGTCGCGCTGCAATCAGGTTAGAGGTTACAGAGTACCGGATCAGCGAATAAGCGTATTCAATTCGGGGCAGCAGATCAGTGTCAGCCACATCCACCACGATCGGGATAAACGTTATGAGCCAATCAAAGCTGACAGGTGTGGCTTTTTGCTATTCTGAAACAGACTATTCCTCGTGTAAATAGTTGAGGAATTTGTACTCGAGTACCAGTACTCGGACTAGTACAGAGTGGTAACATGAGATGAACGACTAAGTTACAGAACAGAAACAGCCTGCCCTCTCGACAACAGGTCTGGGGAATATGTGCTTTATGCTGTGGAAGTAGGGCGAAAGGGAAACTGGCAGGCCAACCCAATTCCTGCCCATCGGCTTACTACCGTGCGTACGAGGCTATAAGTGCAAGGTGTATAGATTGTTTTTCAGCTATTAGAGTAAAAAGCACCACGAGCCACTACACCGGGGGCAGAATCCCAATATTTACATTCTAGGGACTACGTATTGCATGGGGCAATAGGACGAGTTTTATATCTCAGGGGCAGATCTCCCAGGTGACGGGGATCCGGGGCGTGACATTGCACACGTGATACAGCCTTGTTCAGTGCAAAGTACACAAGGCTGAGATCCTTCTTTGACTTCCAGGGCAGTGCCCCTAAACAGATCAAACTGTGGAGTTTATAAGTCATAAGTTAGTACTGGGACAGAGGCCTAGTAGCAGTAGGGTACCGTGTCCGAAGAAATCCTTCCAGGTGTTCTGCGGCTAAGCCGAACTTTATGGCTGGGTGCACTAAGGATATCAGTTGGAAGAGGGTAGAATTTCTAGGTCAGAGGCCCCGTTTCCATATCGGTGGGTGTATTTCGCAGGAAAGGCTGGAAGCTGGGAATCGTTTTGTCTGCTTTGCCCCCCATAGTCATGGCCAGCATCAACGGGACTCGTCTGGCGCACGCTCGATGCAGAGCATGTAGCAGCAACCCGAGGGTCGCCGACGACTGTATAGTAACAGGGAAAAGAGGTTAGATGGGAGTTTGTAGCAGCGGATACGTCGTAGAAGTGCGAGGAAGACAGCACTAGCTGCAAAGGACTGTTGTTCTTCCTGGCTTAAGCTCTGAGAGCTTGACACGAAGCTCTTGTGGATATAATGGCGCTTCATCCTTCGAGGGTTGGCAGACAGGAGAATACCTTGTACGAGGTACCTAATATCTGTGTCGAGTATGGATATTGCGCTTTGTATGGTGACAGTACAGTAGCTTTAGGGATGTAAAGATAAGAATACAAGTCTTCCAACGCACAGCACAAGTATCGCATGCTGGTAATGAATGAATATATATTTGTTGATATGGAATCGGGCGGTGTTACTGTCTGTATGTCAATCACTGCCGCTGGCGCTGACGTAGAAAATTAAGGTTCCCTCCAGCTGTGTTAAGCGCGTTCGCCATCCGGAGCGCGACCTCGAAAGTTTCCAGTCCCGAACCAGAACAACTGGAGCTCCATCGCATCACCACCACCATTATTTCACCCTCAACCTTTTCTCCCCCCCCCCACCAACATCAAACACCAACATCAACAACAACCTCACCTCCCATCGAACAACCCCAACATCCGCCTACGCAAAGCCGGCTTGAGAGTTAAAGAGGCGCCTGCACCGTTCCTCTCGATACCCTTCCTCCGACTCGGTACCTGGGCACGCTTCGAGGAAAACCGACTCTCTTCCATCACACGTTCCCTTCAAGTTCACAACGCACAACGCGCCCTCCAGCGTCCCTTGATGCGTATTTATCAAATACAGCCCTGAGCCCAAGCTCAGCTCTAGTAACTTCCCCCTCTGAAGGCTAATCTGTACAGGTAGTAGCCCTGTCGAGAGATAGGGCTTTGTCCTATTGGCCCAACCAAGACAAACGCATACGATATCCGCCGGTCCTATCTGGAGTGGTCCTACTCGGGGCGCTCCATCGTCAAGCGACCAACCTGTCTCCATAAAGAAGGAGTATTGAGGCAGTGGGGGGGCCAAATAATTAGGATTCAGCGGGTTCGCCGCTCCCGCTTTCACCATGGTCCGAATCACGAAGACTATGCAGGCGAGGCACTCGGAGACTCTGGTAAGCTTGGAATACCTCTCTGTGCCAGTCTACCTGCTAACTATGATGTAGTCACCGCTAATCAAAGATTTCCGCTCATCGGCGTGTTCAACTCCCCTGCCCCTCCTTCCACAGCACCTCTCGACGCTTCCTACAAGATGGCCGTTCCCTCGTGGTGATCTATATCACTGGGTTTCGCTTTTAAACAGATTCGATGTCATTCTCGAGAGGTTCTGCCGCACATACAAGCTAGATGAGGGACCACAGACGCTAGATTTTAGCTGCCAGATACTCGAGTCTGCAAATGAGGAGCAGGGAGACGAGCCTCACGAAGACTATGACCTCGAGAAGCTCGGCTTTGATAAGGAAGGGGATCGTCAGTTGATTGAGTCCATCCTTAACTTTTCCCGGATGCTTTTGCAGAACTGTGGCAATCGTAGCATATACGCCAGCAGCTCACATCTAAGCAACTTGCTCAACACCACGTCCTTGTCGCTCCTCGAGTCTACTCTTCTCATTGGATCCGAGTTGGCGCAGAGATACCAAGCCGCCTTCAAGCGCATGAACCTTCCCGCTCGACACGTTAGTAGTACCTTGCTCACAAACCACTACAACATCAATCTTGATCGAGTACTCCAACTCGCCCTGCCATTTACCAAAACCGTCACAACCCCGGTGGAGCCGCTGCAACCGGCTACACCCACGACACCCAGTGTAAAAGGCAAGGAGAAGGCGTACTTCCAGATCCCTACGGCTCAGAAGGGCACAACTTCGACACTGTATGCCAACGACCTTGCATCCTTGGTCAAGGGGGGTAGCGGCGTCATTAGCGGCAGCCCGAAAGCCGGTCAGAATGGAGTGGATAGCAAGGCGACCGAGGCTAGCTGGGAGCAATGGGGAGACGTGAAGGTCACATACTATCCAAAAGCAACCCCGGAAGTCGACACAGCTGCCAACACACCGCGGCTGACAAGTCCAGCTTCGCAAGGAGCCCCCGTTACACCTACTCCAATTCGTCGATCTTCCAATTTAGGTCCCCATGGACATCGTTCGAATAGACAAACAGCTTCCGACGAGACCCCATCCCCTGTAGCACGATCTGCTACTTTCCCAATGGATGATGCTCCCCGCCCGACTTATAACGTCGTTGAGATCTCCTCTTCCAAGCTCAAGTCTACTAGTCTACATACGCTCCTACGAGAACACATCTCGGAATTGCCACAAGAGTTGCAATACGAATTGCTGGCGAAGTTGCGGGTTGCGTCTGCTCTGACAACGTCCTTGGAGACTCGGCGACAGATGTTATCCGTACGGCTCTTGGCGATCACCAATTTGGCGTACATCCATTCTGAAAATGTGTTCCTTGAGAATGTCTTGAAACAGGACAGCGATGAGCCTCGCAGGTTGCAACTTGTGTATCAGCTGGCAGAAATGGTTCATCCACCTGCTGACGGCGATGTGGCCATTCCTAGAAAGCTCCAGACTTTGGCTTTGTCTGCACTTGATGCACTATCCTCCCACCAAAGCAAATTCTCAGACGTTTGCGCTGCCCTTAACACCAACGTCAACCATGGAGTCCTTCTCTACGTTGTTAGGAGAGCTGTTGCCGAGATGCATCATGAAGATAGTGGCGATAAAATCACTGAAGACGATGAATGGCGTGATACTCTGTTCTCACTGTTATCCAACCTCTCTCTAAACCCCCGTACTAGTGGAGATCTCGTTACTGCCGGATTAATACCCATCTTGGTTGAGGTCCTCAATCTGCGTACAAATGTTGCCGAACGTTACCACCCCAAAATCCTAAGTTTCCTCGACAACATCATGTACAATGCACGTGATGCATTTCAAACACTTGTCAGCGCAGAAGGTTTGGACGCCGTCTCGGACTTGATCGTCTTTGAGGTGAAGAATGCTGCAGAACTTGCAGCTGCTGGGAATGGTATCCGACCGGAATATCGTTCCGCGGCTGTTGACTACAAGATTCCTTACTTTCAACAGCAGACTTTAAAGTGGTTGTTGAAATTTATACACCATATGATGTCTGCTGCTGGGGGTTATGGTGGAAACTTCGATCGCCTGCTGCGCAATTTGATCGACTCGTCACAACTGCTGGGTGCTCTTCGCCAGATTATCAGCAACGCACACTGCTTTGGCTCCATTGTCTGGACCAACGCTGTCAGCATTCTCAATGACTTCATCAACAACGAGCCTACTAGCTTTGCCATCATTGCTGAAGCTGGGCTGAGTCGAGCGTTTCTTGAAGCCGTCACAGGAACTTCGATAGTAATGCCTCAGGAGCCTAAGAAGCGTGAAGAAGGCGAACAACCGACCGAGGAGGCCCCCATTGCGGCTAGCATGCCTATTGATCGCTCTTCTGATGATGATGACGACGATGATACAAGTGACGATGACGCTGATGTACTTCCCCATCGCCCATCTCTATCAACACTTCAAACTCCCCGGGACCATCCGCTGGCTCAAGGGATCATGCCAACCTCCGAGACTATTAACATCGTGCCACAAGCATTCGGTGCCATATGTCTTAACAACGCAGGCATGAAGATGTTCCAGGCATCGCGTGCGCTAGAGAGCTTTCTAGAGATCTTCGAGAGCCCTGAGCATGTCAAATGTATGGATGCAAACAAGGATTTAGCTTCCAATCTCGGCGGGACCTTCGATGAATTAGTCCGTCATCACCCACCCCTCAAGACCGCCATTATGAACGCCATTCTTGACATGGTGGCTAGAGTCGGATATCTTTGCAAAACCAAAGCGGAAAAGCAAAAGGTTGGAGCCAAGCTATGGACAATGGACACTTCTGGCAAACCTATCATTGCGGACGCTCAATTAACCAACGCCCCCAAATCCCACAAGGGAAAGGAACCGGCCGTGGATAACGGAAACGATGTCGAGATGCAAGATGCGGATACAGAATTGAGCGAAAACACTACCGCACACCCATCAGCGTCGGAAGAGATTACCCCAAATGCCTCGATGACCCCCTACATCACTGCTGTCGCCACTTTTCTGGCAGCGATTTTCGGTAACTCGTCTATCCGCTCCGAATTCTGTGCAAAGGGTGGTATTGAATATGTTCTCGACCTCCTCGACTCGCCTTGCCTTCCATATGATTCTGCCGACGGAATTGCGGTTAACACCCTGCACACTGTGATTGCAATTGTTGCAGAACCTAAGCCGCACCTCACGATACCATCCTTGCTTAAGCGAGCGCAATCTGCTGCTGATGAACTTGCTGCTTTCGCCAACCACTCTCAGAGCGAATCATTCTTTGCGCCATTTGTAGACGCAGATGCGCGACAATCTGCCGATCTGGAGTTGCTTGCGAAGGGTACAGGTTTTGCGAAGGCTTTTGTGAACCTCCATTCTCTCGTAACCACTCTACAGGCTTGCTTTCAGCCATCAGCGTTCAATCATAGGAACGCGGGCAACAGCTTCAATCAGCTTAATGTCGGCGACTACTATGCACGCCTCGTCCAGAGCCTCGGGCTTCTGCTAGGCAGGTCCCTACAGGAAGAAATGCAGCTCCAGAAGATTGTTCCTGGTTATTGGAAGAATGCCACCCGTGTCAAGGATTCTGGGTTTGGCGAGCCTGTTGCGGATAATGTTTTGGGCGTGGAACCGCCCTCTCCTGGAGCAGAACCTTCTGATGTGAATGCCTCAGCGCCAAATCAACCAGCAGAATCACAAACTAGTGATTTGGCAGCAACAACCGCTGATACTGCGCCAGAGACCGCAAATAAGCAATTGAAGGTTCCCACAAAGGCCGAGCAAGATAGTCCATATTTCAAGAACTTCCAGACGATCCGGTATCTTCTCGGCAAAATGTCTCGAACTGTATCTCCTTTCTTCCAGACGCTTGGTAAGGCGTTAGTCTTAAAGCGGAACCCCGAAGGATTCCAGAAACAGAGCCATGCTGCTATTGCCAGAGCATTGGCGGATACTGCACTACTGTGGTTGATCCCGTCCAAGCAAGCTTCCCCCATCGAGCAGTATTCATATTGGATTGGAATGCTTCATGTGCTCAAGGAGATGCTAATTGACGGTAAGTTGAACTTTAAGTTGGCGATACTACTTTGCTAATTTCTAACAGTCTCGCGTGTCAACGAGCGACCTCTTCAAATCATCACAATTGTCCTCCAGGCATTCAAGGAAAGCGGCGGTTTTGATGGGGTTAACCATATCCTCGAGACATTTACCAAGGAAATCTGCTCAAGCAACTATTCCCTAACAGAAAACCAAGATAAGACTACAGAGGAATTTCTTAAATTCGAACTGGCCACCGCTGGAACTAAAAACATTCTTTCACTCTATGCCCTTATCGTTAGTGGGAAGAATGTTACGGAATCGCACCAGACTGTCGCTATGACGACCCGTGCGGAGAGAGACCGTAGTCGTCCTGACCATTTCTCGCCTCCTCAATTCCTAGTTGAACTGCGCATGGCTGTTTTGCCCATTGTCCGCTCATTATGGCGCTCTGATCTGATTGAAAAGGGCTCGAGTCAGATTTGCGAAAAACTAATAGAAGTGATTCGAACTATTGCAAACGCTGATAGCGAAGCCAACGCGATCAAGCGCTCGGATAAAATTGTGCCCCAAGTCAAACTTCCTAGAAAGACATTTAAGAGCGGTCCTGAGCATCTCGCTGCGCTGGCTGATAGTTACGATGCGGATCTCGCGAACGAGGCACTTTACCGATGCAATAACAACCTGTCCTCCGCATTGGAGTACTGCAGAGAAGTAACCGAAGGCGTGGGTAGACGGTATCCTGTTCCTGAAGGCGACATTGCTCCTAGTTCTGATGACACTATGTCCTCCAGGCCTCCTACAAGCGGCTCTGCTGGCACAGCAACTCCTGATGACCACGCAATGGCGATTGATTCTCGTTCGAATCTCCCAATGATCCCTCCACCTGACACTGAAGTCACTAGCCAGAATTTTGACCAGCTGTTGAGCCAATTTGCTCAGAGTGTTGCGGCTGTGGATCCTTCACGCCCAACTTCGTCTGCTGCGGCTCAACAATCTGCAACAGAAGAAGAGGTAGGGACCACACAAGTTACTGTGGATGATCTGAATGAAGAGCGGGATGCTATCAAGGAGGATTTGATCGACAAATGCCTCGATGTTATAAATGCACATGGCGATGTGACCTTCGAGGTTGCTGATCTAATTACCACCGTTGTCAACAAATCAAGTGATCCCTCCGCGCAGAGAAAGACCGTTGCCACTACTCTTGTCATCGCTCTTATGTCATTCGCTGGAGAAGAAGATCTGCGAACAGCTGGCAAGAAAATCGCTGCCTATGCTAACTTGTTGGCACTTATGTTACGAGATAAGCTGTTCTTTGCTGCGGCGGTTGGTGATTTGACGGAGAATCTCAGCACATTACTCAGCTTTGTGAGGCTGTCCCCTAACCATTCATCCGACGAACCATCACCTTGGATTGCTCACATTCTTCTCGTCGTCGAAATGCTCCTCAGCGAAGATGCTCGCCCACAGAAGACCAAGTGGACAGCGCCAAAGGACGAGACAGAAAAGCCTGAGCCGCCCGTACTCGAGATGGCTGAACCGATCGTGTCCAGTGATGAACGATTAGAGCTCTTCGACGCCATTCTTGAAATTCTTCCTCGAATTGGTAAAGATGAAGCACTTGCACTCGCTGTACTCCGTATCTTGGTTATCCTTACACGCACACGATCAGTAGCCCAAGCTATGGGGGAAAAGAAAAACATTCAACGTCTGTTCGTTATGGCTAAGCAGCTTGCAGGAGCCAGCTCAGCTCGCATCCAAAGCCCCTTGATGATTATCTTAAGGCACATTATCGAAGATGATGAAACCATCAAGCAAATCATGCGGTCAGAGATCAAGTCTTACTTCGAGACATCTCGGCAGCAACGAAACGTTGATGTGTCGACATATCTTCGAGGTCTTGCACACACAGCAATTCGTAACCCCGAGCTTTTCGTTGAAGCCACAAATGAGATGGTTAAATTCAATCGCTGGACGTATGCCTCTGAGGGCTCCGGTCGCCATGTCTCACTCATCTTGAAGGACACCCACAGCGAGAGATCTGCCAATAAATCCTCTGATGACCCAGTGTCTCCAACTGTCCAAGCTACAGAAGATCTCTCTATTCAAGACGTGAAGCCGTCAACCGAGGGTCGCGACAGTGAGATGACAGATGCTGCAAAATCCACTGCCGTCGAGTCGAAACTTCCTGTCCTCGAGAACCCCGACGGAGTCATCCACTTCTTACTTTGTGAACTGCTCAATTATAGGGACGTTGAAGACAAGGATCCCCCCGTTCCAGCAGCTAACCAAGCCGAAAGGCCAGGTACTCCAGGCACTACAGCTACTACAGCCACTCCAGGGTCAAGCAGCGATGACACTCCTATGGGGGGGACTGCCTCAAGCCCTGAACAACCTCCCAAGGATACGAAGCCCTCTAAACCACCCGCGAAGCCAGAATTCAAGGCCGAAGACCATCCTATTTACATCTACCGCTGCTTCATTCTGCAATGCCTGACGGAGCTTCTATCCTCTTACAATCGTACTAAGATTGAGTTTATCAACTTTAAGCGAAGCGCACCACCACAAGCCATGACTCCCTCGAAGCCGCGATCCAGTGTCGTCAATTATCTGCTTTTTGATCTTATTCCAGTCGGTACCTTAGATCATGCTGACACGACGGCGTTACGGAAGAGATTTGTCACCTCATCCTGGGCGGATTCGGTGTTGACCGCGCTGCTCAGCAAGACCGGTGAAAATGGTGTTAATAACAAGCAGCTGCCTTACGATAACGATGATGAACCGGATCTACTCTTCGTGCGGAAATTCGTTCTAGAAAATATCCTCAAAGCCTACAGGGAAGCCAGTTCGTCAACAGAACCCCTTGACGTCAAATACTCTCGAATGCTTGCGCTCTCAGACCTCATGGCCCACATCATGAGCGGCAAGGAGAATGTCAGCATGTCAGATACGACTCTTGCTGGTGTCTCCCAAAAACAGCTTAGACGGATCATGTTTGAGAAAGGCTTCATTGCCGCTCTCACTGCCTCAATTGCAGACATTGATCTCAACTTTCCAGGTGCTAAGCGTGCTGTCAAATACATCTTACGGCCTCTTAAGACATTATCTTCAACTGCCGTACAGCTTAGCGAGCTCGGGCTTGTCTCTGACACCCCTGGTCAGAACGATGACGAGGAGATCGAGTCAGCCACCTCTGTCTCTGATGTTGGCGATCGTGAAGAGACACCAGACTTGTTCCGAAACTCGACCCTAGGAATGTTTGAGCCAGGCCGAGAGGAGGATTCTTCCTCTGAATCCGATGATGGTATGTTACAATGTTTTAAATTCTTTAGCTACTGACTAATTATTTTTAGATGAGGAAGAGATGTACGAGGGCGAGTACGACGAGGAAATGGACTATGAAGACGAAGTTGAGGATGGTGACGATGTTATCAGCGATGAGGATGAAGAAATAGACGGCATGGGCCCTATTGAAGGTCTACCGGGCGATCACGGAGTCGACGTCGAAGTAATCATGGGTGATCACGACGATGATGATGACGATGATGATGAAGGCTCGAGTGGTGATGATGAAGACGATTCGGAGGATGATGATGCTCGTGTTGAAATTATAGATGAGATTGAAGATGGCGAGGGTATTGGGGACGACGATGACATGGATGAGTGGGAAAGCGATAATGACGACGAGGGTGATGAGGACGATTACGAACACGCTGCTGACCAAGACGAACATGAACTCCACGCCATGGAAGCAATGGACATGGGAGGCCAGCTTGGCCATATCGTTCGTGCCCTTGGCGGCGAAGACGCTGCGGAGATGATGGAGCGGATGGAGGAGCAGATGGAGGCTGAAGGCATCGATCATGATGAAGATGAAGAAGATGAAGATCGTCTCGGCCCCGACTTCATCGATGAAGGCGACGAGGAGGGTAAGTACACACATGGCGCCCTTATTTAACTTTACCTTGTGGCGATATTAATATCTTGCAGAAGACGATGAGGATGAGGATGACATGGATGAAGAGGAAATGTTATTTGAGCAAGGCTTCACAAGTAAGGAACCAACCCTCCCGATTATGGATTCTTTAGCTAACATACATCAAGTGGATGGTCCTGGCCCTGTTCCATTCGGATGGGAAGGTGAGGTGGAACCTCCTATGGTTCTACATCGGCGTCCGCGCCCAGGAGGCTTTCCCCCTTTCCCTTTCTTTCCTGGTGGTCCCCGCGACCCACTAGGTGGTATGTCACATCGCACGCATGCTTCGGTCGCCGATAGAATGGGTGGACCTGCAGAATTGCTCGCGCATTTTCAACGGCTCATCGGTTCTGTTCGTGATAGAAGAAGTAGAACTAATCCTCGTGCAGTTCCCGAATTTCGTTCCGGTTTCCGCTCACACAGACCGGGTGGACCACCACCACGCTCTGGCGATGATGGCACCAATCCCCTTCTCCAACGAAATACCGGGCCCGGTAGAGATGGCTCCTCGCGGACGTCTACCCTGGGAAGCTTTCTCCAAGCAGTGGGAGGACCACATGATATATTAGACATTGGTTTTAGTGGCCGCCCCTTCGGTGAGACCGCAACAGCTGCCATTCTGGATGAAGTAATCAGATCCTTACCAGCTATTCCAGGTACTATTGCGCGGAACGGACAAGCCCTTCAATTCCATATCACTACAGGCCCCGGTCACGAATTCCCCCGAGATCTTCAGGCCATGTTCGGTATGACACGTGCACCACGATTCGACGCTAGACGTGAAGCTGGCGAGCCTGGAAGCGCTGCGTTTTTCACGCCTCAGTCAACAAATGCGAGATGGCTAGAGGAAGCTAAGCTTCTATTTGGCCAGGGTCACTTAGAGAGGGCGGCGGATCTTTCTAATGCTATTCAAGCCGTTCTAGTACCCCCCGCTATTGAAGCCGATAAGGTTATCAAGGCCGCAGAAGCAGAACGTCTCCGCAAATTAGAAGAGGCCAAGAACAAGGCAGAGGAGGAGCGCCGTGTCCAAGAAGCAAAGGAGGCAGAGGAAAAGGCAGCAAGGGAGAAGCAAGAAGCCGAAGAGCGAGAAGCTGCCGCGAGAGCTGAGGCAGAAGCCATTGCCGCTCAAGGGCCACCCCCTGGGGCGGCCGAAGCAGAAGCAATGGATGGTGTTGAAACCACAGAGGCACCAGATGCTGCTGAGGAGGAGCAGCCCGAAGCAGGCCCTGCTGAAGATCGTCCTAGAGTCACAACTATTATCCGGGGGAACCCATACGATATCACAGATCTAGGCATTGATGCCGACTTCCTCGCTGAGTTACCCGATGATATTAGAGAGGAGGTTATCATGTCAGCTGTGGCCGAGCGACGATCCCAAGCGGCAGCGACTGGGGCGCAACCTTCAGAGATCGATCAAGAATTCCTCGATGCTCTACCCGACGATATCAGAGATGAGATCATTCAACAGGAGTTGCAAGACCGGCGTCGACGTGAGCGAGACGAGCGGAATCGTCAAGCTGCGCCTGCCAGCGGAGGAGCATCGGCTGAGATGGATCCCGCTAGCATCCTCGCCACTCTACCAGCTGCATTACGACATCAGGTGCTTATGGAGCAAGATGAAGAGATGCTCGCATTGCTACCCCAAGACCTAGCGGAGCAAGCCCGTGCTGCTCAGAGAGATCACCCAGCCCATCAGGGCAGACCGCCCCCTAGTTTTGCTCGACGAAGTGGAGGCCCACCGGTTCCAGAGGTAGATGTACAACGACCAACACGACGAGCCACTGTCCAAATGCTTGATAAGGCTGGTGTCGCAACCCTCTTACGTCTAATGTTCATCCTTCAACAAGGCAGTCTCCGGAACACACTGAACTCTGTTCTACAGAATATTTGCCAGAATCGCCATAACCGGAGCGAGCTCCTCGGCTCGTTGCTTCATATTCTTCAAGACGGCAGCTTCGACATGACGGCTGTTGAGAGAAGTTTCGCCCACCTATCTCTGCGTGCAAAGCAACCCAACGACAAAGGCCCGAAGACTCCTCAGCCAATGAAGAGAGCTCTTACAGGAATTAGCACTAATTCAATTACTCCTGCAAACTTTGAAGCGTCACCTCTCATGGTCGTCCAGCAATGTTTGTCGTCATTGGTGTATCTCACCCAGGTCAATCCACATATTCCTGCGTTCTTCCTCACTGAGCACGAGCCCGCAGGTGGTCTAAAGCGCAGTCTCAGTCGCAAAGGCAAGGGCAAGGAGACCAAGGCTGCGAAGTATCCTCTCAACTCACTACTCAGTTTGCTAGACCGAGAACTTATCATGGAGAGCTCTTCTGTCATGGAATCGTTATCGACCTTACTCAACATGACTACGTCACCCCTTCAAGCTTTACAACGCAAGCAAAAGGAAGCTGCTGAGGAGCCTAAGAAGACTGAAGAATCTACTTCGGCTACAGGTGCCCCCGAAACCAACGAGTCTTCAGAAATCGTAGCTACGAATGAGCATGCTCCAGAGCAACAATCCCATACAGCTACGTCGCAGGAGCCCGAAGCAGCGACCACGACTACAACCCCAACCCAACCTTCTCCCGAAGCCGCTGAAAATGGAGAGCCGTCTGCTTCTACAGAAGCCCCAACTGCGCAGCCAGAGGCCAGCTCTAAAGAGCCCTCAAAGGCCCCGGAGAAGAAGCAGCGACCCATGGTGCCTCCTGTGATCCCAGACCACAACCTTAAATTAGTCATCAACATCTTCGTGGCGCGGGAATGCAGCTCGAAGACCTTCCGCGAGACTTTGTCGACTATCAAAAACTTCTCCGCCATTCCTGGTGCGAAGGCAGTCTTCGGGCGAGAACTGATCTCGAAGGCGCAGGCATTGGGAGAGATTATCTTAGTCGATCTTGAAGATCTGCTCCCACAGATTCAGAAAGCATCCAGTGGTACTGAGATTCAGGGCGTCGCATTGGCAAAGTTCTCTCCAGGAGGCTCAGATCAAAATAAGCTTTTGCGCGTCCTCACAGCTTTGGACCATCTCTTCGATCCGAAGCGCGATAGAAAGGAGAACGCAGATGCTGATGCGGAAGGAGAGTCGTCACAGTTAGTAGAGAAGCAGGATCTACTGTCGTCTCTCTACGAAAACTCTACCTTTGGCCCAATGTGGGAGAAGCTCAGCGAGTGTCTACGTGCGATCAGACAACGGGAGCACATGCTAAACGTCGCTACTATCCTTCTACCACTTATTGAAGCACTGATGGTTGTCTGCAAGAATACTACGCTCAAGGACACTCCGATTTCTCGTTCGATGACTGGCAAGGAGATGCTGTTAACAAGCCCGCCTCCAGAATCCCGTATGGAGAGCTTGTTCTTCACATTTACCGAGGAGCATCGCAAGATCCTAAATGACCTTGTTCGACACACCCCCAAGCTGATGTCTGGCACTTTCTCCCTTCTGGTCAAGAATCCCAAGGTCTTGGAGTTCGACAACAAGCGCAATTACTTTAACAGAAGTGTCCATGCCAAGGCTCCAAATGGCCGACAATCATTCCCTCCACTTCAACTCTCCGTTCGCCGAGATCAAGTCTTCCATGACTCGTTCAAGTCTCTTTACTTCCAGACTGGCGATCAGATGAAGTATGGAAAGCTTAGTATCCGATTCCACGGTGAAGAGGGTGTGGATGCTGGTGGTGTTACCCGCGAATGGTTCCAGGTCCTCTCTAGGCAAATGTTCGACCCTGGCTACGCACTTTTCATTCCCGTGTCCTCCGACCGTACCACTTTCCATCCAAATCAACTGAGTAGCATCAACGAAGAGCATCTCATGTTCTTCAAGTTCATCGGTCGGATCATCGGCAAAGCCCTTTACGAGGGTCGTGTCCTAGACTGCCATTTCAGTCGCGCCGTATACAAACGAATCCTGGGCAAGCCTGTCTCAGTCAAGGATATGGAGTCTCTTGATCCGGAATATTACAAGTCTTTAGTCTGGATGCTTGAGAACGACATCACCGACATCATCACTGAGACCTTCTCTGTCGACAATGACAAATTTGGTGTTGTTGAGACCATTGATTTTATTCCAAATGGTCGCAACATCCCCGTGACGGAGGACAATAAACACGAGTACATTCGTTTGATGGTAGAATGGAAGCTCACTGGTTCTGTCCAGGAGCAGCTGGATGACTTCTTGAAGGGTAAGTCAATCTCTTTAGCTATTATTACGTCCTTACTAATATACAATAGGTTTCCATGATATTATCCCCGCTGAACTGATTGCCATCTTCAATGAGCAAGAGTTGGAACTCCTCATTTCCGGTCTGCCCGAAATTGACGTTGATGACTGGAAGAGCAATACTGAGTATCATAATTATTCGGCATCCTCGCCCCAAATCCAATGGTTCTGGCGAGCCCTTCGCTCATTTGACAAGGAGGAGCGTGCCAAGCTGCTGCAGTTCGTCACAGGAACCAGTAAAGTGCCTCTCAATGGCTTCAAGGAGTTGGAGGGCATGAATGGGTTCAGTCGGTTCAACATTCACCGTGATTATGGCAACAAGGATAGGCTTCCAAGCTCTCACACTTGCTTTAACCGTAAGTCAACTATCTCAATCCTGATTTATTGCGATGCTAACCATTCTCAGAACTTGACCTTCCCGAGTACGAGAGCTATGAGGCACTTAGGCAACAAGTCCTCACAGCTATTACTGCAGGAAGCGAGTATTTCGGTTTCGCATAGGCAATGACTTTGTTTTCCCATTTAATGACATCATGGGTGGCGCGCCTTCATCAGCATTGGACGGCGTCTAGAAAGTTTCTTCTCTCTTTCCCGATATGTATTTGGCAATAAGGGGTGTTGGGTTCTCTCAACGGCCAGGTCAAGTGTGCATAGGAAGGACATTGCATGCGGGGTTTCTTTATGCCCTTTAGCTGTTGATTTAGTTAGCAGATGGAGTGCGTCTTCTTTAATTTTTAGCTCTGCTTGTGTTTTAGAGGAGTTCGACGACGAAGTGCAGGTCGTTCGTTGAATTTCCTCAAAAACACATTGCTAGCTAAAAGGGTAGATAGACACTTGTAACTCCTTATAGAAGATCCTGTATGTAGTATTAGATAGCTAGCAACACATCATAAATTGATGACTGCAACTTCTCAATGACAAACGGAGCTTTGCAAAATAACATCCTCGTGGTGTATGTTATAGCGCATTATTGGGCAAATTTGGTGTAAACCGGTTTTCGCCAGAAGTACCAGGGACATTACCTACTTATACAATCTAGATAGTCGGCGTATAGTACTATACTTCTATTATTCCAATATCTAGCCGGTCGCAAAGTAGAGCTATTCCTAGATCTCTACTCGTACTAAGCCTTTGGCCGCCCACCGGATCCTCTGTATCTAACCGAAATTGAGATATTCAAGTAGCGGAGACATCTCAATTTCGTGGGATATTCGCGCGATATCGGATTTATTTATATCTGGGTAATGGTCGTTGGGCCTTATAATACGCCCAAGAATGCGCCTTAGCATTTGCTTGTGCATCGGATTTATATTATTAGCCGGTGGATGTCGGCCGGAAACGGACTCGAATTGGCGTCAGCCGGCGTCGGACAAGCTTCAGAAAATTGCCCCGCTAAAACATTTTTCGAGAGAGTGACTCGAAACACAGCCAAGGGCAACAGCAACATAAACCTACTTCCCTCGACCAAAAGGCTTTGGCAACTAAAACATGGACATGGAAGCTCTGTAACCCGTTTATTCATTTCTTATCCCCCCGAATTACGATCCTTTGCCACTCGACTTCCAAACAAAGACGATCCCCGGCCGGGAAACGAAATTCACCCACGCGACCATAGCGGTGACAAGCAGAAAGACGACAATCACCGGCAATTAACACGATGGCGATGAATTCAATTAAGCTGCTTACGGGCAATAGCCATCCCCAGCTTGCGAAGCAGGTTGCCGATAGGTTTGTCGCCCCATTGTCGCTATTGCACTACGGTGGAATATGGAGAATACGGGCTGATACAGAAATCGACACAATAGGCTTGGTATCGAGCTTGCGAAGACAATGAGTCTGAATTATTCCAATCAAGAGACCAGTGTTACAGTTGGAGAAAGTGTGCGGGATGAAGATGGTATGCGCTCCTCCATTCCACTATTCCACTGGTAACATGGATGAATCAATGCTAATAAGATATGTCTTTGCTTAGTATTCATCCTGCAATCCACCGCTCCTGGCGACATTAACGACGGCCTAATGGAACTCCTTATCATGATCAACGCCTGCAAAACCGCATCAGCGCGCCGCATCACCGCTGTCATCCCCAACTTCCCCTACGCTCGACAAGACAAGAAGGACAAATCCCGCGCCCCTATTAGCGCGAAGCTCATTGCGAACATGCTGCAGACTGCAGGCTGTAACCACGTTATTACAATGGATTTGCATGCTAGTCAGATCCAAGGGTTCTTCAATGTGCCGGTCGATAATCTCTATGCCGAGCCGAGTACGCTGAGGTGGATTCGGGAGAACCTGAATGTGAGCGATTGTGTGGTTGTTAGTCCGGATGCGGGCGGTGCTAAGAGGTATGTTTCTTCTCTTCGTTTAAGGGTTTCATTCAATACCTACACTATTGTATTCCTGGTATAAATAATAAATGCGGAGTACTTGACTAACACAACCCCTACAGAGCAACATCCATCGCTGACCGTCTCGATCTTGGCTTTGCCCTTATTCACAAAGAACGCGCCCGCCCTAACGAAGTCTCCCGCATGGTACTAGTCGGTGACGTCGAGGGCAAGATCGCCATCCTAGTCGATGACATGGCTGATACCTGTGGTACGCTTGTCAAGGCCGCCGAGACCGTGATGGCTCATAAAGCGCGCGAGGTGGTCGCTATAGTCACACATGGCATCCTTAGCGGCAACGCGATTGACAACTTGAACCGGAGTTGCCTAAGCAAAGTCGTCGTGACTAATACAGTGCCTCTGGGGGATAAGATAGAGAGATGTCCGAGGTTGAGGGTCATGGATATCAGCCCGACACTTGCCGAGGCTATTCGCAGGACTCACAATGGCGAGAGTGTGAGCTTCCTGTTTACACACGCACCTACAGATTAGATTCTTTTCTTATAGCACATGCTGCAGGTGGTAAGAGAAGAAAATCGGTGTTTTGTTGTGGTGGGTGGGATGCGGTGGGATATATTTGGCGTCTGGTGTGTGATTTTATGGGACAGTTTAATACTTGCAGTGGATATTAAATGCGTATCCCCGAGTTAGACATGTGTAAAGTCGATAGAGTATATACGCAAAGTATTACATACTTGCTCAGTAATGGTTTAACGAAGGTATGGAGGGCTTCGGAGACCATGAATTATAGACTTCATAACACATTTGTACGGTATTCTTGTGTTGAGTTGGAAGGCCATGTAATAGGGAATCCGTACAAGTGCTGCTAAACGAATCGGCAAGGATGGAAATAGAACAATGGGGGGTGGGAAGCATCCCAGGAAGTGATCTTATTCGTATCTCAGGCCTCCTACCAGCATCAATCGGTACTTAATCGTACCGTATGGAGCACATTGGATTTATTTCAAGGCTTGTTCCACTCAAGTCAAAAATACGGACCACGCAGCGTTGGTGTTCATATGAGCATTTCATTTTGGTAACGCCTAGCTACAACGATGCCAGCCATGCACAAGCAGAATGCCCTTTCGACTCTCCTCAAGTCTTAAAGAGCCATCAGAAACTAGGGCTGTGAAACCTCTACCGAGGAATACCCCGAGGGGCATCCAGCAGTCAGGCCAGCAAAAGAATCGATCCACTCAAATTTCCCATTTCTGCTCCCATGAATAATATCGTATGCGTTCAACCCTTAAAAACAGACCCATGCTACACCAGAGAAATGCCAAGTATCAATTGGTTACAATCTACTTGCGCATGGAAGATGCACGACGCTTGCGAGCATCAAGCTTCTGGGCCTTGCTCTCGGAAACACGCTTGGCGAGGACAGCGGCGTACTCGTTCTGTAAGGAGTGAATTAGCATAATTACAAGTCGACAGGAGGGAATAAAACGTACAGCAGCATCCTTAGTCTTCTCGGAATTGCGGCGCTTGAGTGCGATGCGGTGACGCTTGTGCTGGAGGCGTTGGGGGGTGACCAAGCGCTGGATCTTGGGGGCCTTGGTGTATGGCTTCTTGTCGGCGTTCTTTGGCTGAACCTCACGACGGATAACAAACTTGCGGACCTAAATAGTAGAAAACTCCTAATCAGCCCTTCACATTCCATTGCTCACTCTCTGTACAATCTCCTTGTGAAGGAGAAGGACAGGCGATAAGGATATACGTGGTGATACGTACATCGTCATCCTTGGTGAGACCGAAGAACTTTCTGATCTTGGTAGCGCGCTTGGGACCGAGACGCTTGGGGTGGACGACATCGGTCAGGCCGGGGATGTCGTTGTCGCCTTGCTTGACAATGCTGAGGGCGAGGACGGAGATATCTGCGGCAACGATGCAGCCACGGACGGATTTACGCTTGCGCTCACCAGTGCGGCGGGGTCGGTAGCAGGAGTGGCCATCGGAGAGGAGGAGGCGGACACGAGTGGGATGCATGACACCCTGCTTCATTGGGAAACCTTGCTTGTCGTTGCCGCCGGTGATCCTGAAGATGTAGCCCTTGAATTCATCTCCAACGGAATCGCCTGCAACCTCTGCACCCATTCTATAATCACTCTATCAGATATTGATCGATGGAGGGGGATTCGAATTGGATTCGGCGTACCGCTTCTCCATGAAGACTCTCAACTTCCGGTCATCCTCGACCTCGATCAGCTTTTGGCTTCCATTCGCCGGCTGTGGTGGTATTGTTAGTCGCGATCTCCTAGGTTTTCGCGATGAGCACAGCCGGGGAACTTACGAAGGAAATGTTCTGTTGACACGGTATATATTAGCATCGCCTCCTCAATACAATCCGATTCGAGAGCGACTTGACTTACCAACTTCATGGTGGCGGTTGAATCCGAGTGGTTGGCGATGTCGAATTTACTCTGTTTCGAGATCGGTCAGCTTCGATATGAAAATATTGTGGTTGTCGGTGTTGTGGGTGCTTTTCACGCGCTAGTGGAAGCGAGAGTCGACAGAGCAGGGGTCTTGGCAGCCCTGAGATTGCCTGATCACGTGTACTCACCAAAGTTGAGGTTGACCAAGATGTCCCAGAGGATAGTGGCAACGACAACACAGTTGACGAGAGCCAGAACAACAACAGGCCAAACCAACAGAGCCATCTGAATAATGGTGACATCTCCGCCAATCTGCTCCATAAGCGTACCTTGGTAGTCTATTGCACCAGATAGAACTGTCAGTGTCACGTGATACGTCTACCAGACTATAAAGGGCCGGTCAAACATTGTTCCGCAAAGTGACCATATCGGCACCAAAGCCGAAGATACTCCGTGAAGCGAGGAGACTCACTACTTGGACTGACAACGACAGAAGCGAACTTGATTGTGAAAGGAACAGAGCTTGAGTTGGTGTTGGTGCTGTTTCAATTGAGAACTTGGGTGTAGGATTGAGTTGTGAGGAGGAAAGGAAGGAAGGAAAGGGTCTGTGGGAAAACCCAAAATATGTCGCTCACCCTGCACACAACCGCATCGCGGCCTGAAAACGTCGGCCAAAACCCCCTTCCTCAACTGCTCCAGGTCCCATCTGGACTGGCGCTTCTTGAACTCCAGGGGACTATCAACCTCCCAGACCATACGGATGATGACAGAGAGCCAGGTGAATCAACATTACAATCACAAGAAACCCCTATTGGGCGTCTAATTTTTCCTCTCTTCGACGCCGACGATCCTGGCAGCACGGCATGGATGACGCGTGTCCATCTGTATGTTGGCAAGCACCAAAGACTCACTGGTGAGGTCAAGAAGTTGCCCAAAGCAATTGCTATCATTAGGAAAAGAACTGGCCGCCCATCACCAGCAGAGGGAATGGACTCCGAGCAAAATGATGAGCTGGAGGTTGTGGAGATTGTTAAATACAAGATCATGTTCTCTTCACGACCAGAGCCAGTGGGTGCTGATCCAATTGATGACTGAGCGGAATGGCACCTTTGGATTCATCTGAAGGCCTATTATGTGGAGGCAGCTGCTCATCATACTTTACTGGGTCCAACACCAGGAAGGCCCTCAAGACACTCACCTCCCGAAGGCAACACCTTCTCTGCGGTGGACATATATCCTAGACATCTCTTTCTAAGAGTGTCAAGCATCTTATCCTTGTGGCCCTCCCTTCTCCTCCATCAGCTGATCGGTTGGGCGTCTCCATCCTACCACGTGTCCGGTCACATCGCCCTCAAAAACAACAACTTGTACAACATCAAAGTCTACCCAGGGCATATAATTCTTTTTCTCCCAACCAAACGCCCAGGTGCTATTGGAGCTCTCGGCAAACTGGTCGACTTTGGCCCAGGGGGAGGCATTAAGCAAAATAGGAAAATCCACTGTTTAACAGTTATTATGAGGTTGAGCGTTTGGTGCCATTCGTACAAGTTAAACATATGCAAAGTACAATCGTGGTCGAATACAAGAGATCATTAGCTGTACGAGTTTCTATCGAGCCCACGCTAGAGTAGATTAACGAGGGAAAGCGGCACTCGGATGCTTCCCATGCCAGATGCGCATTCCATATTATGGCATCTGCTTCAGATGCCAAAGGTGATGTTACTATAGAGAAACAAAGTTGTGCCATAGATATTACTGGATCCATCTTGTCAGTTAGCTAAGAAATAATTGAATTATTCCAAATCTCACAAGCGTAGTATTACTGTAATTTATTACTCACCTTTGTTTTATCCATATATGCCACCCAACTAACAGTAAGTTTTAAATATGCTACGCATTAAATTCAACATAAACTAAATCCGAGCTGAGTGGTTAATATTTTTAATAATTTCTGATTATTGGTAACATATTCCATTTTTAGGACTTTTAATAAATATAATTTAAAAAATGATTATTGTATAGAAGTAATATCAGAAGCCGCAATTATTTATCTCCCTACAAGCACTGAGATGAATAGAGATAGGTTGAGTTGATGCAAGTGTCGCAATGTCTTCCTATTGTACTCTACAGCCTAAAAGAAACGCAGGCTTACCTAGGTAGGCTAAAAAGGTTTTACCATAGAACGTCCTCCAGATTCCAAGTTATCCTTGGAGTTGGCTTTCTTAAATTCACTAACAGCTCGATATAGATATGCATAATGTATTATAGTCTACAGTTTAAAAACCCCCCATAGCTATTCCTAGGTATCATCACGCATATGAAGAGATGTAACCAGAGCTAAGAATGCTAACTTAGATACCACGAGCCTAATCTCCGGTTCTTTGAACCGGAAGACGGGCTTGGTGACCGTGTCATAAATCGTTCTTCGGAACCCTGTGCGCCTGACTACTTTGAACGAGGTGATGTACGCTCCTGGACCGAGAGGACTCGAACTGGGCGGGACCCGAGACTGCTGGCAGTTGGCGAGTCGAATATCTGTATCTTGGCTAAAGTGCTGGTCAACGATCTAAAGGTAGCTTGACAAATACAGCAATGATTGACAGGGTATAAATACTTGACAACACTGTTTAACTTCAAGGTCATGACTCAGCACTTGACTAGGGGTTCCCAGAAGGAAGGTAACTTAGAGGCATCATTACCCTTGAGGCTGGTCTGAAACGGCTGGCTAAAAGCTGCACCGTTAATCAGGACGCCAGGAGGTCGGGGCATGGAGAGATGGCGATAATAGCACGCTGGCATGCTGTAATTGTACTGGGCGGGAGATCTGACGCCTCAATACTTGATATTCAGGTGTTGAATACTCCCAATTATTTTATGAGGGCCTTTGAAAGCGGGGTATTGCCAGATGCAGCACGCCGCTGTCAGGTTTCTTGGCGTGCCGATTGCATTGCTTACAACGAGTCCGGCTTTGTTGTAGAAATAATCGATTATGATGCCAGATGGAACTGTCTCGCTCTCTTCCGGGGCTGGATGTGTGGATCGAAGGTGGAAAATTCGGACCAGACTTTGGCAGGAGGGAAAGAGACAGAGTACAAGGCACTAGCAGACTATGCTGCCTCTATCAGCTTATCGCAAGGAGTTATAACAGCAAAACCAAAAGGTATTTAATTGCAATATGTCAATGGTATCATAATCCTCCATCACAGGATAAACGCCGCAATTGCAAAAACGCCAAAACCAATACCTGCCCAATTGACATCCAACGCCATCATTCTACTCGTTCCCGAGGTTATGGTAGGGCTGTGCGTAGGAGGGGCTGTGCTTGGAAGGGTATTGGTGGTTGCAGGACTAGTCACACGTGGTGCAGGGGCCTGCGCCTTGTAAACTGGTGCGTTGGGATTTGATTTCCCATCCCCTCCGTCATATACGATCCCGCTCCCATCATAAGGCGTCTTTTCGCCCTTCGCCGAGCCCCAAGCTTCCATTACGCTAGGACCAACACCTTTACCCCCAGCACCAATCAATTGTAGATTTGGTGGAGGGATGGGTTTGTATGCTTTTTCGTCCGAATGTAGGAAGCCACCATAGGAGAGGGAGTTATTGACCGAGGCCATGTTCGATGGTGGATGGTTGTTGTAGCCTGTTTTCCTTGCCACAAAGTCAAAGACGTTGGCGCCTACGTCGTAGCGGCCTAGATTAGGGAGACCCCAATTGTTCTCCAAAGTCGAGAGTATGGAGTAATGAGTATAGAATGTGTCGTCGGTTGTTCCTTTCAGGTCTGCTGGGACTGCGCCACCTAAGAGAATTGACACGATTCGATTGGGGACAGAATACGTCTCGCTCTCATCATAGGTGAGGAGGATAAGAGTATTGTTCATGAATTCCTTGTTTTTAAGAAGAGGCGTGAGAAATGCTTGCGACCAATTTGCTGCGAACTCGAGAGTCGTATCGTGGCCATCGTTGTCCATATTCGGTGACATGTGTGCATATTGCGGGAGCTTATTTGTTTTGACATCGGTGTCGAAATCGGCAAAGCTTTGAATATTTGCAAGGCGTGTGCCATTGCGGCTAATGCTCTCGTAAGATATGAAAGGACTGAAGCTGTTAGTAACCACTTTGGGCATTTTCATTTCCCTTCACTATTCCTTCCGAGATTTCCAGACTGCCCAACTGGACACATAGGACAGGTAACTTACTTATGTTTACTGACATAAGTCCACTCACTGCCACCAGGAGCCGTACTTCCCTCACCCATATATCCCGGTCCCGGTATCCCCTCGAAATATCCTTTCCACGAGATACCCTTCGTGTCGAACAAATCCACCACCGTCGAGACATTTCCAGGTATCTTCGCAATTTCGTCATGGTCCATTCCAAAGTAATCACCACCCACAGATGCAATATAATTGGGTTGCGAGGGATGCGTAAGCCCATAGTATTGGGTGAGGAGGATGCCATCTTTCGCGAGAGCCTTTGTATGGGCATTCTTTTCGACTTCCACAAAGTCCTATAGGCAGGATGGTTAGTCGTTAGGTGCTTTGCACAATCTGTAAGATGGATATTCTGAAGGCTCGTACCCGGTTCTCGAGCCATATCGTTATAAATCGATCGAATGCCTTTCCCGGCGCATAAGCAGCAGACGCCGTCGCAACTCCGGCGCCAACCACCAGTAATGAAGACAACCACATGATGACCAGGTAATACAATTAATTAGAAGAGAAAAGCGAACGAAAGGACAAATATATCATCAAATTTGGGGCATCGCGACAAAGTCCATCGCCGCGATGTTGGTCCAGGTGTTCTTCTTTGGTCTCTGCTGAAGTGTAATTAGAATCCCTGTGGTCTCGACCTTCGGCATGTTGGCCCCTGCCCAGGCTAAGTCACGTTATCATCCCCCCTTTTTAACAAACGACTCCTAAAAATAGATAGCAGCAGGGGATATAAAAAGTCGGGATTTAGAAGACCTTGGGGATTTTATGATATTACCAAGCTGGAAGAGCAACTTCCCGTGAGCTTTTAAGTTCTGCGCATCTTGAAATCTCTCGTACTAATATTTTCACCTTTTAATAAGGGAGTTAATCTTCGGGAATAAAAGTTGATGTTATCATGAGCCTGGATACTGGTGGCCAGTCTTTTGCTTTTGGGTGGCAGCCAGTTTCATTGTTCATATTAATAGTGAGGTGCGCGGTAAAGACACCGCTCCTAGGTCCCGAAACGAAAACAGAGAAGTCCTTGAATCCCGTATTTTCTACCAAGTCCGATCCCTTCGCACCATATCAAGCGTCATTCGTATCCATAGCTGAGACGGGGACGGGGACGATCGGCGAATCATTAGCCATATCCTCGTCGCCCCCATTGGCTTCCTTCTTCCTGTTCGAAGCCTCTTGAGTCAACCGCATGCGGTCACGCTTTGTGATTCGGCATCGGTTTTTCTTGATACCAGCATTGCTCCTGTCATTCTTGCTGTCCGTAATCAAGGATGTCGGTAGAAATCTCTCCCTCTCTCTTCTCCTGATTGAACTCAATTCTAATAATTTGTGGTGCTCCATCCATCTTCGCTGGGTTCCAGTCTGGGAAAACTGTTAGCTGGTTCCACATACAAGAAAATGCAAAAGTGACATAAAAGCACGAGTAAAGTAAAAATCATACTAATGACATAGGATCCTTCTCCAATGCAACCAGATGATCCTCAAACTTCTGTCGCTGAATTGGTTTCATGTGCAGATACCGTCCATCACGATGTGCCCAACGATTATAGGCGGCAAGCTCCAAGGCTTGTTTCTCCTTCTTCTCATCAACCTCCATGTCAATTCTAACTCCTCCCAGTCCCTCAACCAAACCATCTTCGTGTGACTTTGGCTTCCGTTTTCCCTCTACAATATTGGCTCGGTCAATTTTGCCCATGTCATTGAAGATGGTAGAAGGCTCCGAGCTGTCGACTCTGAACTCCTCTGATAGGTCTGGGGATGGTTCCCTGCTGCTGCTTTCGCGAGGAGGGATGTAGGCGCCATCTTCATCGTCGCTCGTGACATACTCCATGTTCTGGTCTGGTGAGGTGGTCGGAGGGTCCAGCGACATGGAGGTCAGGGACGTCGACATTTGGTCAAGTTGATCGCTTTTGTTACCGCCCTCTTGCATAATGGCTTGGAGGAGAAAGGGCGCCATACTTCTTCGCACTTTGAAGGATGGGTTAGAATAATGATCAAGTTGGAAGACCTGGCGAGGAGAAATGTGGATTTGGGGCGGAAAAGGGGGGCGGTGGGGGTGGTCACAAATCCTACTATGATGGGTGTACTTATTGACGCTAGTTGTGTGATTTAAAGGCGAATACCGCAAATGGACAACAAGCCATGCTGGGGCTAGAATAGTCAAGTGGCGGTAAAGACTTTGAATGATCCAAATTGAGAGTTACTCAGTTTCGAAAATTGCCTACGTAGATATTTGGGAGAATAATTTTGATTGGCCAAGTGTAGCCAGAGACTCCAATTGACTGTACACTTAATATTGATATCAGTTACTAACAGATGTATGAGGACTTAACCACTACAGAATTACAGAAATTCGAGCCTATACTTAGGCCTAAGCAGCTCTCCTGGGTATAACAATGCAAATATCGCTCGTCAATATGCAACAATTATACAAATCCTAACCTTCCCCTGAAGTCCTCGAAGTCATCTGGATTTACAATCTCAACTTCCTTGCCCCTCCCTGCTCCCTTGATCTCCAAAGCAGGCAGCCTAAGCGTAACCTTCGCAGCGATATTACCTCCACGCTTCCTCTTCTCTATCCCGCGATTGGCATCTCGTTCAGTGAGAACATGTGCCTTCTTCACCACCGCTTCCTTCCAGCTGCTCCAAGCTTCATAATCTTCCCTCTGCTTTGCCGCGTGGTATTGTGGCGTAGACTTGACCGGTCGCCATGCCAGCCTGTTGCTGGGCATGGTGCTAAGGTCATATACTTTAGCCTTGGTAGTGAGATTAAGAAGTTCATTGAGGACCTCCTGTCCTTCGGCAACGACTAGGGCCTTGCGTTGATCTTCCTTAGAGATTGGCTTCGTCAACGGCTCCTCAAGCCAGTCGAGTCCTTGGGGATCGCTGAGGCGTGCACGTCTATTGTCCTCACGCAAATAGCGGACAGCAGCTTGCAGACTTGCGATCTCGGTTTTCAGAGCTTCCATTTCCCGGGCAGTAGCGACGGCTCGCTCTTGACCATCCTTTGAACCTGGTGCTGCAATTCCTAGCGCTTTTGTATCTTCCGCGACCTTTTTCCACTGCTCTCGGTCGGCATCAAGAGATGTCAACTCTTTGTTCTGAGTCTCGATTGATTCCGTTAACTCAGACTCTCGCTTCTTGGCATCTTCGATCCTCTTCTCAAGTTCGGTGATCCGCTCATTCTTCTTGGCGGCATCCCGCATGCGGCTCTCGAGTAGCTCAATCTTCACTGATGCCTCCTCTAGAGTTTGGTCCCGCATGGCGATTAATCGTGCCCGCTCATGGTTGTCGTCCTTCAAGCGGCGCATTTCTTCTTCAACGTCGACGGTTACCCTCTTGGAGGATCTTAATTCCTGAGAACGGAGAACCCATGGGGCTGGGGCCCGCTCGAACTCTTGAGTCATTTCTAGATCAGATGCCAAAGCGGCAAGATCCATCAGAGAACCGGTCAATGTTCTTAGCTTATTGGAGTAGGTGGAAAATAGGTCAGACTCGACAGAGGCAAAAACCGAACTCGTGGTCCCGTGGACAGAGGTTTGAACTTCTAGGTAAGTAAAAGGTTCGGTTCGTCCTTCCTCATGTAGCACAGTACACAGATCGGAGCCCACTTGGCGCGAAAATCTAGCCAATTCTTCGGTGGCCAGTTCGCATTGTTCAAAGGTCTGGATAGTGTCTGGGGTTAAGGATAGCGAGCGGCTTTTGAGATCTTCTAAAGCCCTCACAGCTTTCCCGATAACTACTTTGGCGCTACGAGTAGATGCGATGACAGATTCGGTCTTCCTAGAAAAGTGCCCAGAATGTTCATCGTCATCGCCTTGACTTGGCACAACAGTTTGAACCATAACTCGTACTGCCGACATTGCCGCGGCAGCATTCTCTAGATGGCTTTGCATGATTAGGGTGCGCATGTGAATTTCGTCGGCATAACTGGCCAGGCCAACCGAAATGTGTACTTCGGCGAGATGCGACATCAACGCGATGGTACGCTGAAGCTCACTGGCACATTGCCCCTCCTTGAGCTCGTCACGCCGTAGACCGTCGATCCAGCCATTGAGGGCCCTCTCAACAGGTTCAAGCTCATATAAGGCACCCTCGAATTTGACAAACTCCTCAGTCGAGCAGTGACTTATGGCATAGACAAAACGATCGCACATGGCTGTGACCCAAGAAAGCTTATCCAGAACGTCGCATGCCGAAAATATGCTTTCTTCATGTCCAATAGGTAACTGCCCAGTGACCCTTTCCTTGACAAAGCCATGCAGGAGATTTGCCTTGAAGCCCACTCGCTTGAATCTCAACAATGCCAAAACTGAGTCCCTGTCAGAGTGGAACGCGTCTGGTAAGAACAGTTGCACAATAGCCAAGTGCTCTGAAGCCTCCTGAGCATCTAATCGTCGAAGTTCTAGGTCGATCGTCTTGACTTGAGTCTTTGCAGCAGATACTTGAAGCTTCATGTTCAAGTCCATCATTGCACGCGAGCGGTTGTTGAGTTGTTCGGATTCCGTCTCGGTCACTTCGTGTGATGCCTTCATATCCTCCAAATCGCTTTGCAGGCCTTTCACGAGTTCCCGGAAACGTGATAATGTGTACTCCATATCTTCCAGTGCCTCTTCCCGCTCAGCTGCACGACGATTTTGCTCACTTATGACGCTATCCCTAAGTTCAAGCTCTGCTAGCAGCTCTTTCTGATCCTCGACAAAGTTAATTTCAAGTTCATCGCTGACTTCTTTGAGCATTTCAAGCTCCTCAAGCTTGGCCTCAAATTCCTTCTTCTCTTCTTCTAGGGTCATCTTGGAATCGGCCAATTCCCCGATCATGTCTTCAGCTCCTAGAGCGGCATCAAGCTGCTGCCGTAAGTCTTCAACTATAGCTTCGGTATGTGCGACCTTCTCCTTCACGAGTTCATAATTTTCCTTGATCGAGTCGAATTCTTCCAGGTCTTTCCGCAGACTTTCAACGTCAGCATTGAGCTCCAGCTCCTTCTGGCGCGTCAAGTCACGGAGCATCACGACAGCGTCTCTCAATCTAGCATTTTCCCGCTCCATCTGGAGCCATCCTTGGCTGGCCTTCTCTTCCGGGCTCATCTCTCCCTCAAGCTCAGCGTTTTCCTCTCTCAGCACCTCCACTTCCAATTCAAGTTCCTGCGTCTTTTCCTTCAAAGCCTCATTCTCTACCTTGTAGAATTCTGCATGCTCCTCTGCCATCTCCCTATCAAGAGTAGCCATCTCAAGCACAATATCGTGCTCTGCTTGTATGTTCTCAATCTGTTCAAATCTTGCTGCAGACTCCTCGAGTTGCCTTCGGAGGTCCGAAATCTCCTCGTGTTGTTTTTGGGCCTTGCTCTGAAGCATTTTTACTATAGCCTCATATCTTTCTTTATCGGCATGGACTTTCTCCAGATTGTTCAGCTTTTCTCTGTCCTCCAGGCGTTTGTTTTCGATGACACGAAGTTTCGCCTTCAGGGATTCGATCTCGCGGCTGGCTGCTGTACTTGCCGCTGATCCTCTCTGAGTTACTGGTGATGCTGTGCTGCGCGATGAAGCAGGTGATCCTTGCTGGCGTTCCAAAGCAGAAGCTCGTGTCAACAACGGGCTGGTTGGCTTCGTTGGCAAGCCATCCGCCCTACCGCCCTTGAGCGGCGAACCAACTCGGTCTTCATCACCGGTGTCTTGTCCGCTACCTTCACTGGTCTGACCACCACTTAGCTGACTTCCTATAGAGCTCACACGGTCAGCTCCAGGGCGAAGCCTTGGTTTTGGCGCCAAAGATGTTCGGTTGCTCGTAGTTCTACCAGCAGGTACAGATGTTCTACTTCCTGCCCCCAGACCTGCCCCGACAGGTGGTCTTGTGCGTGATGCTGGTAAGGACGGCGGCCCCATAGAAGTGCGGTTGGGACGGACAGCAGGTTGTGGCTTGGCTGACGAGGTAGACGATATTCGAGCATTGGAAGGGGTGCCAGTTCTCGGGGTCGGCACTGCCGATGAGGCTGCAGACAGCTGTTTCGTAGGAGATTTTGTGGGCGACTGTAGTGAAATCAGTATGGGACAGATGCTCAAGCCTCGGGAGACCTACTCGTATCAAACTTGAAGGGCGAGAGCCCCGGGTGGCAGGACTTGGACTCGCTGCATTCATGCTCATACGTTTCGCCGTCGCTGTATCTGGCACAGAGCTCATCCGCCTCCCCCCAGCTGGGGCTATGACACTACTTGGCCTGGAAACCCTCTTTATCGCTGCCGGCTTCGTCGTAGCTGCTGGCTGTGCGATGACCTTGACAGCCGACGGCCGAAGAAACATCCCCCGTCCCATTTCGCACTCGAAATATCTCTCCCCTTGCACGCTTCCATCGTTCTTGCCACTATCATCTTCGAGTTCAACCCCGACCCATTCTCCTGTTGCGAAGTGAGGTTGCCCTACAAAGCGGACCGTAGCAAGCCGGCCATCGGAGAGCTGGATCGTCTGGCCGATAACGAGTTCAGACATTGTACAAAACACATCGGACTGTGTTCCCACAGGATTCAGCCAATGCGAAATGTAATCTGGTGGCGGGAGGATTCGTGTATTAGTTGCTAGTTTTCCAGCTCAATGTTGACGTTGCCTTCGCGTTTGTCGAAAAGGAGACGCGACGCCAAGCCACCAAAATTAAGCTTAATTCCAAACGGGTCTCACTCAGGCACTTCCTTAGATGCAGTAGGTCACTAAAATTATATTCTTTGAAGAAACATGTATAAAGGTCCAAGTGAAGTAGTCTAGCACATTTCAATATTGTATCGTTTAAGATTTGCTTTTAAAAAGGCTCTTGTTCGTAGTTGAAATGAGAGATGCCTATTACGAGTACGAGTACGAGCAATATATTGAAGTGATTCTGCCATTGCTCACCGCACAGTAATCGCCAAGAAGAGCGAAAGCATAACATGTCCAAATCCATCGTTTCCATCATCTCGAATACACCCATTAACACCGATGGATTCTATATCCCCCCTCATCACGGTCCGTGGCTATTGCGACAGCCATGACGTTCAGAACTCTAATACCGACGTAAATCTAGTCATCGACCGCGTCCTCGAAAGCAATGGAGTCGATAAATCATCGATCGGGGTTGGGGGGACATTGACAGAGGTACTGGTCAGAGAGGCCGTAATATTCAGACTCCCCCAGGAACTCCTGGATACAATATGCGGCTTTGCAACTTATCGAAATAATGTCTGGGAGGGCCGGGGGGAATGGGACTACCGCGCTCGGCAGTACACTGCATATGCCCTCTGTGTCGTATGTAAGCGGCTGAAGAAGAGTGCATTCCAATTGCTCTATCAATCTTTCAAGCTCGAAAATTTCCACACAATGTTCGACTTACCGGCGACCCCCATGGGCACGGACCGTGATCCGTTAATGTTTCATTCAAGCCTGCGAGCCAACCCATCTCTCCGGCAACTTTGCACCGATCTATACATTGTTTTCCGCACCAAATCCTTGGAAATGGACGAACCAGACCGCTTCGAGCCGATGAATGACCTTGCTCAATGGCTTACCAACATTACACGTCTCAAAGTGGATTTCTGTACTCCTCTTGAAAGCGCGGAGACAAATCTAACTCGAACTGCTTTGAAATGCATGAGAAATCTTGAGGAACTTACGCTCGGCGGTCCTTTATCGACCAATGTCTTCGTCGATATACCCAATCTGGCACGTCTTAAAACATTGGCCCTGCGCAACATCGGCCATCTTCTAAATGTATGGTCACATTTCTACTGCAATGGGCCTCTATATTTTAGTCTCCCCTGCTTCGTCTACTTAGCAAGTGTGAACTTTAAATCGCTAACTGCCCTAATAGTGGGAGGACAGTAGCATGAAAAACCTCAAAACTCTCCATCTTAGCGACATTTCAAGCACGGAGGACGCCCTAACCAGCCTTATCAGGTGTCCGAAGAGGCTTGAGCATTTTACACTTTCCCATGACTACGTAGTCCCACGCCCCCACTACAGGATGCCTACAATACAATCAGCTCTTAGTTTACACCGAGATTCATTAAGGACGATAAGCCTCCCGATGATAGCTCAAATCGGTCTTGAGGATATGGACTTGTCTCAATTCTCGAAGTTAGAGTCGATACACATCTCCGCAAGTGCTTTTGGGCACTGCACCCAGAAGGTTGCACATTCTCTATTCTTCGGGGCTCAACAAACACGCACGTTTATTTTAGAGTTGTGGTGTAGAGGCCCCTGCTCCTTTCATCACTTGTGGCCAGCACCAGATGTAGACAAGATAGATTGGCTAGGAGAATTCGCTGATATCGCAACACCTCAGAATAAGCATCGGGAGATCATAATAACCTTCAAGCTAGATACTGCTTTTCGGCGTACGGACGCAGTCCAAATAAGCCAACTCGGTTATCTATGGGAGCGCCTGGGAGAGATACGACAGAAGCTAGCACTCAAGGGAATTGGGCTGTCATATACTCCACCCCCGATGACCAAAGCAGGGTTCGAAACAATTATGTCGGGCCATACTAGAAATGAACGGTTCTAGATATGGCGCATTATAGGAACAAAGCGGTTTTTTTTCGGGAATAACGCCCTATGAAGGCCATACTTCCCGGGGAGTGTCAAAATTCGTGGAACATTCGAATATTCAGCCGTCGCAAAGTGAGGTTATTTGGAGATCCGTAGTAGTCCTCGCCCTCTGCTACTGTATTTTGCATAGGAATTGCTTCCCGCCGGCCCCATCCTCCACATTTGACTGAAATACCGCCCGTACAACGTAAATTCTCTTCCCCTAATAGGCTTCTCCTGTTTAGACTTAATATATACTATTATATACTTGATCCTATAGAGAAGTAAGGCGTAGCAGGCTAAGGGCCGGAGTGTATATGGCCAAACTCACCAAATCACCAAATTATTCTCAACACATCTAACATCAATTACAACGCCAACGGTACTCCAAACACACTCCAGCACCAACAATTTTCCACCGCAGCAAGACCTCCGAAATCGAAATGGCTGACCCGTTGTTATGAGGCCATTGGGAATCGCACATCGTCCTAGCGTGTATAACCTGCGAAAAAGTCATTCTGCTCTCAAGGACCGACGAAGATCAAAAGACGGCTCGAACAACTTTACAGAACGTTATCGATCTTCTACTACTCGAAAATATCGAGTACGACTATTGGAAAAATCGCGACATGATGAACAGTCTGTTTTTGCCTACAGTCTATTCTTCGTGCAGCAAGTCGTCATCGTGGAAGACTATATCGATAAAAAGGACATATATCGAAACATGGCAGCCTTACCTAGCTATGTGCGCATATCTAGAAGGGGATCTATCACTGCTAGGGTCGTCGATAAGTATGGTGCATTACGAAGACATTAGAGATGTTATAGGCGCCGTCTGTGTGGTTCGGAGCGTCGAAGTGAATCCTACGCCAGAAGCTGCAGCACAGGTCAAGCCCTACCTCCAAAGTGGATTTCTATAGAATCATGAGCTTCGCCGGAGGATGGATATGTAGTCAGCCAAACAGAGAGAGGCAGCCATGAGTGAGGCTGTCGGGTAGGGACAGGACATTGGAGATGTGGAGTGAGGTTGGAGACGACATCGTGTTGAGGCTGGCGGACTCAGCTAAGCGGCAGCCTCGCGGAACCACCAACGGGGATTTGCATGCTTATAAGGATGCAGCCTGCCGCTCAAGCGCCTGCTCGAATCCAACGACGATGAGTCCGCCTTTCCATCGCCAAAGAAATGATTTCGATGATTGTATTAAGGGATGGCTCGAGAATCAACCGGAACAAGGGCAGTTTGAACTCGAGAGCGTTCCGCCAAGCTTCATACAGCATGTCACGAGCGATACTCCTGCCGAACCGTGGGCAGCGGGACCCCACGATAACGAACTTCAGAAACAAAAATTTGGGTTCGTCGTGGGGGTGCTAGGACTTCGGCCGGGTTGGCACAGTTGGTCTTGCACACATTACTGACAAAATACTATTATATGAAAACTTCAGACTCAGAAAGCACAGATTTCCGGACCTCTTTCTCTGGATCTTCGAACAAGGCCACCCCGGCTTGAAGGATCCCTTCGGGTAGGGTTGACTGCTTATCTAAGGCCCGCAGTGTCAGGGACTCGGTGACTACCGTACGACTATGAGCTGCGCTGGCGTAGCCTGGGCGCCAAGACGCTGTGCACTGGGGGGAGCGGAGCGCCCGATGTCTGCTGACTGATGAATGGATGATATCAAGAATGTCGATTTCCTTACCAGAAACAGGCGAATTGTTACTTTTCCTGTATCATCATCCAGATATCACTACAGTATCTGTAAGTGCCAATAATAGGTTTTATGGCCTCAACCCTAAGAACGCCATTAGGGCTAGGGCTAACATGCACACAATACTACGGGCTCTTTCCCAAGCCACATTCATGTTATTGTTGACTACGAGATACAGCAATCAATTCAGACAATAACCACCAATTTACAGTGGTTATGGAGGTCGGTGAAGCTTGCCCCCCCTCAGGCAGCCGTGCACGGCCTCTTGGCGCGCAAGTTACACCCGTAGTTGTCGCTGATGCAGTCAGTGACAGTGTTATTCGAAGTTTTCAGCTTTAAGCTTGCCTGCGGTATCGGCTTATTGCGGCTACAATTAAATCACATTGGGCCGGCTAAGCGGTGCATATGTACCTACCTATGTACTTTCGATCACCACGTCGCCGATGCAGTCAGCAATTGTGTTTTTTTGAATTTTCAGCTTCAAACTTCCCTACCGTATCGCTTATCGCAGCTACAAAGTGGCTGGCTAGACAATGCATATGGACGTTGGAACAACAATATGTCTTCAGTCTTGAAGGCAATGTTACATCGCCAAGAGTGCAAAGCCTGATTAAAATCGTATCATTACAGTGCTTCTGACATGTCTGACTACCTGACCCAAGATATAAGGGTGATGCAATAGCCAGGAGAAACTACCTTTGTCAACACCATATTGGATCAGCTTCACTCAACAACCGTATCAACTATTCTCCCTTTGATTCCATCATTCTCACTGCACAAAACAACGAAACCCTACCCATCATCCAACATGCTCAAATCAACAATTCTCTCTATCCTTGCATTGACTGTGCCTATGGCATCCGCAGTGGAGGCACTGGAGAAGCCTATGACACCCGCGATGGAGAAGGCGTTTAAATTCGGGATCACAAGCGACAATATTAAATGCCATACAATCGAAATTGACACTTGGATACCAGATGGGAAATGCCTTGGTTTACCCGGTAAACTTCTAAATCCTGGCAAGATTACATCTACATGTCGAGGTATGTAATGAAATAAGTCTTGACCTTAGTATATAAATCTGACACCGAGCAGTTTTTGCGTATATGGGTCGGGATTGCACTGGAAATGAGATACAGATCGTTACAAACGTCAACGGCTGGTGTTATAAAATTGACAATTACTACTCTATCAAAGCTTTTTGTGGTTAGTCCTTGTTGTGTCAAGAGCCAAGGGTAAAGGTAGTTCGGGGGATGCTTGGAGAAGGCTCGGGCTCAATTGGTTTCCAACTGTAGTAGGGCTGACCTTCGTGGAAACCTTTGCCACCTGATTGGATACTATCCCCTGGCCGGCCATCGGTTGCCTCAGCGCTAGCAAGGGGGTTCTAGCCACTAGAAATACTAGAATTTGAGCTTACATAACACGGGAGTGTACATACCAGCTAGCTAGAGGCACACTATTTAAGTATAGGATAATTTTCAAAAGTCTATAATACAACAACGAAATGCTCTAAAACTCTCGAAAAAGTTCGATATAATAATTAACTTATAAGTAATAATAGAAGAATTGCATATAACTATTTACTTTGCGTTACTGCCTTGATACGATCTATCAAAATACGTCAGCGACTTAATATTGATTAATTCGGTTTAGCGCTGAGGCAACCGATGGCCGGCCAGGGGATAGGAGCTCTAGATTTCTACTTAAGGAGGCTTTTCACACGGAATACTAGCGAACACAAACATTTGACGAAGATCCATCCAATACATCTTCTTCTCCGCCCCTTTTCTGAAAATTCGTACCCGTCGGATATGTGATATTCTTTGATTTGATCGAATGTCCTTGATCTATGCCAGGGACCCGGTGACTACTTCCAGCCGTGGCTGAAAATAAAACCGGCTGGCAAGCAAGCCAGGCTAGCGAGCTGAACACTGCCTTTCGCCTCGACAATTGTTGCGGCGAAAGCGAAAAATGCTTGGGAACATCTCCAGCGTAACATAAAGTAACAACGGTGCCATTTGTGATTAATTACAATGAGCAGAATCAACATTGCCTACGGAACGCGAATAGGAGGTGGGCCACAATTGAATGAGGCGACTCCTTTTGTATATTTCTCTCTATATAGAAAGAGTCTTACTTTGACTGACTAAGATAGCTGAGGTCCCCGACATTCTCTTTGACCAATGTCTCGATATATTCAAGAAAGACATCACCTGGTCATCCAACCCAAACATACTCAAAATCGACCCCAGAGGGGCAGCAGCTTGCAGGATCTGCGTCTTATTATCCTCAAAATTCTGCAGCTCGGAGACATCACAGCCCTTGGATATCGAGTACTTTCTGGTGGATCGCTATGGGTATTTTATTCGTGTTCACGATATCATGTTTCGACCCGCAGGATCAAAAGCCTTTATGGGCGACACCGTAAGGCTTGCGCTGCAGAAGATGAACCCAACAGGTAGGATGCAGATAATATAAACCCGTATTCTAGGCTCACTATTTCTGGCAGATGACGATGGAGATTTACCTCACATGATTCATTTTAAATCAAACATCTCCTCATTTACCAACTCGAGCCTGAGTATGTTACAAGCAGACAATTAGTTTAAAGAATGCCGTGAAAAACATCTGCGTCCAGAGCCCCAAGCCCTACCAAGAGCGTCAGAAGTCGACGGGTTCAGTTGGACTACACCAAGCCTGCGATGTTCTTCGGCCCACTGGGGCAATCTTACGGTTCGGAGGAGGAGATGTCAGATAATGGCGACTCGGAGTCACGAAGTGCTGAACAAACAGCGCCCACGATACATCAGCAAGTGAGGAAATTGTCGCTGGAACATGCCGACGTCACCTCCAGCGCTGTCATCCACGCCAGAATACCTCCCACGGTCTCCTCCTCAATCAGGCGGTTGTTAGGAGAAGCTGCAGATCCAGTTCTGCCTCGCGACATTATCTCACGAATCAGCTTTGCCTCGCCGACGGAATACTTCCGTGAGTCCAAAGCGCTCGAGATTCCTCATCCGAAAATAACGCGGCAATTCTTTAGGTATGTCTCGAAACTGTTCAATATAGCACGGGAATTATACGCTGGATCTTATGACGAAGCTGCTTGGCACCCATTGATTCGCATGATTCCTCCCCTCAACAGAACGACAAGCTAATCCCCACGGTCAAGGTTGACTATCTGCTCCAATTCAATCCCGGGCACCGACTAATCAACCCACTGTACAAGCCTGTCTTCCAATCACAGCCGCCCTCCTTTCGTTGTCCGCATCTAGCGATCCGGTCGCCGCGAAGACGTTTACCTGTCCGATTATTGAAGTAAAAGCACCCGGAGGCAATTTCCAAGAAACCAGCTACCAAGTTGCTATTGCCTCAGCTGCAATGTTGCAAAGACTTAGGCTACTGGATAAGGATGCTGATGACGGTGGTGACTATATGCCGGTCGTTAGATGGGTAGTTCATGGCCACTTTTGGACACTGCACGTCTCTTATCGGGAGATTGATAGGTCTATTGTATATTCCCTATCCGCTCAGTCATTCAACCACTCGCTGACAATTTTTTTGATAGAGAGTCTTAGGCCCTTGCCCCTCTGGGAACACGGCGACATACCTTGGCTTGGACCGCCTCCTGCGAATAGTTGAGGAAGTCAAACTTTGGGGAAAGGAGACATCTGCAGATTAGTGCGAGTACGGCAGAGGGAATGGGTCTCATCAATTCCAGTCTAAACTCACTATCTACATGTATGGTTTCCACAATCGAAATTCCAAATGACTGATATTCTGATATAGAGAAATATAATAGGAGTAAGACGGGGAGGTAGATTTCTTGTTCTGTCGGTCCTGTTCGTTACTAGTTGTTCTCGGTGTTCTTCTCAAAAATAGTGTTATAGTTCTCTTGCAATATCTCACGGTCGCTGTCATTGTCGCCGTAATCTCCAAGATAGTCCCACGTGTCTGCGTCTAATCGTTCATACTCTCGATCTGTTGTCTATCAGTTGCTTATCCTACCTATATCTATATCAGTGCACTTGCTGTGTTCGATTTCTGCTGGAGTTCTGCTCTCGACAATTGCCGACGCAGGGATACGATGAAGACAGATCAAGGCACCCTGAATGTGTTGTCTGGCACCCTCAGGAACGTTCAAGCTTAGCCTCTTCACTAAGTCGCTGAGTCTGAAGATGTGAGTCGTTCTCCGAAGTCCGACTCTATTGACAACGTGAAGAGCCCAGTTGCCTTCTGAATCCTTGTACTCACTCCAAGCTTCTTTGCGGCCCCAGTTCTCGGCGTGCCGTTCGTCAGAGAAAAGAGATATAAATGGTAGAGGATCTCGAGCTCTATATGAATTGCTTTTCTAAGGCCTTTCTAAGTTCACTCAATTCACTAGAGCGAAAAACTTTAGTGATATCAGAAGCTGTAAAATAAAAAGCGACACCCCCCGGAACAATCGCTACAGTCGCATATTACCCCGCCCTCCAGCATTTATTCTACCCCAAAACTTGACAAGCGCACTCTTTTCGATCCTCCTATTACTTATTCGAGTCCGCCAAACACACAAAATTTCCCATACCCACTCGAGCCAGGCCACAGCCACCTATGGGGACCACAGTCGCAGGAACTCGCGGACACGCAAAACTTCCCCCACTCGTTCGAGTCAGGGATATAGTCGCAACACGAAAGACTTCGTACTTTGAACTCGTTAATATTCGACTATGTCATAGTTCCGACGTCCAAAAACAGTACTGTCTCCTTTCCAGTACTCAAAGTCCTAACGTTACGACTATCTACGACCTCTATAGTAACAGTAACAAAGTCTTTCAAGTTACAGAGCACTTTAATATATATTTATCTTAGTTAGAAGTTCAGAAATATAAACTAGAAGAGTAGGAGATAGTTATAATAATACTGAAGTATATATCTACTAAATACCTCCTCTGCTGAAAGTACTATAATTTATAGTCCTAAGTTCTCAAGAGTATTACTTATATCTCTTCGTTGAAATTCTTTTATAGAACATTTTCAGAAGTAAATATTGGATTATTTCTAGATAGAGAAGTAAAACTTAATAAATTTATCTCTATAATTTAATAAAATCGAACTTAATATATTATACTTAGTCTCAGATCTTCAATAAATCTAGTTGTTACGAATATAAATACAAGTACTTTATAATTAAAGAACTATTTCTTTATTCGACTATAATTATAAATACAAAGATGTTAAACTAAAGAAGAAAAGAGAAAGAATGTAACTTTTCTGGGAATATATATCTTTTTAATAAATCATATACTATAAATATATAATATTATATATAATCGGTTAATAAAAGTAAATATATATATTACACGTTATTCCAATTCTATTATATTACTTTCTTACAGTTAACCTAATAATACTGAGGCTTGTGTATAGTAGAGCGGACGGGATGCCTATTTCTCCTCAGTCTATGGTCGTATGTGACAGCTATTTGCTTAATTCAATATATATAAAGCTCGAGTCAGAAGTATCGTGACAAAACAGGCCCGCGGAAAACATGTGATTACATCCTCAAGCATTCTCGACCCGCCCTACTTGTTACTCAGCACGGACTGATATGCCGCACAGCCAGCTGATCTTGGCCTCCAACATCTAAGAGAAACGGCAAAAATAGGTCATGATAGGTTGCGCTAGGCGGACTTTAGAGATAGACAAGTAGACAATGTTAAGTTCGGAAAATAAAATCACCCTATATCCCATCACATAGCCTAAACAGACTGGGCGTTGCCATGAGTAATTGACATACTTGTTGGCCTGAGGCTCCCTAAAATCTCTCACTCCTTGTCACACTTACTGATCTGTAGGCCAACCGGTGCGCTTGATTAAGCTTTGATCTAGGAATGGGCATGGGAAAAGGAACCAGAAATTTTCGACTTGTGTACTAAGTATGTTTGTATTATTTACGAAGATAGAGATGTCGTCTAAATTAGATAGTAATCGATCAAGCACATTTACCCTTCACGAGACTAGCACCTTCTCCAACTAAGCCATCGAAATAAGCCAGTACTGTTTCCAAGGGCACCATATCCATGAGCCCCAGACTTGGGTTCGAGCTTCGGAGAGCCTGTCCTTTCCACAGGACACGGATATAATATCCGCTGGCACTGGTAGGTGGTGCAGATGTGGGGGCTGGAGACGCACTCGATGTGGGCGTGACGATACAGGAACATGCCGAAGATACCCGTGCTGCTGATCCACCGCAGTTTGATGCAAACGAAGGGATCTTGGCGTGTGGAGATGCGGTGTATGTCGGGCAGGCTTTAGAAGCTGATGATGATTGCTGGATAAACTGCCTTAGGCAGTTATCGTGATTGCAATTCGGCGCAATGACTGAGGGCGTTGCAGTCACCATGGTAGTGGGAGATGGTGCCGAGGCGTCTTTCTTGTATAGCTCAAAAACGACCTCAGAGCCCATACCAGGCCATACCATTACATCAAGCTGTAATACGGAGAGCAACCTTGAGATGGAACCGTCGTGAGCTACATTGTGTCTGTATATCACATTGCTCTTTCCACTGATGAAATCTCGGATGTGAGTTGTGAACTCTCCAAGCCATACACCGAAACTGGTGGCACTTGCAGCCAAGCTGCGAGGGTCGTCGCGGTAGATATATGAATATTCATAATGGCCAAATCGGTAGACATTGTCGGTCATCTCTTGGGTAATGCAAGTTGTGGAGTTGACTCCGTTGACGATCTGGCATGGCGGAGGTTTGCTATGGCACTGGCGGGCGGATAGATTGTCATAATAATGATCAAAGCTGACGTGGAATCCCGAATCGTCAGAAGGTACACCAGAAATACCATCCAAGGTGGCATAAAGAGAAGAGGCAGCCGTAAGATGGTTGGTCCAGTTTGCGCCCGATTTAATGGCCGAGAACAGGTTGGAGGACACGGGGCAGCTATATGTTGGTTCCAAAGAGTCAACAGCGCTTTGCTGGGTTCGGTATTAGCATGTAATGGTCTTGTAGGGGGGGGGGCTAAGTCGCACCTGGACTAGCAATGGATAGTCTTCTTCAATTCCAAACATGCCATTAATCACCATGCCAGCGACCTCGCTCGTAATGACATTAGTTGTAACTCTAAACGAGACCTTATCGTTGGCATTGTCTGGCAAGAATCCTAGTAAATCATGGTACACCCCATATAAATCTTTTCCATGTTGCCAGGAATCATCAAGACCTTCGGCGGTAATTTGGGGGAACTGACAACTTCCGAGGAAGCCAGAAGGTAAGAATGGGTTTTGGGGAGAGGTATACCCTTGCCAGTAAGCATGTGCTGCTTTCTTTCCAGCTTTGGGTTTTCCATAGTAGAAGAGGCCTTCATCATCGCAATTCCAGTTGTACGACTCGACAGGAAACGAGTTCGAAGCATACACGGTTCGCTTGTGATGGCGATGGACCTAGAGAAAGTTCCTTATTAGGGCCCTAAAACAAGGAAGCAAACAGACTCTGGGCACTCACTAGTTCCACGTACTGAAGCTTGTACTCAGACGAAGGCTTCTTATATTCCGATGCCCGCACGTGGGGCATATTGCACCAGTTGTAGTCGCCATATTTATCATCTGGGGTCGTTGAGGTATCGTAGATGAACCCATAGACGTCGGACCCTTGCAAGACCTGGGTCAAATTGTTGATAGCCGTGGCATTGGGTGCATGCCAACTAAGATCAACAGTTGTTGAGGCTGCTGCTATCCGGTGGTGGACCAGGGATGCAGCAACGGTGGCCACGAAGTGGTTCACGGGATTCGAACGCATACTGGCTATTTCGTGGCTAAAGATGCGGTAGAGAACGATGAGGCCCAAAGGAACAATGAGTTTGACAATCCACGGGCGCCCAAAGACAGGCCACTGATGTCGTGGGCGGTCCATCCATATTTGTATCTCTAGATATTACGGAGTTTTGTCCCTCACCCTGGAGCTGAGCTCTCCATAAGTGGGCAGGTTATTTGCAGCTGCAGCACCTGGAGGGGCCACGTTTTGAGGGGAAGCGCCAACCAGTGATCGTCAGAGGGCAATTCCGTAGGAGCTATAGCTATCAAGGCAAAGCACATGTACCCGGGAGATAACTGTGGAGTTCATAGGCATTTAGCAATCATCGACGATATAGCTATTGTACCTAGTATGTACGTAGGGACGTAACAGTGGAGTTGTCGTAGTTGCAGTAGCGTTGCTACATACCTGTAAACGGTTGAAAGGAACGTTGCACGTGCTGGAACCTCGCCAATGACTGGCCACAGATACGCGGTGAATGGCGGTAATTAGCGGCGACCCAGCGCAGTGGTCACTTCGAAGTTCGCTCTCACGTTAGTCTTGTTACTCTGTATGTTTATTCCCGAGTACGAAGTATAGAAATTAGATGTGGACAGGCACAAAACGTGGCACTTGCAGTCGTAGCGGCTAGGTATGATTGGCAAACCAAGGTCTCTGTCGACAATTCGCACGGAGACAATTGGATAGCGGAGAGTCTCAAACAACCGTCAAGTGGGAGACGAGATACCGAAGGTAAGGTACATGTACAGTAGTGTAGGTACTGTAGTTACCTAGGTAGGTATTCGGAATAAACACACCCGTGTTGGGTCCACGCTTCCCTCCCCTACGCTCCTGATTTCCCTCCCAGGGCGAATCAGCTATTCGGCCAGTGTTCGCCGGTATACTAGTGCTTCCCTTCCACCCCCTCTTTACAAATCGATGTAGACAAGATCAGGTACTTTCCTTGTACGTTCCATTGTGCTTGTAGTGTCCGAGAGAAGCTGGAACCACGACCATCCTGTGCCGCCCTCTTCTGTTCCCACCGAAGGCATACTTTAAGGAGAGTACGTGTGGCCGAAAGGGTGTTCAACAAATCAGTTGTGACTCTCCCTCCTTGTGCCTCTGTATTTAAATCTAAGATGCATTCGGCAGTCGATCTATGGAATATCTCCCCCTTCCGACGCTCATAATTGGAACTCCAGGAATTTTCCTCAGTCTTCGCTTCAGGTCTCGATCGTTCGTTGCCACAATATATATATATATTGTGCTCCATGACACGATCGACTATACAGTCGTCGGTGTATGTGCCTCGATGGTCGCAGGGCAGCCTTTCCCATCTTTCGACTCGTGCAATTCGAAGAGCAATTCGATACTTCGGGCCCAGTTTCTCAAGTTCGGAAATAGCTATTTTAAAATATCAGCGTTGGTGTGCAAGGAGAAGGGAGTAAGGCGGAAGGGAGTACTAACTACACGCAGAGATTGTCGACATGCGCTGGGCATAAAGTGTATCCATCATGGATTCAAGAAGGGGAAGCTTACGATTAACCGTATGCGAGAGAAAATTGATTTACTTATGCTAGCGGTGGGTAGACATTCCATTACTTTCATCGATGAGGATGGAGTATGGAGGAACGAGCGCAGTGTTGAACTGGAAGAAGAGAGAAGTGGAAACCTGAGGAACTACGAGAAACATTGCTTCCGTAGCTTTTATTCCCTCGCCGTCGCAATTGTCTTGACGCGCAACTCGCGCATCTCGCTGGCCGATGATACGCTTAACAACGCCAAATTTTCGAGTTCTTTTTGAAGCACCCATGATCGTGTTTTCTGTGGGGGTGGAAAGGTTGGTAGATGTTGGACTTTGGCGATAAAGTATCGTTATCAGAAAAGAAAAACAACCATACACAGGTACCTAGGACCTAGGTACCTAGAATTACTAAGCAAGCTGGAGCGGACCTGAGCCAGCAACCTGAGCCGAAGTTGACTCGAGCTAGAAAATACTGTACGTGTAAATTAGATTAGATTTGCGAAGCCAGGCTTGGCGTAGGCACGTCCGCCTACAGGGCTTACCCTTTGGCGAGCCACCACTCCCTCCCACAGGTACTGACTGTAAAGGCCGGAATCACGATCGATAGTAAGCACTCGTATTGTATCTCTACCCGTTGGTAAACCACCACTCGGGTAGCCCCTTAATACAAGGTGAGGAGCCTCGGTTCCGTCTGCTAACCTCGGTTATAATACATTTTAGCGATACTGCTGTAGATCCCGTGACTCCTCCTGTACACCCCCTGACAGGGGTATGCGCTCCTGACACTTATACTCTTATAATTAGTCTTTAACCGTGCTGATCTATACCTTAGGTTACTATTTACCTACTTAACTATATCTATTTGTAGCCTAAGTTACTACTTTAGCTTATCTATTAGTTTATAATACTAAGAACTAGCTGCCTAGGTATCGTTTAGTATATAAAGTCTAACTATTATGATAATATAGTGTTGAAGTGCAGGAGGGCCCTTTAGTACTTGTAATGGTAGGAGGAATCGTGGATAAAACAACCAAAACACTGCAGCCAAGGCATGGGGATCAATTTGACGATGGTCGCGTTGTAGAATTATCGTCATGTTGTCATGCGGCCGGAGAAGACTCAGCCACTGGTTTAGTGTTCTTAAGAAAGGTGAACTAATGGTGTTAACTTGCAAAACAAAATTTAGGAATATTATTAATATCTTCTTATAATATATTATCGATTCTTGCTTACGTGACGCAATAGACAAATTGCGTCTTGTCGGTTAATGCTAACTAAGGAGACTAATGCAAATAAATACCGCCAGTACCACTGGAGGAGTCGACAAAATATTCCTTATTCTTTTGAATTCTTACCACGATTATCCAAAATCGTCTTTCATTTACCGTTCCATCGGCGAGATAATGTCTTCAATCACTGCAACTGAGTTGTTTTCGGTGCGGGGATTGGTAGCTGTCATCACAGGTGGGGGAACAGGTAAGAGCCATGTCAAGTCTCGAAGGCATGAAACCGGACGCTCATACTTCCTCTAGGCATCGGGTTGATGATGGCAAAGGCCCTTGAGGCCAATGGTGCAAAGGTGTATATTATTGGACGTAGGCAAGAGGTTTTGGAGAAAGCCGCCAAAGTAGCTGTATGCCCCTCTAGCATCTAGGCCGAAATGGATTCTCTCGCTGATTCATACAGGTACATGGAAATATCATTCCTCTTCAAGGTGATGTGTCCTCTAAGGAGGACCTCACTCGCATGGTAGATACCATCACCGCTGCCGAAGGCTTTATCAACCTCCTCGTGGCAAATTCCGGGATCGGAGGTCCCACTCTTGGTGACTTAAAGCCTAACCCAACGCTCTCAGAGTTTCGTGAATTTCTCTGGAACACCGACCAACAGGCCTTTACACAGACCTACCACATTAATACATCGGCTGTATTTTTCACTGTTGTTGCATTCCTGAATCTACTTGGAGCTGGAAACGAGAAGGGTAATGTTGAGCAGAAAAGCCAAGTGATAGCTACCTCCAGCGTTGGTGCATTCAACAGAATCCCACTGGGTTACGCATACGGAACAAGCAAAGCAGCTGTGCTACATTTACTAAAGCAATTTGCTACGACATTCGTTCCATTCGAGATTCGAAGCAACGTCATTGCACCAGGCTGTAAGTCGCGCGTATATCGAGGTAAGGAAGTGGCTGATTACTGATAGATTATCCGTCTGAGATGACATCGGACATACTCGCAAAGGGCGCTACCGAGGGAAAGTTCCCACGTTCTGTCATTCCATTGCAGCGAGCAGGAACCGAAGAAGACATGGCAGCCACGATATTATATCTCGCTTCAAAGGGTGGTGCATATCTGAATGGGAATGTTGTGGTTACTGATGGTGGTCGACTTTGCATTCTGCCTTCTACATATTGAGTAGCAACTGGAAATTGATTTATTTTTCGCCATTTGCAGGAGGCTATTCTTCTATTCAACTAAATAATCACCGCCTGCTTGTTTCTACCACATCAAGGATATAATCTTGCAGCATGGCCCTATCCCTCGGTATGAACTTTGCTCTAAAGGTTCTTGGGGTAGCTGCTGTTCCCTCGACATCAGCCAAAGCTTCCAGTGGATCTAAAGCAGCCTTGCTCGTTTCGCCTTCCACGGCACAGATTTGGAAATGTGCAATAAGATGCAGATACACAGTGTAAAGTGCATTGTGCGAGACATGAGAAGCAACGCACATCCTTCCACCATATCCAAAAGCAAATTGATGGGGATGTTTTTCTGAGTTCCCAAGCCAACGCTCAGGTGAAAAGCTCCAAGCGTCCTGAACTTCATCTGGGTCTCTACCACATGCCCACGAATTCAAGAATACCACCGTGTTGTCTGGAATTTCGTAATTCTGCCATTTTGCAGGACCCGATGTGGCTTTGGGAAGTGCAAGCCTCAAGACTGTAAAATACCTCCCAAGCTCTTTCGTCAGAGCTTGAACGTATGGGACTCGAAGGTTGCCGAAGTCTTTGCTTTCTAAAATACCTGCTTCTCTGATAGCTTCAAATGCCTTCTGCTGAATTTCTGGATTGTGTGCTAGGAACAAGATGGCCCAAGCAAGTGATGGCTGACTAGTATCCGCACCCTTCCGATCATGTTAGTTCTGCTATAATCTATGGAGGTTTTTGGAATTGACTTACTGCCATCATGCTTAAACTAATGCTCAAAAGCTCCTTCTCGGTTAACTTCGCAGATTCGGGGTCTTTCAAGACTGCACCCTGGATGCATGGTAAATCGGTTCCTTCATCAACTCGTGCCTTCAGTTGACGAAGCAGCACATCATGGTAGGCCACCCTGCGAGCACCCATAGCTGCCGCAGCGCCTGGTGTTTCTCCAAAACCTAGTTTTGACAGCACTGGATTTACGTAGCGTAACAATGGTATGTAATTACTCAAATTCCTTGCTGTTTGGCGGTAGTGGCTGATTCCTGCTTCAACTTCTATGATTTCAGCTAAGAGTGGGTTGCCTGTGAGGTCCTTTGAATCGGCAATACTGCTCTGAAGTCAGAATTTTGGAGCTTGGAACGCAGTTAAAGACTACCTACCGAGTCCCGTAATTGAGTGTCAAGCTCAAATTCAAGGCAAATCGGCGGGTGTATTGGCGGAAGTCGAGATCAATAGATCCATTTTCACAGTGTTCCAATATATCCTTCAGAAACTCTGTGGCTTCCAGCTTCAATATCTAAAATAATAGCCGTCAAATTTTAATAATTCATAGAGCAGGTTTCCGAATGCGTTCAACATACCGGTGCATATCCTTCCGTCCTCACTCTATTGAGGGCCGTTGCAGAAGATTTTCTCCTCTTTTTACAACTCTCATCCCAGGGACTTGTCCCAATGCTGGAAACCTGACTACTGACAACCTTATGGAGAACATAAAATTCAGGTCGAGAATTAAAAGCTGCACTTTGGCCGATGAGAAGATTCTTGGCGGCCGCTGCACTGTTGATCACTACGACCGTGGTGTTTCCGAGCGAGACTTGGAAGACTGGGCCATAACGCTGTGACCATTGCCTATAGATTTCTGCTTGGGATTTTCCACGAAGCTATGGAAAATCAGCGATGGTGTACTTATTAGAAGCGATTGAGGTCAGAACAGACCTGGAGTAAGCTGCCCACGATTGGATATCCTCGTGGACCAGGAAGCCCCGAAATGCGTGCATTCCATCTTGAGAATTCATTTTGAAGTAAGTAAATTACACCAAGGGCAAATAATAGAACAAATCCCCATTTCACTGACACCGCAATCGAAAAGAAATCGGTCAGAAACGACATAGTTATTTTCGTGTACTAAAAGGCCGAACTTGAGCACCTCAAAAATATGATATTGGTTTAAGCTGGGCAGTGCTTTGAATTTTCTCCTTCAGGAGTTCGAAGCTATTCATTTACAGCTCTGTAGATTGCGTGCTTGCCCCAGTATATTGCCTGGGCGCTAGAAAGTCGTTGCGTCACACTAGAGAGAGCTATTGCTTCTATCAATCATTGCCGCCGTATTTCCATATGTGCCTCGTCTCTGCATAGAAATCAACTGCCAAGAATAAACGGCATGATATCTCACCGGTAAGATAACAGAAGGTCTCCACCCCAGCGGACAGCCCCGGAACGCACGGAAAAAGGCACCCTTCCTTGGGATTTATAATATCTGGAAGTTCTTGACCAGGGTTTGACAGAATTCAAGCAAAGAATTATACCAATAGCTTTTCTGGGTTATTAATTAGGAGTAGTATAGGTCCGGACTCTGTAGCGATTGCATCCGTAAATGTTTCTCTCCATGAGTGTTTGGAGAATGTTCCAAGTCCTCCTTTAGGAAAGATCTCTTACGTACCATAAGTTCATCCCACTCTTGATTTGAACTTGCTCGTTGTTGGCTTCTTCGAAATAAGGCGCAGTCCTGGAGGTTCTTTCATAAGCAGAACCAAATGTTTGGCCCTGTGGTCGCTTATATAGAGACTTTTTGAAACTCTGCTGACGCCTACAAGAGTATGAGAACTTGCCGTGGGATAGTATTCCAGATGTAAAAGTAATTTATAATATTTATTCCTTTCTAATATTATCAGGTTTATGGACACCTTCCTTTGCGTCCACATTGAAATAATGCGGAGTACTCTTCAGACCTCTTGTTCTGTCTCTTGATTTTCGGTACATGAAAGGGGAATTCGGAAAGCCTATTGGCCAAGTTTCCAATCTCTCTTCCCACACAGCCTCATTTGCTTTCTGGCCTACGCTTTGCAGCCTCTTGCCAGCAAGTTCAATATTGGACCATACACGAAGTAAGTTGTCACCTGCGAATAGACGAACTTGTTCTTCGGTCGCCCCGCGCTGCAGCAGCAATGCCACCAGGTCAGGATATTTTGATACATCCTATGACAAGGTCAGCATAATTCTTCTAATTTCCAGGCTCGAATTGAACTCACCTCGAGACCAATAGGCACAGCAGGCGTCCCACTAAAATCTGAACCAACTCCAACGCAGTCCCAACCGGCAATCTCAGCGATGTGAAAAATATGATCTACCACATCATGTATAGTTGCTTCCTCCGGATTTTTCATATTCAGAAATCTAGTCACGAAAGTTGCCATCACAATGCCACCATTCTTTTTGATGCTGCGTAGAACGTCGTCAGGTACGTGGCGAAGGTGTTTCTGAACGGAATATGCGCCCGAATGGGAGAAGATGACTGGCGCGCGGGTGATGGAGAGGATGTCACGCATTGTTTGGTGCGAGACGTGGGATAGGTCGATCATCATTCCAAGTCGATTCCTGGCAAACTCGAAGTGTCAGTGAGTGTATTATTTCATGCCTGAAATGTCATATGAAATCATCAACTAACATTTCTGCAACATATTCATGGCCAAATTTTGTCAAGCCCTTGTCCTGACCACCACCAGCAACTGTGGAAGCAGCTGTTCCAAATGCATTATCGCAATTATGGGTTGTAGTGACGTATCTCGCTCCAAGATCATACATTTGTCGTAAAGCACCAAGAGAATCTTAAAAGCAGGTCAGCAATTGTCGCCTAAGGCAAGACAGGACTTTCTCACTTCCAACTTGATGACCCCCTTCTATACCAATCATACTTGCAATACGCCCTTTCTTGAATGCATCCCTCGCGCATCTGGCATCGGCACAGTACTCAAACACACTTGGGTATTCCGAGATAAATCTTCGTGCAATGTCAATTTGTTCTAATGTATCTCGAACAACCCACTACTTAATTAATTAGGTTAACCTCTCAAAAGTATTATCACAGGGGGAAGCTAAACCGTCGGGTCATCAATGTTCTCAACCGCTGCGCACTCCACAAAAACACTCCAGAACTGCCCACCCATCTGCCCCTTCCTCATCCTCTGAATATCTGTATGACCCAGTAGACGATCGTTGAAATTGAAAGTTCCATCAGTCATCTTGCCATACAACTCAACCTGAATGAGGTGCGGCAAGTCATTGTGCCCATCAATGAGAGGTGTCGACTTCAAGATGTTTTCTGCTCGTGCGTGGTAGTTCTTCGGATCTATCGATGGCCGGAAGAAGTATCCTATTCCGGTCATTGGGACACTTAATATGGCGATTGCTGCGATCGCTATTGATGGTCCCCAGCCGCGAAACCATGATGTAGGCGCCGAAGCAGGATGAATCAGGGCCAATTCTTGTGGTGAAGACTCCTGGTGTAGAGTATTGTGTATAGTATTCCTTCTCTGCACGTCCTCCTGCTGTGTTGACAACGGCCGATCCGTTCTGTCTGACATAGTGATAGTTGCCTCGATAATCGTCCTACAAACGTTAGATCAAAGCGAGAGAGAAAAAAATACAGAAATTGCAAAAGGCATCTAAGAACCAAAATTCTATCAAACTAAGGGATAAGGAAATAGAAGTCGGGTTTCTGCACCTCAAAGCCACACACCTTCAGAAACTCGCTACATGCATCCCACTTTACAACCGCCAAGTGGCAGGGTAGTCCGATAATGCTTATCCGATCCTCATCCCACGATACTACATACCATGCCAAACATTCATGAACTAGTTTACTAAGCGAATGTGGATCCATCCCATCCTTCCATGATCACGACTTTGCCAATCCACTTGTTGCAATCATTTAATGGGCAGTGACCAGCGTTAAGTCATTCAATTTGTTGAGTTAACTCGATCTAACTTAGGCGTTTGAATTGACAAGCTAATCTTTCTAGATAGAATAGTTAATCTTTAAAATTTTGAAGAATTTCAACTTATTTGCGGGACCCTGAAGGTGCAATACCCACAGATAATGACGTGATGTATAATAAGCGGTAGGCCGTACTAGTAAAAGGAGAATATATCAGCCTTTAGTGAAGGCTTAGGCCTAAAGTATTGAGTAACGGGGTGGCCAAAAGGTCAATATATTTACTTTAGGTATGGGGTAGTATATGGATCAATTAGAGGGCCCATACACTAATCGGTGAAATTGACCAACCGGGCGTAACAAATGGGCGCTAGAGCGACTTCTATAGCGTTGTCAATGGCATTCTTGTACAACTGGAGATTAGACCGTATTCCACCTTTGTAGGTGCTAGGCAGAGAAGGAACTAGTATCCCCATTGTATCCACTACGGGGATGGATTTAGTGACTCATAGAGCATGTCTCATGCAAGCTGAGACCTAGTTCCGTCAAATGCTGGGAAAGTGGTACACGCCTCTGTTTAATTCGCCTCGTATGTAAGCACTTCAATCCCAAGTTTCCACATAGCGTGGCCAAGAGCATGTTGCACAATTGAAGATAAGGATTGTATCATATATCAAAAGGGCCAATTGAAGGATGTGGGTCTCCTAAAAGTAATCAAGGCATGTAGATAAAGACAAAACCAATTCCAACTCTGAAGACAGGCAAGTCACTCGTTAGCTTTGACAATCACCATGGGCAGTGAAAAGGATTCTCAAGTGGTGACGGCTGCTAAGCCTGCCGTGAAGGCCATTAAGGAAAAGGACGCGGATGTCACACTGAGATTTATCGAACAACATGGACATGAAGTTGGCCCGTTGACGCCAGAGAAGGAGAAAAAACTGCGAAGGAAACTCTACCTCCATGTCATGGTATTGGTGTCAGCGATCAACCTTATCTTGTTTGTGAGTATCTTCATCGCACGCCAATAGGGGTGCCTCCCTACTAACGATATCAGGTTGACAAATCCTCACTTGGATATGCTGCCATCCTCGGACTGTTCGAAGAAACAGGAATTTCCAAAGCTCAATACAACAACCTGAACACATTTTTCTATGTTGGTAAGTTGACAGCTTGTACAGGAAAAGGTCGTCTCTAATGAGGAACAGGATACGTCGCTGCACAACTGCCTGGCCACTATCTGCTGCAACGACTTCCGTTTGGAAAATTTGTCGGGGCTGTCGTGTTCAGCTGGTCGGTGATTATCTTTCTCCACTGTGTCGCAACCAATTACGCTGGGCTGGCCGTTGTGAGAATTCTTCTCGGTGTAGTTGAAGCCGTCGTCGTTCCAGCAATTGAAATGACAATTGGAATGTTCTTCAATCGCGAGGAACAGTCATTTCTCCAACCTATTTTCTGGATCACCTGTCAAGCAGCGCCCATTGTCGCTGGCTTCGTATCCTACGGGCTTGTCTGGAGTAAGGGTAAGACTGCCATACTTCCCTGGAAGCTTTTCATGATCACTACTGGAGGGTTGACATTCTTCCTCTCTATCTGGACATGGTTTTGCTACCCAAATAACCCCAGTGAGGCTCGTTTCCTGACCACCGAGGAGAAAGTCCATGTCATTCGACGTGTGCAGGGCTCCAGCCAAAGTTCTATCGAGCAGAAACATTTCAAGAAGGAACAATTTATCGAAACCCTCAAAGATCCCGTTTCCTGGCTTTTTGCGTTGCAAGCCTTCACGCTCATGTACTCCAACAATCTCACATACGGCCAGCAGAATCTCCTGACAACATCTCTGGGCGTCACTACGCTTGGATCTACTCTCGTCGCTGTCGCTGGTGGTGGTTTTGGAGTCGTTGTATGTCTAGTTGCCACCTGGGCACTGCGGCGCTGGCCTAGAGGACTTGCATGGCATGGACTTGCCTGGTGCGTGCCTGCTATCGCTGGTGGCATTGGCATGGTCACAATCAAGTGGACTGAGAAGCTTGGCATGTTAGCATGTTTACTTCTCGCAGGGCACACATATGGCACAACTTATATCATCGGTCTCGGGTGGGCAACATCATCCGCTGCTGGCTATACAAAGAAGCTCACACGGAACGTTATGTTCATGATTGGATATAGCGTTGGAAACCTCGTCTCACCACAGATTTGGGTTCCCAGTGCCGCCCCCAGATACTACGGCGCATGGGCGTCCATGATTATTGTTGCTTGGGCTGGTACACCAGCGATCCTGTTTATCATTAGCTTCATCTTGGGTCGTAGAAATAAGGAGAGGGAGCAATGGGCCGCTGAGTTGAGTGATGATGACCGTGAAGGTATCGTTGAGGAGGTGGGCGAGAACGGGGAGATTGTCCGTAGAAAAGCAGACCTTGCGATGCTGGATCTGACAGATTTGGAGAACAAGTTTTTCATCTATCCGTTATAGTGTAGACCCTTTTATACCTTACGGTCGGATGGGGGGTTTTCGAGAAGATTATATGATAACCCCTCTAGAATACGATCCTACCTAGCGAGCATGTAGCGATTATGTAGAGAATTAGAGAGGAGGAGTAAGAAACGATTCAAATTAATTCTATTATACTATAAATTACCTCCTACTCGAATTACCGAAGTCCACTCGGCCCCCCTCTGCCTTGAGTCGATTCTCTACGTCGCAACTAGATTAAGGTTCTTCTACAGCGTGTTCTTCGATATCAAGTACCTCTAGCTCGGGTTCTTTTGTATCAGATCTTGATAATAGAGATAGGTGAGTTTAGTTGGAGAGAGTAAGGAGAGAAAGTAGGTGGGAGGAGAGGGGTAATGTACCTGGGTACCTGTAGAATTCTCGGCTAGATAAGCGTACTCCTTTTATGAACAAGCGATACTCCCCTCGGCTACATTTGCCCCTACATGCTTGCTACATGATCAAAATCGCTATCATGCATGATGGCTACATCCTTTCCTACATCATTAAATGCCACCACCGCGCTCCACTAAGGCCATATTTGTCCACAACCACAACATCTCTGCCCACGATGAGATCGGAATCCGACGAAGCCGTTCTGGCTGAGTTGAACTGCCCTAAATCTCGAGTATAAATCGCAATTACAAAGGAGAATGAATGCTCTGTCGACAGAAGCGAACGGCCTGATCTTTTACGCCCTCTTGGCCAATTTCTTATTGGCAATTCGCTGGGAGCAATTTGGATACCGAAGAGAGTCAACCAGACCTACGTGTTGCCCGCCGCCAGCCAGATCAACCCAGGTCCCGAAACGATCAAAACAGGGCCTAAGGCTAATATATAGAGTCGTGGTGATCCGTAGCCTGCAGGAAATGCAAGCACACACACAAACACATGCACACACAGCGTTGATCTGATTTTGAAGTTTTCTACTGCTGTCACATGTACAGTACCTCTGTGGCTATCTGCAAGTGCTCCATGCTGCTGCTGTTATATCTGCTGCCATCCATATTTACATCGCTAAAAATGATAACAATCAATACCCCAAGGACCAAGACAAAAATCATGCCTGCCACGCCCAAAGGGGGTAACAGGGAACGTAGGGGTATTCCCGCTCGTCGCTCTCTAGCAAGCCGGTCTGAAGTCTCGGACCAGTTCCAACTGCGAGGGTGTGTGTAGTGGCCTATAATAACGTTATGATCAGCCTCTTGGATTGGCTAAAGGTAGCTTCCCATTCTTACATTATAAAAGCCTTGGGGCGTGACGATTATCCCACGTGTTTAACGGACTCAAACATGGCCCATGGAGTATTGGGACGCCATGAATGATAAATAAATTGTTAGATATTTTCGATGGGTGTTGGTGGACATACTTGGACTTACGTCACGCCATTTCCATTGCTTGATCTGGAATATGCATCTGTTACAGGTGCATAGTTAGCTTTATATTTTATGAAGCAATCACAGATATAACCGAGTCCCGATACCCGTATCGTCTCTATATAAATAACCCTTTCAGAGCAGACTGGCAGAGAAACGGAGAATGAAAATGCATATCTGTCCAGGGGCTATCCTTTCGACTCCTCACCAAGGTACCTCCCTCATCTCTCCTTGCTCAAACTCCCAATACGTCCCACCTTCATACGTATACTTTATACCCTCATTCCCTTTCACTTGCACGAACTCATCAGCCTCATCAACACACAGCCTAACCACAACCTCAGCACCCTCTTCCGGCTCTCTGATACCCTCCATAAAACCGGTAAAAGCAGTTTTCAAAAGCCCTGGCTGCACGACAAAATATCTGATCCTCGCACTTTCAGAGCCCTCTTTCTCGACACGGTCATTCTCCCCAGCCTGCAAGGTGACCGACAATCCATTCAGCCCTGTCTTACTTGCTCCGTAGATTAAACCTCGAAGCGTCTTCCTCCGTAGCTGGTTGGTCATGGAAGATAGGCCACTAGTGACACTAATAACCTTTGGATGTTTAACTAGGGGCGAGCGGAGGAGGGGCAAAAAAGCGGCGGAGATGAGGCCGACAGATGTTAGGTTTGTGTTTAAAACGTCTGTATATGTGTGGCGCATTGCCGCGAGGTCTTCTGTAGTGAGTTCTTTGATTTGAGATGCGTTATAAGCCTGCGCTGCGAGTGGTCCGGTGAAAACGTTTGCAATTGTGTTGGGAATCGCTCCAAGGTCTCCTGTATTATCAGACGGCGCTGGCAGCATATTACTGATTCCGGCATTGTGTATGAGGACTGTAATTGATTTATGTTAGATGCGTTCTATATGTAAGGAACTGCTCCCCTCAGTGGGGACGGTCGTTGGGCCAGGAGTACTGCTACCAGCTTCTCGGGCAATACATATACCCCCACACACATCCGACATTTTGCTAGAAAGCCATTGTATTGTAGACTTACCATCCAACCGTCCATACTTCTCAGTAATGGCTTTCACAGCTGCAACAATATCATCATTGCTCGTGACGTCCAGTCTCAACAGCTCCACCTCAGCTTTAACACCCTTCTCGCTCAATTTCTTAATTGCTTCGTTGCCTGCGTCCACATTTCGACATGCGAGAATATATACTGCAGAGGGTTCGCGTAGTGCTGCGACATGAATAATTTCGAAACCGAGGCCTTGATTGGCGCCTGTTACCAGAACGATCTTTTTATCGGTGAGGGGAGCCATAGTGATAAATGAGAAAGCACTGGTTTGATGGAAGTAGGACGGGGAGAACCAGGGACCTAATGCATATATATACGTGAATTTCTTGTCTTCGAATGGAGATTGTGAAGGCCGAAGCAGCGAGCCCCATGGTTGAAAGTTCGGAGAGCACGTCTTAACTCCGTGAAGCCTTGCTATAGGATTTGATGGATTTGGGCATTTAATTTGTGGCTTTAGAATCATTTTTATACGAATGGATTGCTATATGTGAGTACTTGATGATTTATCAGTAGACGGAATCTCACACGGGGAATGAATGAACAACACACTAGAAATATAGTCTACAGCATTAAAAAGCTTCCAAATATATCCACCATTTAGCATATGACTTCACTTCTCTAACTTTTATAAGCTGTACCCACTGATTTTGATAACTGAAAATATTAGCTATCCAATCATGTTATACAAAATAACAAACACTGCTTATATGATTCCCGTTCACTGCAAAATAAACCTGGGAAAAACAAAACTACCTGTAACTAACGCTGTACATGTGATAAATATGCAATTCCTCAAATTTTACAGCCAAACGCAAAATTATTAAGTCTAAACTAGCCTCCATACACGCATGATTGCAGACGAGGCAAAAATTACAGGTCGAGCGAACATGAATAAGTCGAAGCCAAAACAAGCAAAACACCATTCAAGCCAGCCACTAAAAATAGTACACAACACTCGATGGGCCCTTAAGTCCGGGAGCGGGTAAACGTAGACCAAACTGCAGCGAGATGGTTACTCGTTTGATCGTCATGGAAATTATAATCGGAGGTATCGGTGTTTGGCGGTTCTAACTCCGCCCCTGTGGTGAAGTGAGCATCGGCCGATAGTATTCCATGATGACGGGCATGTTTTTTGGCAAGGCAAAGAGAGTGCGCAAGGAGGTAATAGTCCATGATTTATTGATGTGCGTCTAGAGGCGCAAATATTGGGACTTCCTTGCTTGCTGGCGAGTGCGTAAATACCTGAGCTGGTACGGCAATTGATATTCAGTGAGATGTCCAAGAAACAAACACAATTGTTTAAACTATTCGATGCCTAAAGTGACGGCTGCGTTTCTATCAAGGCTAGAATTTTTGATATAGCGTCGCAAGTGGAATATAAGCGTCATTTTGTTGATGATTCGGAATACGGTGGAACAATCGTGTCCAGTGATATATTTCAACATTGGTGACCTTTCATCTCCTACTCAGCGCACAGGCATATGTAATTAGATGCAGCCTCAGCCTCCTAAGTCATCGGTGCAAGGGCTGCATTGGTGGATAGCCTGTCTCATATCCAGGTTCGCCACTTCCCCAATCCAGGAAAAGAGTTATGGTTTAATGTCACGATGAAGGTTTAACGCTTTTCGAGAGATATTTCCAGATCATCCCATCTACCAGACCGAAGATGATCTAGCTTCCTTAGCTCCATCAACCACGATTGGCAATCAGTCTTTTCATCAGGGAGCGGTTCTCTTTCCTCCATTTGGCACAAAGCTAGAGTGTATTCAATCAAGGCGTCATATACCCACTTGCAGTCCTCGGCACCATCGAGCATATCTCCGAGGACAGCTAGCTGGCGAGTAACAAATACAACCCGATCTTCCTGGGTCCAGTTGGGTGTGATCGTAGCGTGACCAACATAATCGGTTACCGTTGTCATTAGGAATTGATAATAGAACCACGCCGATTGTGCATACGGATATGAGTCTGTATACATCGCTGAAATGATGAGATCAAATTCTGATTCCTTGTTAGTGGCATTCAGCAAAAGTACGAGGCAAAATCACCATCTTCCAAGAATTGTTGTCGTGTGGCATCATCTGCCCCGCGTTGATCCAGCAGTGTCGGTATCAATTTACTCCGTCTATGCCAGGCCGAGAAATTCGATAGTCCATTGAGACCATGGATTACCTTTGTAGTATACTCGAATTCCGACTCGACCATACTCTTGCCATGTAACTCCTGGCTTTCGAGCTGCGTAACAACCATCCTCCGGTAGCCCCATCCGTGGAAGTTTCGACTGTCTTTTACCAACATCTTTCCAACTAGTATCAGCTCTCGATTCCACAAGTCCCTTGCGATATCTGGGTCTAGCCTCTCGTTTGCTTGTTGCAAAATCCACAGCCTGTAATTCCACAACCAGTAGCATTTTGGAAATTTGATCATTATTGGGAACAAAAATTCTAGCTCTCCTTTTATCAAATCAAGAATTGTACCACTCTTCCCACGATTCCGGGAGGGGGGGTCGTGCAGGGTCGTGGTCAAGTTCTCGGCCGTAGAAACAGCAGAGGAGGAGACACCTTCGGAGGAGGTTGAGGTAGTGACGGTCGGAGAAGAACTCGACGGTTCCTTCGATGAGGAAGATGAATCCGACGATTCGGAAAATAAGCCATAAATTAGCAAACGCCTGCGGTCGTTCCATATTGTGTAGTATTCAGGGTTCTTCTTGAGTAGTTTCGAGGTAAGTTGGAGGACTTCAAGGGTGTATTGGCGCTCGGCGATCTGAGTGTATTAGCGTAGTCCCGTAGATGTAAGGGTTCCCTTACCTTCGTTCTAATCAGATCTTCTAAGTCCCTGTATTCTTGAATCTGTAGCTGCTCCTCCTGTAGCTGTTGCTCCGTTCTGTGTGCAGTTGTCGCAGGGCGGGGAATACCATGCTATCTTAAGATCAGCCCAGCTTCAAGTACAGGTACAGGACGAAAGAATCATACGCTTGCCATGTCGGTTCAACACGGCCTCTTACCTCGCGAAAGCTCGAAGTAAGTTGAAGGACTGGGTTGTTCCTCTGTACTTCGTACGTAGCTGGTTGCGAGTTGGGGTTGTCGATGTCCTTAGGCTAGTCAGCGATCCGGCAACCAAGGATACAGCTGAGTCAGGCAGCTACTGCCCCACCAGAGCTCTATCCTAACATCCTCTCCCTCTGGGCCCATTCTCCTCTCCCATACTTCGTACAATTATTCGATTACCAGACATGGATGGATACTAACCATTAACCAATATATACTTCACGCTCAGAAATATCAGCTTAGGAACGCTAGGATTATTGAGTTGAAACCTTTACCTCCCATACCAGGGACTTGCCAGCGCCCTCACCCTGGAAGCGGAGGGCACTCACTGCCATTACTTTCAGGGACCCTGTGGACTGGCAACAATATCTGCAACTTCGCAGACTGGTTCCTCATTTTTCTCTCTTTAAATCACTTTAGCACAATTCCCCCCCATTCTTTCGTTTCCTGCAGAGAGAGAGAAGAGTCGATAGTCTACATTCCTGTCGTAGGCTACCGTCAGCCTCCTCAAACCGCTCGTTCTGTGCATCAGCATGCTATCCTTCGTCAACAACATGGTTTCCCGCCCTTTTGCGACTCGAGACAGCCCTACTGACTCGGGATACGAGTCAAGTTCACCCGCTAGGAATACGATTAGACAACGCTTGCTCAAATGCAATCTCTCTGGTGACACACCAAGATCAAATGAATATTTCTGCCCAAATGACTAACAAGATATCACCCAGACTCCGATGCACTGCGATATGACCTATGTGATTTCGACCCTGCCTTGATCATCAGACCCCATTCAGCTTTGGCAATAAGATGCCGGTATGATGGCCCTTCGGACGAAGAAATTTTCCCTTCAACTGCCACTACGTTACCCCGTTCGAGGCCACGCTCATTTTTCCGCCGATGGACCTTGTTGAAAACATTCGATAGCCATTCTAGCCTGTCATCTACTGACTCTCGGAGGTCTCCGGACAGATTTCTTCCGGCACGAAGATCCAGCGTAGATTTTACAACTCATACCTTCCATGCCCACAAAGACCCCCGTACTCTAACCGCCGATGAAAAGCTACTCCGGCATAAGGATGCTAGCCCTGATGCTTTTAGTCCCACTAGAAAAGCAGCGTCTTCAACACCCGAAGCGAGCCGTGCCATACCCCGACGCAACACTTCTGGACGTCGGAGGGGTGGTACGGGTGAGTGAGACTACTCTATCGCACGCAGCCATAACTGACCCGGTTCCAGGGCCCACTACTCTTACATTTCGCCAAGAAGCTCCAGGACCTAATGGCGAGCGTCAGGTGAGTAAATCATGCCAAATATATGCCCTTTGTCCACCAAGCCTGTAATAAATATCACATACTTAGGTCTTGCAAACATCATTAGTCCATAGCTGCCAAGTCCCGGTTGCCTAGTTGCCAAATGCTAACTAGAGATAGGTGAGTGTTGGCACCGTATGGACTGTTGGAGGGCTAGCTCCATCTATCACAGGGGTTTCGGATGGTCGAGGGGGTCAGTTTGGAAATGGGACCAACGCACCTCTATACACCACCTCATTTTCTGCTGCGAAACAGATACAGCAGGAAGACATAAACAAGCACGAGGGCCGACTTGCAGAAGCGCTCGAACTGGACAGAATATCACGAGTTCTTGAATTTCGAGAACCTCCGCCTTCACCGCAGCGTCCAGCAATAAGTAGCACATGTACAGAAATCAGAGTTAAGCCGAGGACTATTTGGAATGGAACAGAATGGGTGACGAATGGGGCTGAATATAGTATGCCCTTCGCAATCGTGTGGTGTTACTAGGCTAATTAGAATTAGAGCCTCAGATAATACCGGAGCCACGGACTCTGCTAAGCGTGCCGTTCAAGTAAGTCGCGATCCTTCAATGGGAGCTCTGTCTCATTTAAAGTAGAGTTCTCAATGCTCCAAATCTCCGAGACGATTTCTATTGTTCGGTTTTGGCTTACTCGCCCACCAGCCACACACTCGCTGTTGGCCTCGGCTCATATCTTTATGCGTGGTCGGAGATACGCGGCGCGCATCTTCTCCATGGCGTGGATCCCGCGGGTCCGTGGCTCACTTCTCTCGCATTCTCCTCGGTTCAAGGATGCAAATGTATTCTTGCCTTCGGCAAATCAGATGGCTCACTAGGTCTGATGTCTCTCTATGATACAATATTACCACGCTTCGAAGTTCAGCAGCCCCATTCCATTGCGTGTGTTACTTGGAAACCAACAACTACACTGCGAGCTTCACGGTGTCCAATAATGCCTGGCATGTTTGCTAGAACGGAAGACCTGCTTGTTGGCGATGAACATGGAAGTGTTTACTATTTCTCTGTCGAATGGCCACATCCTTCAGAGGTAGCTGCTACTGGCTGGTCTGGGTCCATGGCTCTACTTCTTCGAATCTCTGCTCATACGCAGCCGATTTGTGGGATGGCATTTAACTTGGATGGCAGCTTGTTTGCCACCGGAGGAAATGATAATACCTGCTGTCTATTCCAGACGAGCAGCGTCATGCGTAATATATCCCAGAACCCCGAAAATGTAGAAGAAGTGTTGGTTGGCGGTGATGAAATCCACCATATCTATACGTTTTCCGGGCTAAGACGGGTGAACGAAATCAGAGCGGGAGCTGAAAAACACAGATGGCTTCATGGAGCTGCCGTCAAAGCCATTGCCTTTTGCCCATGGCGCGAAGGACTTGTTGCTACTGGTGGCGGAAGTAATGACAAAGGCATTCACTTCTTTCATACATCCTCTGGAGCTTGTCTTGCGACTATCAGTGTCTCTGCTCAGGTAACCTCGTTGATCTGGTCCACTACTAGACGAGAAATTGCAGCTACATTCGGTTATACTGATCCAGATCATCCATATCGAATAGCCGTGTTTTCTTGGCCTGAATGCAGACAAGTCGCCGCGATTCCCTGGCAAGGGCAGCACCGCGCTTTGTGCGCAGTATCATATCCTGGGGGCCCAGACGAGAGCCAGACCAGTGCAGAGGGCGACCGGATATTGACTCGCACTGCCAAAGAAGGATGCATTGTGGTGGCTTCAAGTGACGAGAGTATCAAATTTCATGAGGTTTGGACTACCCCTCAAAAGGCTACTTCTAGTGGTGAGGGGTTTCTTGGGGGAAGTGATATTCTCGAAAGTTTGGAGGGGATTGATAAAGAAGGGGACATTATCAGGTAATTGAGGAGGTCTTGAGCGAAGGAAAAAACTGCCGCAGTTAGAGGGGAAACGGGTCCCTTCTAGAAGGTGAGACTGATTGATACCTATATGCATTCATGAGCTTATGAAAGAGGCTATTTTCTCAGCCGTATTGGTACTATTGTACTTAGAAGACCAGCGTTCGCTCTAGCATGCAGCGCAACCATAAATTAGTTTCATTACGCTGACTATTCTGGTGCCAACTTCAAAAGGAATAAGAGTGGGAAACTTCCCAGACATAATGAACCCTGGTTGGTCTCTAACTAAGTCCAACATTGGTTGTAGGATTTAACGAGCTCAGCAGGTAGCTTACTCTAATAATGTGTGTTCCCAACTAAGGATAGACGGCATTTAACATCCATCTACTACAGTAAACGTTCCCTTGGGAACCTAGGTAATGGGGAGTATTTGAATTTGATAGGGTTTAGGGATGGGATTATTTCCTATTTACGTACGCTGGTCACCACCACTCACACCTCACATTTCACATTTCACTTATCTTAAAAACCCCAACCCCCCATCAACCACTACCTCCGTCCCCGTCACAAAAGTCCCATCAAACCCCAAAAACCTCACCGCCCTCGCCACCTCCTCCGCTTCCCCTACTCTTCCCAACGGAGTCGTCTTCGCTCCATGCTTCTCAAACTCCTCCAACTCAGCCCCCGACGCATCCACAACCCCCATCGTCGGCGTCTTCACATACTATTGATTTCAAACTCGGTACGATTCATACATTGACAAGGTACGGAGCAACTGTAAACAGCAGGTCGAACGATAGCGACTTACTCCTCATCTTCGGGCTTTCGTTTCTTGCTTGCCCGATTTGAGCGTCGTTCTTCAGCAAAACGAGCCCGGAATTTTGAAGCGCAATTGGGCGGTACATTGCATAAAAGGTGTGTGTGGACATTCCGATTTCACATTAGTCTTGAGACAATATGATTGAGTAGCCTAGGCTTGGCCATCCACTGCACCTGGTACGGAGGACCAGGTGCTCGGGTAGTGCAGCTTACCTAATATGCCACAATCCCATTGCCGGCTTTATCTGCCATCTGCTATCCGCCATCCGTTATCGATATATGATATGCGATTTGTGATACTCGAGTATCCATTCAGCGGGGCAGCGACTGCTGTACTGAGTAACTGTGAGTTATGTAGCTTACTCAAGTAGCTGCAGAGGCAATCTATCCGTTTTTCTTCCTTCTGTTTACTCTTCTTTGCTTCTTCCTTCCGTCCATTTCTTTAGCTCGCATTGTATATTAGAGTGTATACTCTTCCACGTCACTATTAGTGTCAGTTTGTTGCGATATTTCACTTCACCACCTTGCGTTTGACTTCTCCAGCATCATCCCACGACGAGCCATCAAATTCCAGATACTTGAGTAGCATATTTCCAACATGTCTGCCGTCGCTGAAACCAATTCCCTACACCCCAACCATCAGCGCCTCATCGACCTCGCGCGCGAGTTCTTTGCTGAGGTTGAGAACCTGTGAGACGCGACCCTCTCCCATCCCCATGCCCCCTCACACAAGCATTGCTAACATCCATTCCCTCCTAGAACCCCCGGCAAAGACCTCGAGGCGCGTCTCAACGCTGACTACGGCCGCGGCAACCGCTTCTACGACGGCTTCTGCGAGCTCATCAAGGGCGCGCTCGACAACGACGAGGGCTGGGTCGCCACCGAGGCGCTCGACGGGCCCAAGTATCGTCGCTCCAAGGTCGCCTGGCCGAGCGAGGAGAACCGCTATTTCAGCATCACCACCGTCTACATGGAGAGCATCGAAAAATACAGCGGCCAGTACCACCAGCACCCCTATGGCGAGATCAACTGCGTCATCCAGCTGACGCCCGGCGCGGAGCTGATGGGCATGAATGGCTGGCAGGGCGAAGGCTGGACGAGCCCCGGCCCTGGGACGCATCATTATCCCGAAGTGCGTGGCGGGGCCCTTGTGGCATTGTTTTTCTTGCCCGCGGGGAGGATTAGCTATGAGGCGAAGCCAGGGATGCCGCAGCCGATTAGTGTGTGAAAATACTAAAATGTAGAATCTTTTGATGTTAATAATAAGTTTTGAAAAAGTTATGTGTTGCCAGTTAGATATTAGGTTGGTGGTTATGGAGCATTCTTGGGCGACTTTGGTGCAAGCCCTTTTTCGCCGGTATTATATGGGCCAACGGCCATTACCTAGATATAAATCCGATTTCGCTTGAATATCTAACTAGAATTGAGATATTCAAGTCACGCGAATATCTGACCGAAATTGAGATATCTACGCTACTTAAATATCTCAATTTCGGAGGATACGGTAGGCTGACAAGGCTTTTAGTTGTTGTCCTCGCCACTTTTTCAATATGTGCACTCCACATCATCCTCCCCATCAATCATAATTGGTACCAAATTTCATAAGCGTCGTTTTATAACATACGTAATCTATGGCCTCCCCATTGCTCGTTCGATAACTTCTAAGATCGCTAAGCACTTCTCGACCTCAAACCTCCTCGCCACAAGCTGCAGACCGATCGGCGCATCCGTATACCACTCCGGAGAATACAACTCATAATTGAACTTATCCTGATCATTCCTCGGCACATAACTCGTGTCTTTTACGTCAATCTCTGGATCGACGACGGTCACCGGGAATGCGGCTCCTGGGTATTCAAGCATGTTCCACTGGCTTGTATAGCTCCAGTACTTGGAGTTGCCGTGGGGTGGTGGGCATCCAGGGGCCGCTGGAAGAAGAATGGCGTCGACGGGGTGCCCGTCATCTTTCCCAGTACTCAGCCACAGTCTATTGTACTTGAGACGGTATCTATCGCGGCGAACCTTGAGCTGTTGAGAAGTGAGTGAGTAGGGATACAGGATACTGAAGATAGTGGAAGACATACTGCACAGCGTGACTCAATACCCTGATACTTGACGTTCGGGTTATCCTTCACCAACCATTTGGTGAGTGGAAGCATGTCCTCACTACCTTCGCGTTGACTCTATCCTCTGCTCGGCCCCCGTCTTCAAAATAGAGCGCCTGAGTAATGTCCCAACATTCATCATGCCCTTCAGGAATCCAGTCAACGACCTCATGCCCGGCATCCGTGATCGACTTTACAACTTCTCGCAACGCTCGAGTTATTGGTGGATGTGGTGTGACGATCCCATCCGATCACATCACTGCAATCTTTAACTTGGGCGTCAATTCAACCGAGCTCCACGGAATTGGCACGAGATAATCATCTTTTATCCACGGTTCATATAACTCAGATACGCATCCATAAATAGTGATGATCCGGACCGGGAGGTGGACATGGGCCCTCGCGTGGGTGGAATTCCTTCTTGTCCGAGCATTGCCATCTTTGTTCCTACTTTCGCCAGGCGACCGTGAGTGGGCTTGAAACCGTATGTACCTGTATGTGCCGCTGGGCAGCGGATAGAGCCTCCAACATCACCACCGACACCTTAATAATTGTTAGGAGTGACGTTCAAGATAATGTGGTTGCCTCGCCCGTACAAGTACACTACCCCGCATGGCAAGCAATGCTGACTCGCCCCCAGAGCTTCCGCCTGGAGTTAAGTCGGTATTGTGAGGATTAAGAGTAATCCTGTATATATTAGAAGCTGTCTCTAGCTGCATCACGGCCTGTGGCTAGGTCGTTCGCGCGTAAAAGACACAGCCAGCCTCCCAGAGGACATCATTAACGCTGACATCCACAGCCTGTGGCTGTCCAATAAATGCAACATAGGAGGCATGTGTGGCACATCCCTTCATGCCCTGGTGTTCCTTGACTGATATCGGAAGGCCATGAAGTGGTCCAACGGCTCAGGGAGAGAATCGAGATATCTCGCCCGGGCAATAGTCCTCTCGGGAAGGAGTTCGGTGATGCAATTAACCTAGATATTGATTAGTTAGGCATATAATGAGAGAGATTGACACGAAACAGGAATGGGGAAGTAGCGTGATAGCTTACAACTTTCTGTGCCAGTGCAGCTCGGCGCAAGAAAGCTCGAGTTACAGCCTCACAGGTGTAGGACTTCTCCCGTATCAGCCGGACCAACTCTGGCGCATCAAACGAGGTGATCTTGAGCTCCTCGTTGGTGAGAAAATCGTCCGCGATACGTGAGACATTCTTGGGAAATGTGTAAGGTAGGTTGATGAGTGGCGGCTGGACGTCTGCTACTGAAGCATCGCGAAGACCGAGATCAGCGACGTAGACACGGAAGATCGTTCCTCTGCCGCCGGCGATGATGTAGATGGCGTTCTATCCATGCTAGCCTTTGAAGATTGCCGCCGGTGTCTCGCGCGTTTTCTTTTGTTGACTTGCGACGGCTACAAAAAATTATGGCCAGGGTATGGCTATGGCTTTGCAGCAGAATTATACATCTGTGAACACAATCAATTTGATGGAGAGATCTCCACAGATGGCCGGTACGGATAGTAATCGACATGGTAAATCTCCAGCTTGTCCGTTGCCACCACACCCATACTCCACGACTCGTGTTGGCTTGTTCGGAAAGCGGCATCGGATGTGTTCAGACATCGGATAGGGGCTCGGATGTGGGCATTTCCATCCCACACTGTGTTCCTAACAAACATACTATTGTACTCTGACCACCCTGACACGCCGGATAGAGCACCGCTGGCTACCGGACATATCGGTTATCGTACTCCGTATATGTCCGGTTATCTTGGGGTTAGCTCTCCTCGGTTTTTGATAGTTTGGGGTAAATATGGAGCAACGACAATCTTTGTTCTCCTGGCCGCAGCCCAGCCAAGCCGGCCGAAGTTGGTAACATACGTACAATCATTGGAAAGGTTTGGGGAACGTTGCTGCTAGTATTCGCCCGTGCTCCCGTTTTATGCCTTTTATAAAGCACAAAATTTCGACGACATAATTGGTCCAAGATTAGAGGCTTCGTTCTCACTATACTGTGCGCAGGTCCCTTACTACGAGAGTGGCCTCGGATATGGACTTGGCCTACCATACCCTATCTTATTTCCCCTCACTCTTAATATCTGATATCAGTGAATCTGGGGATTTCCTTGGTATTAAGGTAGACTAGTGAGAGAGTTTTGGACTAAATTCGCGTAAGAATACGACATAATTGCCCGTCTCTGGGTCTGTTTTGCTCCGACAGACTGGTAATCGGGTGGCAAGCCGCCTATGACCGTGTCAGTGGGTGCGGGTGAAGAGTGGAGTTGGACTTGACCCCGGACCCAGTACCCCACAACTGCGGCTCATCCATCTTTGATAAGCTATCGCGTCAGAGTCCGACATGCATCATACTCACACTTTACATCCAAGCATCTTTCTTACTGCAATGCTCTCTAGGATCCTACAAGTGTGTGTGTTAATTATGTGAGACAGCGTTAAATGCCTAATCATCAATACCCCGTCCTAAGGTCGATGCCGCATCTCGCCGACGGGTAGCGCAAGCCTGCCGCTATTGCAAGGCCTCGAAGCAGAAATATGACGGCCACACTCCCTGCTCGCAGTGCGTGAAACGTAAACGACCAGAGGCCTGCAAACGCTCCGCTTCCTTGCCGCGTCGCGCATCCCCAGCCTTCAGTCAGACGGAGCCATCTCCCCCAAGGATCTCAGAATCAGATGTACGAGAAGTTGCATCACCTCCGTCAGCATCTGCAGCAGTCGCAAAGGATGGCAGGACGTCGTCGTCGGCGCCTCGTCCGGGAGGGTTGCGGACCAGGCCTAGAGCGCCAGAGCTTCTCGTGCCTCGAATGTCTTCTATGATGTATGATACCAAGGGCAAAGCAGGTGTGTTACCATAACTTGTCCGATCCATGATCATATTCATGTCATCTGACACGTGGGAAATACAGTCTACCTAGGCAATTGTGCAACACTACACTTCCTACAGAATATCCAGCAGTTTATAGCCGATCAGTCGAGCGACGTGTTCTCATCCTTGAACTCTGATGTCTCTAACCTATCATTGATGGAGGAGTTGCCTCCGTTCGAGAGACACGACATGGAGCCCCATCTCCTCAGTGATATTGGGGATATCAAAGACTTGGTCGACGCTTACTTCACTTCCGTGAGCCGCTTCCCCTGTGTGGCGAGATCACCCCGCTAACAGATGCATATTTAGACTTGCGGCATCATTGATATCTTTGATGTGCCCCAGTTCATGACAGTTTTTAGATACTGGATAAACGGCCTCATTCCCCCAAAATCCGGGACATCTGCGGTCATCTACCTTGTCATAGCCCTTGGGGCACAGGCACGGGAGTCAAGCTTGCTCGACAGTCGACGAGCACAGTCGTTCTATCATCATGGACGGCTGATAGCGCTCCAGGAACTAACCAATGACCCAACATTAGAGACGATTCAGGTATCTCTACTAATAAGCATGTATATGCTGGGATGCAGTCGAAGGAACGGCGCGTACCTGAATTTGGGGACTGCAGTTAGCGCTGCGAAATCTCTGGGACTCCACAGAGATGAGGCCAATGCAGCATTTAGCAAGGAGGAGCAGCAAGGAGGAGCAGCAATTAAGGTGAGGCATAAAATTCGAGACATTGTGACTTTGACAGGTACTGAAATAAAGACTCAGGTGTCGTATTTGGAAGACACTACGCTTCCACGACTTATTCTTCAGTGCCATGATGGGCCGGACCTCTGCCATATCAGCCCGAGAATCCAACATTTCCCACGCCAAGAGAGTCGGTATTTCTCTCGCGGGAAGTCGTGTTAAGAAACACACACGGTGCCTGCTCGTATTACTTCGCGATGATGCTTCTCATGAGGCCGTTTCTTATTGCTCATCTCAAGGCAAAATCAAAGACTTCAGGCCTCGGGCGGAGCGCAGCAGATGGAAGAGACACAGACACCTCTCCCGAGATCTACGATGGCGCAATCGCCTGCATCGACTCAGCTATCTACACGCTTCAGCTGCTCCGTGAACTCCTCGTCGCCGACATGCTCTTCAAAAACATGCCGCTCGCAATGTGAGTCCCATGTTTGCCGATTCTAAGCCCCCCCGAGACTGACCCAAGGAATAGTGCCTTGATCTTCGTAGCAGGCCTTGTAGTCAGCTCCTCACACTTTGGCGGCATTGGCCCGGAGAAAGAAATTGAGCAGGCCATCCGGAACACGGACGAATTACTGCACTGCTTTGCGGCGAACAGCCCGCAGGCAGCACGATACCATCTTATTGTGAAGAGGCTGTTCAAGGCCGCCGCCGACAATCAGACAAAGCTTAAGCAGAGCGCCCGGCTCTCACGGACGACGGTGGTGTCGCGGTTGTTCCGACTGAGTCCCAGGGAGGCGACGGATGACGCAACAGACGAGGCCGCTGTGAAGGAGGCGGAGGACGGGGCAGCGCTGTATCAGAATCTGTGGTCCTCGCCGGAGAACGAACTCTCTACGTACCTGCCTGCATATCAGGAGTCCGCGACGCCGAGGGCATCTAATTCGGCTGCCGCTACGACTACAGACGAGGCCAGTGGTCGGTTTACTGGATCTACTGGGGGGCCATCGCAGGGCGGCGAGTCTCCTGGCGGGCTATACATTCCTGAATTCGTCGCGCACCCGCCGGGACCTGTGGTTCACCAGCAAGAGGATGTCGAGGCGCGTATGGCGAACTTTGATCATCTGTTCTCCGGGCCCATTGACTTCGGGCCCATGCTGGAGCAGGACACTCCGATGCTTGGGGGAAACGGAAACGGGAATGGGAACGGGAACGATATTCTTGATTTCTCATGGAGTTTGATGGGGTTGACCGATTAGATATAGGCACCGGTGTCAAAGGAACCCTAATTTTTATAATTCATTTGTGTATGTGACCTACTATGGCTTATTCTTAGGCGAATTTGGTGCAAACCTCTTTTCGCCAGTATTATACGGCCCCGAGGGTATCACCTAGATATAAATCTCATATTGTATAAATATCTCACGAAAATTGAAGTATTCAAGCTGTGTAATATCTAACTGAAATTGAGATATTCGTACGGCTTGAATATCTTAATTGTGGCTAGATATACAGCGAGCTTATACGTTGCCGAGAGCTGGCGGCTCCACTGAAACCGGGCTCTCGTTGTTCTATACTCATTTCGTTGGATGAGCGTTATCTCCCTTGAAACGCCTTGGGAGCAAGATGTTGGAATTTGGTGTTGGTGTTGGTGTTGGTGTTGGTGTTGGTGTTGGTGTTGGTGTTTGTGTTTGCAAGATATATATAAATCAGGCCTCGTGGTTTTACCCCGGACCCCTGCGCGTACAGTATCGCAGGAACGCAGCGCGTAGTATTTTTATACCAAAGTTGCGCAAGGCAGATACGAGAGAAAGCGAATGCTTTACGCCCTTTATGTTCGAAGCTTTGTGTATATATTTTTATTCGAAAAAGTAAAGTAAGCTTTTACCCGATACTTTCCAAAGATAAAAGTACTTTGTTCTGGGGCAAGGGCGAAAGCACCCAAAGGAAATGTCAGGGATCTACTCTGTACAGCGGTAAGGCCAGAACACTATTGGCTCATCAATGTACCTAGGTAGGCTATTCGGCGCTTTTATTATCTGCGCCGCATATCAATATCATCATCGCTCAAAAGCAGCTTCATTTCCATCAATGCTGATGAATGAATATATACCTGCACTTTCGTATTATCTTTTGTTAGTATTAAAGATGTCGCTCATATGAAGACGATGCTGGCCGGATCATGGCTACCTAGAAAGAGGCTATCAGTGGCTGCTATCGCAATCGCAATCATCATCGTCTTCACAACCATCTCAAATCTGCAGTATCGATCGTCCAAAGCGGCCGTGAGCCTACAGCTCCCCTCTTACAAAGGCAATAATATAATAGGGCAGGAGACCGGTAG